CACACACACACACACACACACACACACACACATACACACACGCACACACACTCTCAGGGAGTGTTCTGTGTGATACAGATTGCAGTCAGTGCCATCCCGAGAATAAAAACAGGGCCCTATTCAGAGATGGGAGTCATTCCCACAGGGGTTATTTGGACCATATTTGAGTTGAGATTGTACAGATAGGATAATTAAATTGTTTCTCTCTTACTTCTTGAATCAATCACTTTTTGCCATGTTGTTTCCAAAATATCTCTTGGATACATCATATATATATATTTTGTCATCCAAATTTAAATTCTGCTAGTTCGTGGCGTCTTTGGATCACCCATTTTTAATGTTTTAATTATTACATTTTTTTTTCAGGATTCTGCCAGTCTACTGTTTTCTAGGCCTTATGCTTGTTATGAACAATTCTTTTGTGTATTTTGCTTTATGAGCTATTGTGGGTTGAACTAGAACACACAAACTTAACCAAAACCATTTCACGTAGGAGAACTATTACAGAGAATGAAAATTAATAATAAAGAAATGGGAGATGTTCGAGTCATCTGTTTCCCTTCCTCCCAATCACCCAGGAGCAGCTACAATTACCCTGTACCCTCCTTCCCTGTGCTAGTCTTTATCAGAAAGGAGTGAATTTCAGGCTGGGGTGGCACCAGGTTCCTCCTCTCTGCTCTGCATATCTGCCTGGCTGAGAGGAAGCAGGCATTCTGACCTGCTTCCCAAGATGCGGTGGGTTAAGGGAGCCAGGACCCTCCCCTTGAGGGAGAGACGTACGGCTGTCCAGTGCTGGAGAGTCCAGGTAGTGCTGGACACCGACAGTGGACTGTTAATGGCCATTTCTGCTGTAGCTCAAAGCCTCCTGATGTAATTTAAAAGCTGGCACTTCTTCCCCACTGCCTGGAGATTAAATGTCTCATTCCTCAGTTACTTCTCAACTCAGCAGAGGAGGAGGAGAGCATGTTACAGTACCACTGAAACCTGATCGGGGGAGATGGAGGGAGAACAAGAAAGTGGGAGGGAGTGGAGTCCATCTTCTTAGCACAACTCTGCTAAAATGTCAAGTATGAAAACCTCTTAAACATAGGAAAAAATGACATGATGCCAAAATTCAGGGTGTGACCAAGCTACGGAGAGTGAGAACAGAATGAGGAACGTGGCTCAGTGGAACTTGCAGCTCACACCCGCTCTCCTCAGCCCTCAAGCACCACCCCCCTGTGTCTACTCACCTTTGGGACCCATGGGTCCAGAGGGTCCTTCCAGACCCCCCTGGCCAGGGCGTCCAGGCTCTCCCATGGGGCCTGCTCGACCTGGAAGCCCATCTTTTCCAGGGGGTCCTGGGGGGCCAGGTCTGCCTTGAGAGGCCTTCATGTGTGCCGGGGGCATCTGGGCCAGGAGGTAGGCGAGTTTGGCTATGGAGTACAGAAAACAGAGACACTCATGAAGAATGGACGGAGGATAAAGGGCAGAATGGGAACTCCCTGCAAAGCTGGGAAGCAAGGGACCAGGACTACAAAGACAGCAACACAAACAGCACCCGTGACACACAGAGAGCACAGGTACAGCACTTGAACATGCATTTCTGACTGGACAGGCCATAGGGTGCCTTGATGGTGGTGGCCATCACTGGGGGCCCAAGGCAGCTGCCACCAGCCACACAGCTTTGGACAAGCCACTTGGCCTCTCTCAGTCTGTATTTTCTCTTCTTTTAAAAATTTTTTGTATTTGTTCTAATAAGTTATACATGACAGCAAAATGAATTTTGATTCACTGCATAAGAATGGAGCACAACTTTTCATTTCTCTGGTTGTACACAATGCAGAGTCGCACCATTAATGGAATCATACATCAAGGATGTCCGTCTCATTCCACCATCTTTCCTACCCCCATACCCCATCCCCTCCCATTCCTCTCTTCCCAATCCAAAGTTCTTTCAATCTCCCTCCCCCCAATTATGGATCAGCATCCACATATCAGAGAGAACATTTGGCCTTTGGTTTGGGGGGATTGGCTCATTTCACTTAGCATGATATTTTCCAACTCTATCCATTTACCTGCAAATGCTATAATTTTATTCTCTTTTAAACAGTGGAATATTACTCAGCATTAAAATAGAATGAAATTATAGCCTTCATTTTTCTCTTCTGTACAAAGGAGGCAATGAAATAACACCCACTCCCTGGTTGGTGTAAGGACAGAGTGACATGATTCCAGCAAAGCTGTGCCTGACCCTTGGTAAGTGCTCAGCAAATGGCAACGGCTGTGGTGATGTTGATGCTGGTTGCAGTGGTAACCTCAGCCACAGTGGTACTGACATCATCTCTAGAGACATTATTGGAAGTAGCAGCTATAGCAGTATTGGCAGTAGCAGCAGTAGTAGTTTTTGCAGTAGAAGAAGTATTGGCAATAGTACTAGTAGGATCAGCAGCAGAGCTAGTAGTAGTTTGGGCAGTAGAAATAATATAGACAGTAGTAGCAGTAGTAGTATTGGTGGCAGTAGGAGTATTAGTTTTGGCTGGAGATAGCAGTAGTAATAGTAATAGTAACAGTAGTAGTTTTTGCAGCAGTAGTCACACTGCTGGTAGTAGTAGTAGCAGCCACAGAAGCAGCTTTGGCAGTAGAAGTAGTAGTAGTAGTAGTAGTAGTAGTAGTAGTAGTAGTATTGCAGCAGCAGTATTAGTAGTAGCAGTAGTAGTTCTGGAAGGTGGTGGTAGTGGTAACATCAGTAGCAGCTGTAGTGGCAGTACTGGCAATAGCAGTAGTAGTTACACTGGCAGTGATGGTGGCCTCATTGGCAGCAGTATAGTATCATCCCTGGTAGTTGAATCGTTGGCAGTAGCAATAGCAAGCACAGTAGGAGTACTGGTGGTAACAGAAGTCTTGGGGTAGTAATGGAAGTCTAGTGGTGGTAACAGGCATAGTGGCAGCAATTGTAAAAACAAGGCCTGGGGAGAGTTCAGTGGAGTATACAAATCTATTTAGTGACTTTTCTCTGCTGAGTGTCAAGTCTAAGGGTTGAAGATTACAGAATTCAAAAGTCCAGTTGCTGGCCTGGCATGCCTTTCCATTGGGCAGGACATACAGTGGGCCTGGTGGCCACCAAGGCCATCTTCCTTTGCATCCAGTCACAGAGAATCTGGTCCTGCAGAAGTTGTTACTGTGACATAGACCAGCATTTCTGGATAAGACCCAGGCAGAGGTGGGGTCTTCAGCCTGACCAAGCCCCCCTCCTGCTGCTCAGGAACAAGGCCCCACAAGGACTTCTCATCTATTTCTACAAAATGGGCAATTTTCTCAACTTCTCTGAGCCTTGATGGTCTCTTCTTCACAGTAGACTCAGTGCTTCCTCCTCAAAGGAGTGCTGGAAGGAAGGACCCAGCCCAGCAGAGGCTCCATCCAGAACAGCCAGACACAGCAGCTGTGCCCACTTTTGTCTGGAAACTCTGTAAGGTGCAGAGGCCATTTCTAACCCCCAAATTTATTACCCAGGAGGAAGAACCTGGAGTTTCCACCCATGATCCTTCAGACCCACCACACCCAGCTCCTTCTCCTTCCTTCGAGTGCCCCCTCATCCACCCCACCTCTCCCTGGCAGTCAGCCCCAGGTGATGACCTCTTGCCCGCCTGATGTGGATATGGACTATTTCCAACTGGACTCCAGGAGGGGAAGGAAGAGGCCTCCTTGCTTACTTCTGTGTCCTCAGACCTAGGAGTCTGGCACGTGTCAGCTGCAGAGTAACTGGGACACGACCCCATGAATCAATCTATAAATGAGCCCTCTCCCTTTGTCCATTTGTGCCTGAAATAGTGACAGGTTCCTCCTCTTTCCTGCAGAAGGATCGTCTGTGACTTTCTGCTAGGCTTTCACAACAGAGGCAATTATTTGAGAGAACCTTGTGGTTCAGAGGATGGATTATACAGCCCAGGTGCGAATCCTGGCCAGGTCCTGCCAGCTCTCCAGCCCTAGGTAGCTACTTAGCTTCCCTGTTCCTTGCCATCTTCCTAACACCACGTGTTCCCCATGAGGATGCTGGGAGGTCCCAGCACCTGTGTGTCAGCTGAGTGCTGCTCCTGACCCAGGGCAAAGCCCCCGTGCTGGGGTCAGTGCTGCTGCTGCTCTAGCTTCCCCTCCTCAGCCCTGCTACTCCACATGGGAGCTGCTCCCAGGGCACTTTCCAAACAGGCTGCCCAAGCACTGGAGGAAGACAGAGGGCTGCTTACTCACCTTCCAACTGCTTCTCAAGCTCTTCCTGGATGAGCCGCCGCAGGGTGTCCATGGACGGGGACTCCCCCTAGGAGRGAGGCGGGTAGGTTAGTCCTTTCCCTGTAGCTCCTGCCACCCTAGCCCCCATGACTCGGGCAACCACGGAGTCCCCAGCCACCGCGTCAGTGGGGAAGCACAGCCTCCCCGTCACTCTGTCCTACGTCTCTCACCCCCTCTTCCCTCTCTGCCCTGCAGGCAATGCCACCTACTTCCATACGGAGCCTGGACTCTCCCGGAGCCATTGCTGCCCTTGCCTCCACACCGTCCAGGTCTTCCGCCAGGTTTCCTTCTAGCACAAACCACTGTGCCTGTGAAGTCACTCCCCCTCTTCCCAGCACTGGGCCCCTGGGGTCTTTCACCCAAGCTCTCTCGGCCAAAGTCCTGGCTTGCAGGCATAGCCCGAGGCCTGCCCCGCACTGGATCATCTCTGAGTCCTCTGCCAGGCCACCTGGCCCCTCCAGCTCCCAGGATTCTTTCCAGCCTGGCTGGTCTGTGCTGGCTCTTAACAAATGTCGAGCAAGTCCTGATGATTGGGCCAGGTATGGGAAGGTCAGAGAGGCCAGAGTGCTGTCCCAGGCTCCCAAAGTGGCAGCAGTTCTCAAAAGGACCTGGGAGAGCAGTGTACCTTCCTGACAGCTTTGGAGCAGAGTCACCACTCAAGGGTGGGGTCCTGCTCTGCTCATCTCTGTCACTCAAGCACCTGGCATGGKCTAGTGTGGAGGGGATTCCATCTCCTTATTCTCCTGTTCTTTCCTGGCCTGGGATTCTGTATGAGAGTCTCAGAAGTTCCATCACTACCCACAGCAGAGGGCGTGTAGACTAGGTGAGCTTTCTCGGGCTTCAGAAGTCAACCAGGACCTCCTGCCTTCCCCTGAATATGGCTGGGAGACGACCAAGCACGGCCACCAGGAAGGGAGGCACACACAGTGACAGAGCAGACGGGATATGGAGTGCCCAACACTGTGCTCAGGGCATATGAGGGACCCCAGATGACCAGGTGGGCTCTGGTGGGGAGTGGGAGGTCACAGGGCCTGGGGAACCAGTCCCCACCAACACATACACCTGGGGAACTCTGCTTTGTCGTTTAGAGGCAAGGGTGCCTGTATAACCCGGCAGGTAAAACGAGAGTCCTGCCACTAGAAAGAAATGTGTTAAAAGGAAAAATCTACCCGACTCTCCGCAAGCCTTTCCTATCACACTTGGGACAAATGAGACCCAGAGGGCAGAATGAGCAGCCCAGGGAGGCAGAGTGCAGAGGTGCAGTTGCAGGGGTGGGCACCAGGGGGAGCTCGCCTGTCTGGGAGTTGGTCTCCTCTCAGTGACCTGTGCACAGGGTCCTGGGACAGAGGAGCTCCACAGCCCAAGGGCTGAAGCCTGGAGGACTCATCACCACTGTGACAGACAGCAGGACAGAGGACTCCATTTTTGATATCTTAACTTAGGCCACCCGTGTTGTTTCATTTAATCATAACAAACGAGAAGAAAATTTACTCATCCCTTTTGCAGGAAGAAAGGGCAGGCTCAGAGAGGGGAGGTCACCTGTGAATTCACACAGCAGACCCTGGAGGACCAAGGCCACACCCTTCCCTGGCTTCTCTTCAGGTGCACAAAAGCCCAAGTCTGGAGTCATGTTGGCATCCTTACCCTCAGTCCTGGAAAGCCTGGCTGGCCTGGAGGCCCTGGGGGCCCTGCTGGTCCACTCTCCCCAGGTGGCCCTTGGGGGCCCATCTGGCCTGTGTGGCCTTTGTGGCCTGGGATTCCAGGGTCCCCAGGCTGGCCCTTCCCACCAGGCAGTCCTTTGTCCCCTTTGATCCCGGGGTCTCCCTGGAGAAGGAGAGAAGCACATCAGTATGGGTACAGATGGGGGCAGGCAGGAGGTGAGCTGCAGGAGGCGCTGGGCTCTCCCCCAGGAACCCGGAAAGCAGGCCCAGTCCAGGCTGACCTGTGCACAACCTGGGGTGAGAAGGGCCCAGAGCCATCCCTCCATCCTGATTGTGAGCATGAGGACATGGCAGCCCAGAGAGGGAACACCACCTGCCCTTGGAGTCTGCGGAGGCCAGGAAGAGAAGGCCAATTCCCAAACCCCAGTCCCAGACTGAGCCCACTTGTATTTCTGTCATTTGGGGAGCAGGAACAAAGTGCTGGCCCCTGGACCCAACAGAGCACGCTGCAGCTGCTAGAAAGACGGGGTGCCCACCATGGTTAATTGGGAGGGGTGGAGGGGAAAGGGGAAGGAGCACAACTTTTCACCTTATCCCTTAAAAAACAAAGAATTTACCAATCCCAGGCTGCACCCTCAAAATGCAGCTCCTCTGCCTGCCCAAAGAGGGCTGGCTGGCCACAGAGACTGGGGGCCCAGCTGCCAGCCCCCTCCTGGTGCCATTTGGGCCTCTGTCAGCTGGGGAGAGTGCACCCTCTCACCAGGCACTTCCCATTCCCAGTCCTGGCTCTAGTGAGTCCACAAAGGGTCATCTCCTGGCCAACCCACTGCCTGAGGCCCTTTCTCCCCTTCCCTGACCCTGAATCAGAAGTGCTAGATCCATGGTGTGGGAGCACAGTGGGTCTAAACACAGCCTCATCAATGGCCTCAGAGTGCACTAATGGGACTCCGTTGCTGGGATGTAGCAAAGAGAGGGAGGGACAGTGAGACCAAGAAGAGGAGCAATAAGGTAACTGGAATGTGGCTTAGCTAGGACTTGACCCAAGTCTCTGAAAAGGAAGACTTCACAGTTCTGCAGCCATCAAGTGGAAATGGCAGGAGCAAGACCTGTGGCGTGTGCGGAGGGTAGAGGAGAAGGAACACGCAAGGTCAGAAGCCCAGGTGTAGGCACAGACCCCAGGGAGATTCAGAGCAGCCACAGAGTGACAGCCTGGGAGCCAGGGCAAAGGTGGGAGATGGAAGAGGAACGTACTTTCATCGCAGTTACTTTTCTTGCAGTTTTCATTGTTTATTATTGTATGCCCCTATGTTGCTTTAAAACTGTCAATACTGCCAGGTGTGGTCCTGCATGCCTGTAATCCCAGCAGGGAGGCTGAGGCAGGAGGATCACAAGTTCAAAGCCAGCTTCAGCAATTTAGCAAGGCACTAAGTCACTTAGCAAGACACTCTCTCTAAATAAATAAATGATAAATGTGTGTGGTGTGTGTGTGTGTGTGTGTGTGTGTGTGTGTGTGTGTATGTATTTTTTAATGGCCTGGGAATGTGGCTCTGGGAATATGGCTCAGTGGTTAATGCCCTGGGTTAGATGAAAGAAAGAAAGAGAGAGAGAGAGAGAGAGAGAGAGAGAGAGAGAGAGAAAGAGAGAGGGAGAGAGGGAGGGAGGGAGGGAGGGAGGGAGGAGGAGGGGAGGGAGGGAGGAAGGAAAGAAGGAAAGAAGGAAGGAAGGAAATGACCATTTTAACACTTATCAGAATATCAGTGCATGAAGCAGCAGTTCAGCTGGTATGCACTTCATGGGGACACTGTGATGCTGTCACATCTCATGGTGATTTTTAATTCAGGGGTCTATTAAGTCACTGGTCCCTAACCACCTAGATGCCAGGCTCTGTCACATGTACAGTGTTTCCTATTCATTGTGCATCTCCATATCACTTTGCGGTGAGAGGACTTGTCCCATATTTCAAGTGTTCCCAGGAGTGTGAAGGAACGGGGAGTCTCGGCTCCCTGGCCAGGTTCCATGAAACCACTTACCAGGGAAAGACAAGCTCAGTTTATTGATTAGATATGAGACAAGAGGTTCCTACCTGCGGTCCAATCCCCTGGCTCCCCTCCAAACTCAAGCCATTGCCCCCAAAGGCGCCTGAGGGACACTCTCATGAGGGAGCCAACCCTGTCTTGGCCACAGGCAAGATCAGTGGAGTCAAAGTCAAGGGAAGGAGGGGGGGGGAGTGGAGGAGGAGGGAGGCCTGGGATTCTCTGCTTCCACTTCCATCTCCTAGGGCTGCAGGAGCAGCCCGCCAGCTCCCCACCCATCCAACTTGCAAAGAAAGCCGAGATAAATTCTCTGCAGGACCATGGAAAACAAGCGGGGGTGGGGAAGAGGGTGGGTGACATCCGTGTCCTTGCAGCACAATGGTGGCCCAAATGCAGGACTGTGGCCAGGAGCCCTACTAAGCTGCTCAAGGGAGCAGCTGTCCCGAGGATGACAACGTTCCCTGCTCCCTCTTCCAGGAAACAAACAACAACCACAAACCTTTCCTCTGTTGTTTTTTCGAGAAATGAAAAGGAGGGCTCTCTGAGTGTGGCGCCAAGGCAACTCATTATGGGAAAATCTGTTCCCTTGTCACCTCCAGCAACAAATCCGGCTCCCAGCACATTGGCACTCTGGGAGCCAGGCACATCACGCACACGCGTTCACACATGGAGAGGGGATCTGCCGAGGCCGCCCGGCACTTTCTCTTGCATTTGTAATTATGATGATGATTTTATTCCTCAAAATAACAACCAAAAAGAAATGGGGGGAAGACTACAGCCATCCCCAGGAAAGAAGCTGCCTTAGTGAGGCTCCAAATTTTCCAGGAACAGGGAGCAGAAGCCACTGCACAAGATGGCTGTCCAGCGGGGTTTGTGTTCACTGTCCTGGACCTGTCCCCTGGTGACTGTGGAAAGGTCACTTGCAGCCTTGCCAGGGGACTGAACTCSCCACTCACCCTTTCTCCTTTGGATCCGGGTTCTCCTGGCTTCCCGGGAGCACCCTGCAATGAGACCAAGGGACAGCAGTCAYGCGCCAGGCCACCTGGCTTCTCTGCCTCTCTTGGTTCTTCTGGGAGCTGAGGACAAGGGATCCTGAGATCCCCRGAGAGCTCCTCTCTAACCTGTCCAGACCCTGGGCCTGGCCCTCCTCCTCTTCTCTGCTGTCCTTCTGTCCTTGCCCACCGCTGACTGATGATGGCACCAGCCCGTGTGGACCCTCCAGACTCCTCCTCTTCGTCAGAACTCCACTGCCCTTGGCAGCCCCAAGGCCCAGCATGAATCAGCCCTGGACAAGCTCTCCTCACTTACCTTCTGGCTCGGCTGCCATGACTTCAGCAGAGGTGACAGGCTTGGGCCCCAGGCAGGGAGCACTCAGCTCTGAGGTCTCCTGGCTCCGCCTGTCATCTTCCCTGGCCTGGGCTATGCTCCTGCCCTCTGTCCACGTAGCTCACTGGCCTGGCYGCAGACCTCCCCTCCAGGAAGCCCTCTGTACCTACTCCCCACCTGCAGAAGTGGCCTTCTTCTACATTTCCCAGCCTGCAGGAGGGTGGTCACCCTGGGAACGAGGGTCACAGCCCCATGGTCGACACCGCAGACACCTGCCTCCCTCTCAGCCCCTCTGTCCATCGGTCCACTCGGGATGTCTCCTTCTCCTTCTTTGCCCGCAGCGCCCCCCACATCAGCTCCTCTGAAAAGCTTTGCTAATCCCTTCGGCTAGAGTCCATCCGCATGCCAGGGTCCCTGGCCTGTCAGGGACAACTGACTTTCTTTCTGCCCAGATGTGGGGCAGAGGTGTGCCTCTCTGCCTTCCCGCTGTCTGATTCCAATGCAAAGCAGACAGACCTGATTCCTGTCACAGAAGCACAAGGAGGTGCTTGGGGAAGCACCTTGGGGAGCACAGAGCCCCAAAGGTCAGGTAGAATCTAAGAGGGGAGAGGAGGCCGGGAAAGGCACTCCAGGTGGGCAGCACAGGGAAGACCAAGCCTGGGAGATGGGGGAGGCAAGGACATATTATGCAGGGTTGAGCTCCGGAGTCAAATTGGGGAAGACCTTGGATGCCTGATTAGCCTGCACTTTATTCTGAAAAGCAATAGGGAGCCAGAGAGAATTCATGTAGGCAGYAGCCCAGCTATGAGCACATGCAGCTGATGAATCCCTCGGTAAGGGGAGCCAGGGTGTGTCCCCTGCATCTCCATCAAATAAGCAGGAGCTGTGATTGGTCAAYGAGTGAGTGCCCAGTGAGTGGTCAGCTGTGGCTGGGCCAGGATCAAATCCTTGCCAGACATGGAGACACTGATCCAGCTTCAAGGAAGTCTGAGTTAATAAAGTGTAGCCCAAAGGCACAGAGGGAAAGTGTCCCTGGCCCTTCAGGAGASAGCACAGTCTTTGACAGGAATGTGACAATTTCCAGCCACTGTGTTCTCTGCATTTGTCCCTCTAGGTATCTCTCAGCAGACACCTGTGGGGCCCGCTCTGTGCTGGGCTCCTGGGCTAGGGCAGAGCAAAACAGGTGCTCAGCAGCCCATGGTGGGTCATCGGCTTCGTCCCTGGCCACCAGGGGAAGTCAGCATGGGAAGAAGGGGGGGCAGGCTTTCTGAAAAGAGGACCCTGGGAAAGAAATTTGGCATTTCCAGGACTAAAAGTCCAGAGTGACCGGAGCTGAGAGAGGAGGGGCGTTGTCAGGGGCTGCAGCTTCTTGGATCTCATTGAGAGGGCCGGGAGAGGACAGGGCTGAGAGGTGACCTGCAAAGTGCCATCRCGTGCTTCTGTCCCTCAGATCTTTGGCTGCAGTATGGATGGGTCAGCAGGGGGCAAGGCTGAGGAAACCCCATGATGGTGCAGGTGAAGGGGAAGCAGGTCAGACTAGAATCCAGGTGGAAGTGATGGAGAGAACTGGGCACAACCAAGGTCTCTYAAGTCTGTGTTGGCAGGGCCTGTTGACAGGTGGGAGCTGAGGCAGGTCGGGACGCTGTCATCCAGAAGGTGTCCACAGTGGCTACACTGATTGTGGGGTCTGTGCAAATTCACATGTGTCCATTCTTCCTAAAGTACTCATGATCTCAACCCAATGATAGCAGAGCATCAGAGGGGTCTTTCCAAGCTCAGGGCCTGGAGACCACCCAGTCTGCCCACCCAGGACACCAGGCCTGTGGCCCCCAGAGGAAGAGCTACCAGTGGAGGAGGGATGGCACTTGCCTCTTTGCCTGGGACACCTTTCTCTCCGGGTTCTCCCTGTAAGACAGAACAAAGTGTCAGCAGGCCCTTCCGCATCAGCAGACAGAAAAAAACACGACGGTGCTCAAAGCCGACACTGTCACTCAAATCTCATTCCAGCAGAGACAGWAACCAATGGTTCCCCTGAGCCAGGTCATTCCATGCAGGGGAAGGCAAAAAACGTGTCCCCAGTAGAAAGGGGAGCCCGCAGCTGTGGGCTCCTTAGCAATGAGAAGTGTGTGACCCCACCAGGAGTGACTCCAGTTGTATACGTTATCCAGCTGTGGGAGGGAGGCCTCCCGAGGAGCAGGCTCATTGTGAGTGAAGCAGGCTGCCGCTGGCTCCTAGTGCAGATCTCGGTCCTCTACTAGAGGCTCTGGGGCCTTGAAAGCCCCCTTACAACCTCCTTAAGTTTCCTGTGCCTCAGTTTCTCCCTCTGTAAAAAGGGAGGAGTAGCTTCATAGGGTCCTACGAGATTTCAGCGTATTTGTAGAGGGATCAAAACAGTGGCAGGCGCATCTTACAGGTTGGACAAAGGATCCGCTATCTCCATGACTGAGGAATAATTGTTACCTAGAAAGCACCCCCACTGCTCAGGACCAGCCACACCATTAGCACMGGGATGGAGCGGGCACTGAGTGGAGCTGCCCAGGGACCCCACCCAGGTGTGGCTCTGAGCCCTCTGTTGTCTCGATGCACTTTGATCCCACACCACATCATCATGACCTGAGCAAATGGGCCCCAGGACACAGGAGGGGACAGGGACAGTTCTGAATGTCMACATCAACCTGGAGCCAGACACCCTGGGCCGGGCTGCGGTTCTCTGCTTACCGGAGGCCCCCGGGGCCCCAGGAAGCCAGGAAGTCCAGGGCTGCCATTTTCTCCTTTGTTCCCCTTCTGGCCCTGCAAAGAAAAGCAGGATCAATCTCCAAGGTCACCTACTGACTCAAGTGGATTCAGAAGCCTTGGGACCACTCCAAACACCGAAGACCAGGGGCAGCCACACAATGGAACACAAGCCCCCTTCCCGGCAATGGAGAAGGGTCAGGGTCCTGACAGTGCTGTCAYGGGCCAGCGGGAGAGAAGACATGGCCTGGGAATCCATTGGTGGCCTTCCTTTTCAGAGCAGCAAACACCAAGTRGGACAGATATTTGGCAAAAATACCCAGGTGTGTGTGGCCCCTCCCGGGRTCCTCCACACAGGTGGGGCCATTCCACCCCCAAGGATGCCAGGCACATGGTGTAGGAGGCTCAAAGTTCAAATCTCCCGACTTGAACTTTCCTGGGAAGCCCCACATGTGTGCCAGCTGTGCACAGGGTGGATCCAGCYCCATGGCACACCCTGCCCCCTCTGCTGTGTCTCACCAGCAGCAARTCCTGCCCTGGGGCTGCTGACTGAGGAGGCAGGCTCCTTTAGCACAGCTACCCTCATCTGGCAGGGGCATGGCCTCCACCAGGGTGGCCAAATGCCCGGTTTCCTGAGACTGTGGCCCTGGCTTTCCACAGCACCCACAGTTAACCCCCAGGACCGGCAGGCTCGCTGCCCTGGGCAGTGACTGCTCACTCACCACACAGCAGGTGGGCTCCTGGATAGGACTGCAGACTAGAGCAGTTATTATTATAAAAGTTCAGGAAGGCTGGGCTGGGAGCAGTCTCGTGTCAGGCTTGACTTATCCAACCCCAGATCCTATCAAAGAACATCTTCCCCACCGTGCCTCCATCAGCCAGACGGCACCCCAGATCGGAATCCTCTGACCAGTCACCTGGCCCTGCTGGTTAGCCACACCACCTCTCCCACCACCTACCCACTGGTCCAGTCTGCTCTCCCCACCCCCTATGCCCACCTCCATCTGCAAGCTGCACGCTTATCCTGTCATCTTAGGCAGTCAGAGTTGCTAAGCAGGACACTGCCCTTCCACTCTCTAAAAACATCAAAYGCCCACCTGCAATATCCCACTCCACCCTGTGTTTGGTAGGTATAGATGCCTGCAGTGTAGACAACAGGGAACCAGGTGCAAAATCACATGTACTTTCAGCTGTGAAGGAGATGCTCCAGCTCCTGGACCTTCCACCACTCAGACCCACAGTCCCACTGACACTTCCAAGGACAGAGGCCAGACAATATGGGACATGAACCACAGCCCTCTCAGAGCGTGACCGATGTCATCAGGTGGCAGCAACCGAGTACTCACTGGGCTTCCTGGGCGGCCAGGGTCTCCTGGAGAGCCTGGTGATCCATTGTTACCCTGAGGGAAGAAAMAAAGGTAATTCTCCTTCAGGGCTCTCGGCCAGAGCATCACACAGCAGGGTGGCGAAACAAAGAACCGACCGGATGCAGAGGACCAGGTTTCCCACAGAATCTGTCACCCGGGCCAATGTAGCGCTCAGGAAACCACTTCTTTCCTCCGAGGACATTTTCCAACTAGTAAAAGGAGCTCATAATATTTAATTCATAACACTGTGGAATCCAATGAGCCCGCAGCCTGTGATTRGTGCGCACGGCACAGACCAAGGACACAGTCATGGCCTCGTTCATTCATTGATCCGCTAACTCAGAGTCTGTGTTAAGAAGCAAACAAGCCACTGAACATGACCAAGCTCAGAAACTCTGGTTCACATGGCTGAGGAGCAGGTCCTTATCTCATGTCACACCCCAGCAGGGGCTTTGACAAGGCTGAGAGGGGACACTGGTGGGAGCCCTGCGGCTGTGAATGGAAGGTCCATGCCTCCAGATCCTAAGTCTGACTCTAACACCCGCTAACTTGACGGGGGTCTGTGCATGTGTGTAGCTTTGACACTTAACAATAGGATTCCTGATTGTCTTCCACACTGGACCCTCTTCTAAGGACTCCACGTGCGTTAACCCACACCCTGCTGCCATCAGATACAAACAYCAGCACCACAGTACCAGTGGGGAAACTGAGGCACGGTGACACTAAGCGCCCTGTGAGAGAAATGGAGGAGCTGAGATCCAAGCGCAGGCAGAGGAGAGAACAATAGCTCGCTCCATGGGAAAAGAGGTAGCATCCAGGGCTCTCGGTAACCAGGGCTCAGTCCTTGCTGTGGTTGCCTGAGCCCTGCGTCCCAGGAGCTGTGCTGAGCCTGGGCAGTGCTGGCCCCATCCACGCCACTCATTATGGGCAGGGCTTTGGTTTGTGATCAGAACATGGCTTCCGCCTGTGATCAAGGGTGATGAAGGGGCCTCTCCCCACTGGATCCTCCCAGGAACCATGTTGCACGGTGTCTCACCAATGAGGAACTGAGGCACAGAGCAGCACGGGCCCTGCCTGGGAGCCGCTACTGAGGGCGGATGCGGGAGCAGACTTGCAGCAAGCGCCTCCTGAGCGCCTTCCCTGCGCTCCCTCCGCCCACCTGCCCATCCGTGTCCCTCCAAAAACGCAGACTCTGGCTCAGCTCTGAGGAAGTCAGACTCGGAGGCACAGGGTGCCAGCTCAGGCTCCAGGGGCCTGTCAGGGCCAGGGCTGGCTTCCTTCCCCCCATGAGCCACTCCTCAGGTCCTGTTCTTCCTTTGTCCCCTGTGCTCCCCCAGAAAGGGAGTCACAGCCCCCTCCCCAAATGTTCTGAGTTTCAAACTCCAGTCCCAAGCTCCCTCCTCCTTCCAGGAAGATCTCCAGCTCACGCAGGCCCAGGCCCCTTACTTAAGCTGCAGGCGCTGAAGCAGCTTGCCTGAGTCGAAATCCTGACTTTGCTGCTTTCGAGCCTATGATCCTGGGCAAGTGAGTAATTGTAAGTGGGGTAGTCACAGCCCCACCTCGCAGGACTGGGGAAAGCTCAGTGAAAAACCTGTGTTAGTGCTTCCTGCAGTCCCAGCCCTGAACTCCCCTGGTCTTTCTTAGAAGCCAGGAGTTTTGGGCTACTCCAGTCTGCGCGCTTGTTCACAGCCACCATGACAATAAATGCAGTCGATCCCTAAACACAGTCCAGTGTTGCCCAACAACATATATGACATATAAGACTTCATATATGACAGGGGTCCCCTAGGAGTATAATGGAAGAATGACCATTGCCCGGTGACACTGTCACGGTCCTCGTACCACAGTGAACACATCACTCATGCACCTGGTCACCGAGCATGGTGATGACAATTGGCTGCAGCTGGCCCAAGTACCTGCTACAATGTGCACTTTATCTTCAACAATACTCCTTCTACTTACTAAAACTCTCCTGACACAGCAGCCACATTCCACCAGCAGCCCTCACACATCTCGAGTTTCCCACGGCTCTTGATCACATGCCACTAGGCACTAACTATCAACTTTCTACCTCTGTCCCCCTCACTCTCCCAGGCTCCTCTTAGATAAAGAGAAGCACTTGCCAAGGTGCACAGATAGGCAAGGGCCATGTCCACCATGTCCACTGGTGTAGGGAGTATGACCCAGTGAATCACCCTCTCCAAATCCATATGCTAAAGTCCTACAGCCCAAGACYCTCAGAATGTGACCTTATCTAGGAGCAGGGTCATGGCCGATGTAAGCAGTTCACATGAGTTCATACCTCCACAGGGTGAGCACTGTCCCATATGACAGGTGGCCTGATGAAAGAAATACTTGTAGACAGACAGGGAGAGCATCAATCCGAGACAGAGGCAGAGACTGGGGGTGGGAGACCAACCTTCACGTGGCTGAGTTAACTCCCCTGCCGGGCGATGTGGCATCAGGCCTCCCTTTCTAGKGTTCAATGGTAGGTGTCTCGTGCATGGGTGTGTCTTCCACAGCCCATGGGTGGAGCTATGCTCACCTGTTCCTCTGTAATATGACCCCTTGCCCTGTTTAGGGTAGAATCTTGCATGGAAGTGCCTTGTGTGTCCCCTTCTCTTACCGTGCCCTTGAGTGTGGCCTACCCAGGTGTCAGTCAACCTGCTGACAGTGGACATCATGAAGATACTCAGCCCCCTGAAACCTGACCCCTGGCCTCATTTGAATAGGGTTCCCTTGATAAAAGGGGTCAGCGAGTGCTCTCTCTCTCTTCCTGCGGATCCTTAAAGCCAGAGGAGCTGTCACAGCGACCCCAAAGAAAAAGGTCTTTGTGTCTCTCGTGWGTTATTTTGCACAGCCCAGTTAGCCCAGTTCCCCTGGAGGGACCCSGAGCCTTTTAGTTGCGAGCAGAAACCCTACAACTGGGTGATGCCTACACAAGGCAAGGAACACAAGGAGGCCAGCAAACCCGAGAAGCTGCTGCAGATGTGGGACGGTTTCCCCCTCAGAAGGAACAAGCCTKCAGATACCTTGATCCCAGACTTCCGGCCTCCAGAACCACGAGGCAACATTTCATGTTCAGGCCACCCAGTCCACAGCACTGTGTTGTAGCAGCACCAGGATACCTGTGTATGTCCTAAGTACCARCTCTTAGGATGGCCCAGAGCTAGAGAGACTGGCAGAGGTCCTACAGCCCTACTGGGCCAGGTGGCACTGTATGCAAATGATCCCAGCAAAGCTCCTGGTGTGTGGGAGGCCCCAGGGACTTAGGCAATGACTGCTCCCCACCTGCTGTGACATATAGCCATTTTTAAATACCATATGGCTGTGCCAGGGTGAAAGACCCAAACCTCAGCATGCCAACATTGCTGCCAAAACTTAGTCTCAAAGAAAACTCACCGGTGGGCCCCTTGGCCCTCGGGGACCCTGTGGTCCCGACGGTCCAACATCACCCTGGAAAAAACAGAGAAGGGTCACATCATCACAGAGTCACTGGGTGGAGGTAAGGAAGGCTCTATTTCAAATATGTATCAAACTTCACCAAMAGACCCAGGAAAACCAGCAGTGAACAGATGTCCTTCGTAGATTGTCTTCCAAATGTAAAAACACTCACTTCACAGATTTAGAAATGCTCGCAGCTCTGCCTTCTGCATTAGTTTACTGATTTACCTAATCAGACATATTTCACATGGTCCCTCAGTGACTTCAGATGGCCCCATCTTGAACTAAGAAGACAAGTGCTCTTGGAGTTCTCCTGACTCACTAGATAGCAACCTGGAACCACCATGCCCGCCACCCAGTGGGCAGAGTGCCAGCCCCGCTCATAGSAACTTCAAGTTTGCAAAGCATGATGATGTGGTCTTCTGAGTAGCCTCCTGGACTGGCAGTCCCTACCCATGGAAGGATGATGATGGAGAGGCTTGGATGTGCCTCTAAATAAGCCTTCTGGAAATGGATCCTTTTTTTTTTTTTTAATTAAAACAGTCAGAGCACTGAAATGGAGGAAGAAAGCATTTCCCCATGACCTGGCACCTGGTGCTGTCCCAGCCTCACCCTCGTGCCATGCAARCTGAGCTCGGTCCCTTGCCTGCCTGGACTCATTCCATTGCCTTTTCTATAAGCTGAAGTGAGAGGGGTGGGCTAGATCAGCAGCTTCAGCAGCTGAGAGGTCCCCAGCGGGGGGACTGAGGTGTGCTGTACTTTAGCTGCATAGGGCTCTGCACTTGGGTTGGTTTTATAAGGGAAGACATGGGGACTACCATGGATTTCTCCTGAGATCCCCTCCAGGTACTTCATCTCATGACAGCAGATCAGCCAAAGATAATCAGCTTCTGATAATCATCAGCTCCTGGGAAGAGTCTACCTTCCCAGGTCCAAACCTGGTCCTGAAGGATGCATAAAGTGGACAGGAGGCCACTTTGGACCTCAGGACCAAGTACCCAGACTTCTGACCAGGCACCCAGTGCCAGGAGGCCAAGCTGTGATCCCACTTGCCAGACGGCCCTGCAGGATGCCCTGTGCCATGGGTGATCAGTCACTGGGGGTGGAGTGGGGATGTTGAACTGACAGATGTGGCTCTAGCTGGCTCTACCTGCCTCTGATACACCGTGTGACCATGTCCTTAACCTCTCCTTGCCTCTGACACATATGACCAGGTCCTTAACCTCCCTGGATCTCAGGTCTGTTCTTCAGATAAAACCCTTCCTGCCCTGCCCAGTTCCATGACCAAGCCAAAGCAGGAGCCATCTRAGCCATGTAGAGCAGGACAGCAGGAGGAGTAGAGGTGGAGAGGGGCGCATGTTCATGTTGAGCATGGAAAGCAGAGGCACTGGAGGAATGATCCAGAGCACCCCAAGGTGCCCCTCCAGTCCATGCAAGACTGGGTCCGCGGAGCCCATGTTGGTCCCAACAGACACAAGATGATTAATCCAGAAAATCCTCCCATCCATGGTAAGGCATGTGCAGCGTCAGGAGCTACAGCCCCGCTCTCCGTCATGCCAGCCAACCATGTGCCATCACCTGTGTCTTTGCAGTGCTGTCACCACCCACTGTGATACGAGCATCCTTTCTTTATCCCCCATGCCCATACCCAGCCAGGACCCATAGCACCCCCACTCACATCTTTCCCTGGTGATCCTTCCTGGCCAGGGGGCCCTGTGGCACCAGGCTCTCCCTAGAAATGAAAATCCACTGTTAGGCATGGAGTCACTTCAGCTTCAGGTTGCCTCAAGCACAGGCCACCTGTGGACCTGGGTCAGACGCAGATATGCAGATGGCTGCCGATCTGGAAGGTCCCAGCAGAGCAGGGTGCCTCTGCATGAACAGCCCTGGCCTTGAGCTGGTGTCCATGTGTACCCAAGGCCATTGGCAAGTGCCTAGGGCCAACTGTATCTCCCCAGGCCTCAGGCAGGAAAGAACAGCTTGAGTCAGACAAGGCCCTTCCACTCCTCCCTCCTTACCTGTGGATCAATGGCTTTCCTACCCATGACTCTCTTCTAGTTTTCTACAATGTGCAGGGGACCTAACCATTGATCCCAGAGGCCACTTCTACTTGGGGCATTGGAAGAGAGAGAAAGATCTGAAGGATAAGAAAACAGACTCTGGAGCCTTCCCGTCTAGGACAAAGCTGATGTGTTTCAATACAAGATCTGGACCCTGAGCAAACCATCCAGACCTCTGGGCCTCAGTTTCCCTCTCTGAAAATCAAGCCCATTATCAGAACTGCTTCACAGGGCTCAGGAGTGCTGTGCACAGCCCCAACAAAGGAAACCAACCTGAGCCCAGGCTGCTTGGACTAACTGGCTTTTGTCAYGGTCAGGCCCCCAGAAGAACCATCTAGAAGAATCAAACCAAAGAGGGGATGACACCATGGTACTGCCCTGCCTTGGGCCCAAGAGTCCTCTCTAGGAAGTGTYAGCTCTGAGTCACCCAGGAAAACCTCCCAGGAGAGGTGTCCACTTACCCGGGGACCAGGTGCTCCAGAATCACCTGTGTGTCCCTTGAAGCCCTGGAAGAAAGAAAATGCAGTTATTCCAACTATGAGCAGACGGGTGGGGTGGGAGAGTGGCACCCAGGATGGGGTCCAGGTGTGTGGAGCCCTGCTCTGTGCCAGGCCCAGAGGGAAAGAAGGGGACAGGAGCAAGGCAGGAAGGGGTGGGGAAGCAATGGGAGAGGGGAGCAGGAAGGGCCTTGTGGGTCCCACCAGCACTGTGCCCTGCGGGTCTCGTGCCTGCTCAGCTCCAGGTCATGGGGTCCTGCAGAAGGGGATCTCCTTTCCTATTTCACAAATAAAGAAACTTGAGGCTCAGGCCTGCCTCTCCCTCAGATTCACACGCAGGCCTGCCTGCCTGCAGAGCACACCTCTCTATTTCCACACTCAACCCAGGAGGGGTCTGTGGCCAGGGTGCCCTTTTCAAGACCAAGAGAGTGGTCACCTGGCTGCCTCTATCAGGCTCTCCCCTGGTTTACCTCCAGATTCCATCTCCTAATCTCAAAAACCAGGGAAGACCCTACCAGGGAAGTCAGAAACCTGGGCAAGGCCACCTGAAGAGAACCCCAACTCGGGAGGCCTCCTTGAAGTCACTGTGATCACAAAGTGGCTGATGAGAAGGTGTGACCTCGTTCGACTCCAGGATGAGGCTCTGGATCTGTGGGAAGTGTCAGGGCAGCAGGGAAGGGAGTGGGCAGTGGGAAAGGGGACAGGAGGTGTCCCCTGTGAGCCTCAGGCTTGTAACAGGGGAGACTGGTCCTGTCCTGCCAGGTTGTGGTGGGGATTCACAAAGGGGACCCAGGACTGAAGCCTGGTGAGCAGTCAGGACCTGGAAGTGACTGGGAAGGACTTGGAGGAGGAAAGAGGGAGAAGAGGAGGAGGAGGAAGCTGTCTCAGATCTGGATCCAGATTCAACCACTCTAACCTCAGAAAGGACACTTGACACCTTGCAGTCCTGACGTCAGCTTGATCAAACCAGGTAACGAAAACCCAGCCAGGGGCATTGTCCACGGGAGGATGCCCTATGCCCCGCCGCCTGATGGGCTTGGGCTGACTGAGGAACCCCGTCTTGGCTGAACCATGGCTCCCACCTTTGAGCAATGGGATCCTGGGGGCTTTGCTTCTCTCCAGTGGGACTCTGTTCTGACACCTGCTAAATGAGGCAAGAACCTACTCTACAGGGCCACCAGGAGGACTGGACCAGACATGAAGAATGTTCAAAAGGGCTGGGAGCAGCCTGTGTCCCAGCATGTTCCTCAATAACACTGAGTCCCAGTGCCAGCCACAGAGGCAGGGGCTCTGCCATGCTCTCCTCYCAGGTGCCCAGCAGCCAGAAGAGCCAGGGCTTCCGTCGCCCACGTGGACGCCCCGCCTGCCTTCCATCCTCACAGCTACCAGTGCAGAATAGGTCCTGTCCCCCTCCTTTGAAATCTGACCATCATTCATGAGAATTGTCCTTGACTTTCAGGGGTTGTACAGTGCTCCATGGTAAGCATTCATTTATTAAATTTAAAAAATGCCTTTAGAAAGGATTTAATGGGGTCATCAATTTAAAGTATGTCTGGAAAAAACATCAATCGCTAATTCCGTGTTTTAATCCCCAGGGTAACAGTGTCCGCACTCTCAGGTTCCTCCTGGTGCAGGCAGGAGATTTTGGAAAAAGGAAAATTGATTTTTGTGTTTTCTTTCCTCCTTATTGAATACTGGCCAGATGATTTATTGATTTTTTTAAATAAAAGCAACATTAAGGAAACAAATAGCATTCTGATACGCCACTTCTTATCAGATAACTGTGTTTTAGAATTTTCATTGGACAAAAGACACGAGTTCATTTTTTGTATTTTTATGTGTGTAATAACTAGATATAGATTTAAATGGACAGATGTTGTGATTTTGCATAAAGAAGATTGGAGAAACTACACTGGAATATTAGCAGTGCTTTACTTCTGTTTTAYAGGATTAGCAGTCACTATTTTCTTCTCTATGCCATTCTTTTTCTTATTAATAATTATCAGTATGATTGTTATGCAATTAGAATGGGTTTCTTTCATAACTGGAAAAAAACCGATAGGTATGGAAAGTATTCAAAATACAAATTAAGATTCGTTTGTAGGTTCYATCATCTAGAGAAAAGCCCAAGATATTATAATAATAAAGAGGATAAGAACAGCGAAAACTTGGAACAGCAACCCGCCAGTGATGAGTGAGACTTTGAAATCAATCTCACGGCTATGGTATGGAGAAAGCAGAATAGATCACCCAGGATCACTGCTGCCCTGGAGGAGAGGGGCTGCAGATCCCCACGGTTGTCCACCCCCRCCAGCCCGGCCCATCAGGATGTGAGTGGCTGATGGGTTCGCTGTGCTAGGGACCACTTACAGGTGGGCCTCGGGGACCCTCTGCTCCTGGTAGACCTGGCTCTCCCACTTTGCCCTGGAGGGAAGAAGGAAAGAAGAGATTGAGGATGAGGTTTCTCAGGACTTCCCCTCTCTCAGCTGCTGCCCTTGCTGTCACTGTATTTCCACCAACCTCGAGCTTGCTGCCAGCCCTCGGCCCTGGTGTCCTGGGCTGTCCCACACCAGTGTCCACTGGAATCCAGGTCTGTCATGTTCCTGGATGCCCTGGAATGCTGCTGTTTATACAGATTTCATCTCCAGATTAAATTAAAGGACAGTCCCTTTCACTGTCCAAAGTGCTCTGGTCTGACAAGAATCACAGGGCCATCTTGGTTATAAGGGACCTTATTCACAAAAGCACTCAAGGCAGCTACCAACCACTCTACTTGTCCAATGGCAGCACTGAGGATCAAAGCAGTGATGTTTTTACTGAGCTTCTAAAGGGCAAAGCCAGGCAGCATCCCAGCTTCATGCCACACCCAGGCGGATGCTCTTCTCCCGCCAGCAGCAGCACCCACTCACAGGGAGGCCTGGGATCCCCACGCCATCTCCCACCCATCTTCTCCAATACAAAGGAGCTATGAGACACGTCTTGCTATTTAAGTTCTTTACTTCCCATAGCTTGGCATGGCCCTGGACAGAACAAGTCGCCAACAAACAAACAAACAAATAAATAAAACAAAACAAAACTGATGAGGGCCCCGGGAGGCTCAGGTCCAGATAAAGCGGCACAGGTGGTTTGGAAAGAGAAAGTTAAAGGGYAAGTTTGGTYGATGGCCCACCAGGCAGCACTTGGGTCTTCCTTCATGGTACCTGGGGGCGGATCCATCCCCCAATGCTCTGAGCATCTTATTCCACGAGTTGTGAGCCCCAAGCCTCACACGGGGCACTCTGTGGGGGAGATGAGARGTGAAGCAACATCCTTGGAGTTAGAAGAAAAACTGCAGGGAGAAGGCTGGAGATCAAAGCTCTGAGTCCAGGTGTATCTGCTGGTGCCTTCTGTCCTGGACCTTCCAAACCTAACTGTGTGTCCTTTCTCTTCCTGGATCTATTTTGCAGTTGGAAATTCAGGACAATCATCCCTCGTAGGTGTTTTGTGATGGAGCACACACAGGCCTAGCCTGCCCTACGCCATGGTCAAGTATGATGACCCAAGTTACCAGCAGAAAAATGACGACCAGCCAGGCCAGCTGGCACTGAGGGTCATCCACATGCCAGGCATAACTAGGGTGCTTTATACCATGACGTCCATGGATCCTCACTGCAGCCCAGTGAGGGGCACACTCTTGTTATCCCTCAGGAAAACCATGGGGGCCCAGAGAGGTTACGTCATGTGCTCAAGGCCACATAGCAGGGTTCTAATTGAGACATCTTGTCACCAGGGACTCTGCACTTAATCATATACTATACTCCATGCTCAACTGCATCTTAATTTAAAAATTAAGCAACAGGCAATTCAAAAAGTTGTCTATCCATCCATCCATCCATCCATCCATCCATCCATCCATCCATCCATCCTTACTGTCTCTTTGCCTATCTGTATCCCCCACATAAGAACTGGAAGGAACAGGCCAAGGTGAAGAGGGCCATCTATGACCAGCTATCAGTGCTCTCACCTCCCAGCCACATGCTTGGGCCCACCCAGGAGGGTCCCTTCCCACTGTCACAGCTCCTACACCTAAAGGGTGTCTGCAGAAAGAGCTCGTTCTCTGGCTCCAGGGCTGCTTGACTTCAGGGTGTGGAAAGGCCAAGTGCACAGCAGCCGACGTCTCCAGGAGCAGCCACACAGGCTGGCACGGGATGGAGAAATATTCCAGCCACCACCTCCTGCCTCAGGGGCAGTGAGAGAAGGGCATTCCAGGAGCAATCCCTCTCCCTGCTCCTTTCTCTGCTCCTCCTGGGACCCCTCCCGAGCATTCTGCCTGCACCATGTCTGTCTTGATGTCTCAGGGTCCCCAGGTTCTATCCATCCTGTGCCAAACTCCTCCCGAACAGCTCAGAGCAAGGACACAAATGGATTCCCAGAATGGATCCACGGGAGAACTCTGGAATGGGCACCTCAGGGGTCCCTGAGCAAGGGCACTGAGTCCCTCCTGGTCCAGGAGAACCAGCCTGTCTCCTGCATGAGCTACTGGCCACAAGGACGAGCTGGGCTACACCCCCATGTGCACCACCCCCAGGGACTGTCCTGTCCCCCACAGGCACTGGGCTGGGTGGCATGACTCTGCAARAGCTTTCCATTTTGCTGAGGAAAGCTCTTTCTTTTCCTCTCAGTGGTGAATTCTGGCTTTGGCAGCTGGCAAACTATAAAATGACAAAGGAGGTACTTCCAGCAAGTTGCGTAAGATCGGAATGAGTCATAATAGTTTACGACAAAGCAAATTAAGTGGAGCATGCAGCTTGCTGTAGAGACTTTTATGTAATTCACATCAGGCTCTGAAGAATCCACAGCTCTCTCCTCACCAGGACCTAAAGCAGCGTAGTTGAAAAAGTAACTCACAAAAATAATTACCAAAGAAGCACAGTTTTGTCACCTCATGGGATCCTCTAGCAACTCTGGAAAGTTGGTATAATATCCTCATTCTATGTGAAAAGATTCTGAAGCCCAGAGATGCTGTCTGACCTGCTCTGGGTCACACAGCCTGTGAGAACAAAGCGGCACCCTAAGCTACCTGATTAGTACTGTAGTTGCTGTCATTTTGGCATAAAAGATTTTAATTTAATTGCTATATTTTAAATGTAATTTTATAAATAAATAATGCATGCTCATGTTTTGAAAAATTAAAATGATAATAATAAGTAAAACACCATGGAGCAGAGAATTGCCTTCCCATCCCATAGCCTGTGCTCAGAATCATCCTTCCATGGACGAATCTACCTTTGTTGGTGTCCTATGAGGTCTCACAGAGTTCCTTTATGTAAAAACTAGAAAAATAGACACACACTTGGGTTTATATGCACAGCAGGGCAGCCCCCCACCCCCKTGCCTCTGCCCTTTCCTGTCACTTGCAGCAGCCCTACATCACCCAGAGAAAGCCCGTGCCCCTTCTAGCGCTGCCTGGTGTCCCGGGGTAAACACCATCATTCAGCTAGGCCCCTGGGGTGGGTGTTTGGGGACCCTGCTGACTTCAACCTGAATCCTCCCATCCAGGTGTGGGATCTGTCTGTCTTGCTTGTTGGTGGCACTGGGGTCTAGCCCAGGGCCAGGGGCTCATACACACTGAGTAAATGCTCCATCACTGAGCYGCACCCCAGCCCCAGTCATGAAGACCAAAGTGCTGGCGGCATCCAGTCAGGCCTCATCATCATGAGATTTCACGTCCACTGAGCCTGGTTCACAGAGGGCTCGGAGYGGCCACTATCAAGACCCTGTGCACCTGACACGCAAACTGATAAGAAGCACGAAGCCCCTTACCGGCTCTCCAGGGGGACCTGGCTTTCCATCTCTGCCCGGTTTGCCTTCTTCGCCCTGCAAGAGAAACTCAAGCTAGTTATCAGGTCAGAGAAGATTAGAGGGGAGGGGACAGACACTGCTTCCAAGTGTCCTTCTCCCGMGCGTCCAGCAGCTAGGTTCATTCTCCACGCACAGAACTGGTCTCATTTCAGGGTTTCCTTCCCAACACCAAGATCTGGCGCAGACCTGGGGCTCACAGCACCCAGCACGTGCTGGAAAAGTAACACAGGGTGCACAGGGTCGCTCTTCCCAGGTCGGATCTAAGGGAGGCCCCACGGGGCGTTTCCATGGCCTCAGACTCAGGACAACACACCCTCATCTATCCACCTCCAGAGTGGAACGTGAGATGGGGGAGGTGAGAGCTGAGGAGGAAGAAGAAGAGCTGAGGAAGAGCTGAGGAATGATAAGCAGGGGATCACAGCTCCCGGGACACACATGGGGCTCAGAGAGTGAAGGCCAGGGGTCGGCTTGGGCATGGACAGGCCGTGGGCACTTTGCATGTGCTCTTCATGCAGCCGAGCTAGGACTCCCTCTCCTCTGCCAATCTCATCCCAGAGGGGACCCAGTGTTCCTCGTGCTCCTCCCAGGGACGAGCACCTCCTCAGGGTCTCTGAGGCATGGAAAGCCAATCTGTGTGACGGCTATGACGACAGAGGCTGAGGGCCCCGTCCTGGGCACCTGGACCTGGTCTGTGAGAGAAAGCAGAGGGGAGGAGGCAGAGGGGAACTGAAGTCACAGCATCTTGGGCAAGTTCTTCAAACTCTCAGCTCCTAGGTGCCATCTCTCCTGAAGAGAGGCCAGCCTGCCCTGCAGAGGCACCACAAGCCTGCAGTCAGGCTTCCTCTCCCACTGACGTGCTGCTTCTGCTACTGGGGCTGCTCATGAAGGTGGACACTTTTACTGCTGGCGCTGGAACCTCAGTGGCTTGGCACAAGGGAGCCACTGTGAGCATGATCAGAATGAAAGACCCCCCGGGCAGCTCAGGGAGCACCTGCAGCCCTCTAGGAATGCTGCCCCTGGCAGTGTGTGAATGCCGAGCCAGCCAATCCACACCCGGATCCTCTTTGCAATTAAAAGCCTAACTGCAGAACTCTTCCTCCATGCATGGAGGTCACAGGGAAGGGGGTCAGGAAGAAACCAAGTGAAACAGGACGAAGCCTACCAAGGAGAGCAGCGCACTCAGGCTGGGGAAAGGGGAGAACTGGGCAATTCTGGGGCAGCACTTTACTCCTGAAGCAGCAACTCGAGAAAATGCTGAGGAGGACCCAATGTGGCCTKCAGGACCATCTCAGAAACAAGCACGCCTTTCTGGGACAGAAGAGCTGCCCCTTGCTAACTGTGTGTTCCTGAGCATTCTGGGTCTTCCTGGAGCCTCCATCCTCCACCTTTACTGAGCAGGGATACCCCMCMCACACACACACCGCCTGGCGAGGACTTCACACTGGGACGTGTGTGAAGGGTGTTTCTTGCTCTGCGCTTGGCTCAGAGCTGGTTCCCAACAAATAGGGAGAGGTGCTGTCTCACTCTCCAGGRTGCTAATGGCAGGGTTCTGATGTCCGCAGCTTCATGGGGCCCCTCTCCCTTCAGCACCCTGCAGAAGTGGAAGGAATTAGCCACTCCCTAATCRCACTCCTAAGGGACAGACACCCCTGTCTGGGTCTAGACTGAGTCTTTGGCATTTTTTCCTGAAGAAAATTTGAGGTGCTGGGGTCTAAGCCGGGTCTAGCCCACCGACATAACTGAAGTCACCATGAAGCCTGGGGCGTCACCTCATTGTCTGGCTTAGGTGTCCCCCTCCTGGGCTCCCACAGCCCCGGTGTGACCCTCTGTCAGGACAAGCATCACGCTTTCTTGTTTGGCTTCTCCATAAAGCCACGGGTTCCTCGAGGGCTGGGACCTTGAATGCCGTGTGGGGGAGCAGTGCTGCCGTTCACGTGGCACCACTCATCTTGCCCTTCGTCCAGTCCAGGTCTAGGAAGCACCTGCTTGGCACAGTTATGGGGAGGTGGGGAGGAGGCCGACGGCAGTCAATGACCCCACGGTGGGYCATACTGTTACTGCTGGGAGGGGGGACAGCGGGGGTCCTGCGGTCTGGCTCCAGTCCCTTCCTCACCCAGCTGGGGACTACAAGAGCACATGTCAGGAGCCAATGCTGTTCAGTGGAGGCCTGGGGGACAGCCTGCACCTGGGGCCTTGGTGGGAGTCCCGAGCACGGAGCYGGCACAGAGGCAGGCCGCATGAAGCCAGCCTGGTCCTCATCGTAGAGGCAGGAGGCAGGGAAGAGCTACCCAGGAAGGAATGGCTCCTGGGGGAAGGCCAAGTGGTGGAGGGCGACTGAGGGGGTGGGGTGAGAAAGAGACGGAGATGGACCAGGTCAGTTCCTGAGAGGCCAGGGAGCCACCTTGGCTTCACCGTGGCAATAGTCAACAGAAGGAGAGATGGCATCATCGGATTTGCCTCTGAAGGAAAGAAGGAAGTGAGGGAGGAAGGGAGGAAGAGTAAGAGAGGGGCAGATCTGTTTATATCATCACAAACAGTGAGTGACACCAAGGGGTGTGTGTGTGTGTGTGTGTGTGTGTGTGTGTGTGCGCACGTGTGCTGTTGATGATGAACATAAAACAATCACATCTCAGGTGGCTTCCTTCCCCAGCACCCCAGGACTTTAATGATGAGGGAGCAACACAAACCCCTACCAGAACAGAGGTGTTCTCCACTTCACTTTGCCATCACTAGAATTAAATCAATAAGTATGTCTGAGCYACTATAACATAGCAGGACCACAGTTTATTCTGTCAGAGACGACACAGGCCASCATATCACTTAGGACCTGTGTGACTGGAACAATGACGCTCAGGAGCTTATTACCAGATCTTCTAGGAGGAAGGGCCCCAGAAAGCAATTCATCACCCACACGCTTCCTCAATTAATATTTGCCATGCACGCAACTCTGGGTGGAGAACCAAGACTGAGCARGAGCTGAAAAGGGCCCAGCTCTCACAGAAGCTACAGCCCAGGACACAATGCCATAATGAACAGCTACTCTTCTCTGTGATGTCCCCAGAGCTAGCCCACAGAGAGTTCCTGACCAGTGTGTCAAATCAATGATTTGATGGGATCAACAGGTCACTCGTCACCCCTTTCCACCCATAGCAAGTGACTCCCAGTTGGAACAGGCATCCAGAAGGAAAGAGAGGGTCTGCCCTAGTCTTGGGGCAAATAAAGAAGCCATGCCAGGACCAAGACAGGGGGGATCAGGCTTCGGCAGGGGCTGGGGAGTAGCACTTGACTAGYCTGCCTGAAGCCTGGGTTTGATTCTCAGCCCCACAAAATAAAACAAACAAACAAACAAACAAAAATAAAATAAAATAAAAGCCAGCAACAGGGCTTTCCAGAAATGCACATTCAAAGGCTCTGTGACCTGGAGGATGGGTCCAGTGTGGCAGGAAAGATCACAGTCTGTTTAGGGACTAGATTATGGGTGGAGGGTAATTGGGGACTGTGGTCAGCTGGTGCCCCTGCACATACAGGCTAGACCCTGAGGCACTCAAAAAACCCAGGTGACAAAGGCAACATGTGGCCTTTCCAGGCAGACCTTATAACAAATATGTTGCCAACCTGGACTTTATTGAAAAGCATGTTAAATTGAGATATTTGGAACAATGTTCAGGGAAAGTCATTTTGCAGTATGTATCAAGACCTTAGCTATTACTGTACTCTGACAAGTAAATTCCACTTTGGGGAATTATCCTAAAGAAATTAGGAAAACCCTATGCATGTAAAATTGTCCATTGTAGCTTTAAAAATAATTGCAAGATTTATGAAGCAACAGAGGAATAATCAGATATATTTCAGTGCATTAAGTGGATATATTGTATGTGAATTTTATGAACACTTAATAGTAGCATGGAAATAAAAAAATGTTTATATTATCACAAGTAGCTAATTACCATAAATAGCTGTGGTGTTGASTGCATACGTGTGCGTTGTTGATGAATGATTCAAACAGAGAGAGAGCGGAGAGTTAGGAAAACACTATATAAATAAATAAGAAACAAGCAATTATACAATAAAGAAGAACAAGATTAAGAATAATGTCAAAGTTTAGTTTGCTTTGGCCAACAAGCGAGTTAATGATTTTTCTTTCTTTTAAAGATCTGTAACATCTGAAATTCCACTAGTGATCAAGCCGTATTTCAACAATAGAAGAATACGTTTTTGCTTGCTTGTTTTTGGAAAGTGGAACTAAMGTTTGTTAAATGCCACTTACCGGGACTCCAGGTATTCCAGATGGGCCTTGGGGGCCAGGGGGACCTTCTTTTCCCTGAAAGATSCAAGACATAAGACATCATGAAATCATCATTTGGCTTTTTGGAAATAAAGTCCTCACACAGGACTGCCAGGTGCTGGAAGTCCCCAGGTGGGCTGGGCTGCACCAGCCTCCTCACTGCCCAGGCTCGATCCCCAGGGCAGCAGCATCCCCACCACCAGTGGCCTGGACACAAATCTGTTCCAGCCACACTACAGAGACTCAGGTAATTAGTGACTGATGGCCAAAAATAAAAAAGAAGAAGAAGAAAAAGAAGGCTATTGGAAAGAAAATAATGGGCCTTTGGAGTCCACAAGACCTGGGTCCAGATCCTGACATTTGTCCCCTAATTTCTTGAGACTTAATTCCCACCCATACACACAGACAGGGCAACTCTGCACCTATAGGACCCAGTGCAAGGAAAAACTGAGCTAGGGGAAGCTGTGACTGATGGCTTCATTATTTTAATTGTTTTTGAGAGACACCTGAACCTTTGATCAGAAGTGGCTAGAGAGTATTTTTTTCCCCTATGAAAAGACATGTGGGGTTTCTAAAGTCTATTTTAACAAATTGCATTAATTAACACTACATTTCCCATCTTATGCATCAAAGRCATGATCTTCCATCAGGGCTTCTACATCAGCTTAAAGAATTCAGAGCCACTTTTCATGATGCACATTTTTATATCACCACATCTCTGTATTGAGATGCAGATTCCTGGCCACTTTATAATCTCTTACCAATGTTTTGTGAGACAGACACTGATGTCAGGTTTTGCATTCTAATGGCATAAAATGAGGTATTCTAAAGGGTTGKTATTTAATCCTCTTAAAACAAAGGCAAAAACAAACTAAAGTTTATATTTCAGATTTATACAGATTTTAAATAGCAGCATATAAAAATGTTCCCATCAGGAGACCGAAACACATTTATTTTATTAAGTACTTTTCAAACTTAATATAACTCAATAATTGAGTTTTATCCATACCTGAAGACAATAAAAGACATTAGTAATGYATGATTAAGACACTGAGAAGCTAGCTTGGGATTCTTTAATAGGGCCTTAGGCACTGATGAGAAAAGAATAATGCTTTTAGGCTTACTATTTATTTGCCAACACCTTTTCTCAGAAGGATTTGTGTTCTGCATCCATGTTAAGAAGTTATTCCTTATGTTTTAGAAAGTAGAAAGCACCGGTTATGTCTGTGTCATCAGGCGGAACCTATGACTCATAATGTGACGCTGCWGGAGAGTTGGGACATCTAGCCATATTGCCACTTAGACTAAAACAAAACAGTCAACACAATGCAACCCAAATTCACCTCCCCCACACCACAACTCTACACACACAAAAGCAATGAAGCGGAAGGTTTCTGTCAATATGAGACAAAAGTTCAACCATCATTAGGGGATTTTAGATATGAAAACAGACTTTTCTGGATTACTTCCCAGAAGGCTGTGGTTTCAAAGASCCTAGAATGAAAGCAACAGTGATACCATTCAGGGGTAGGCCAACCTCAAACCTCTGCCTGTTTTTGTAAGYGAAGTTTTCTTAGTACACAGTCACCCCCTTCAATTGACCAGTTGTTGGGTCCTTTTCGGCCTTACCACAGCTGAGCTGAATCGTTAAAACAGAGACCATATGATCCATGAAACCCCAAATGCTGGCTATTTGTTATGGGAAAGTTTTCCTGAACCACACCACCCCCACATCTCAGTTGAGGAAGGCASGGTCATGTAGTAGCATGTTCCAGATCCAGGAGAGGACTGAGCTTCCGGCTTCTGTGTCCAGTGAACCTATCCAGGCTTCTCCCTTGGCAGAGAGACCAGAAGGCAAGGCACAGGGAACACAGGAGTCATGCTTTCCGTCACCCGACCATCCCACAGGAAGCCCAGGGGCACCCACCTTCCGAATGCTGTGCCTTGCTGGCAACACTGTGTTCTCCCYGCTCCTCCTGCTCCCACCAGAGGAGCCAAAGGCTCCCAAAGATCCAGAGTGCTTGTTACTGGAAATCTGCTCACACTAGTTATTTGCTATGGAAATTGATCTACTTAATTATTAATTAAGCATCTCAAAGAAATTTAAGAAAAAGGGAAAAGAATAATACTTTATGCAAATTAAGTTTGGATTTTGAAAATATTTGATGAGTCGAGTCGCTGACTTTATAAATAAATAGCATTAAGGTAAGAAGCTCAAAGGATTATTGTAGAATCCCAACAATCTAGGGCTCTGCATTCGTACAGTCTCACAGAGGCTACTATGGACTCAGCAACTTTCTTTAAAAAAGGCATCAAATAGTAATGGATGTTCTATTTATAAGAATAACTATAAGGGATCCAATTCAGGGGGCTCAAACTCACAGTACTGGAGTTTATTCAATGTCAAAAAGATTAACAAATGCACATATTGGCTCATTCAAAAAGCAGTGGAAATGTTTATTTTTACATGGACATTTTTRTTATTGTTACCCATCTAATGTTTTTAATTTTGTATCTATCAATATGTGGGGCTGGGGTTGTGGCTCAGCAGTAGGGTGCTTGAGTAAGTATGTGTGAGGACCTGGGTTCAAGCCTCAGCACCACATAAAAATAAATAAATAAATAAAAKTATTGTGTCCACTACAACTAAAAAGTATTTTTTTTTAATAAAAAGATATCACTATGCATTGTTCAGGCTAAGGAAACTTCCACTCTGTCTTGGTCTGTGGTTTATGGTAAAGTACCAGGACCAAGGACAGCTTCAGGTACAGCATACCTTGCCCAGGAGGCCCAGGACMGAATGAAAGTCTTGTTTAATACAGTCAATTCCTAGGAAGGTAATGATTTCACTTCTGGGATTCATAGCTGATATTCCCTTTAGGCAAACAGTCGATTAGTTTTTACTGGGGAAATATTTTACAGTCTGAGGATCAATGAAATGCTGCCTGCAGCATTTAATTCATCCTAGGACTTGTAGATGGGCTGCTTCAAAAGGATTACCACAGGATGATCCTAAGAAGGACCACGTGGCTGTCCATATTCAGTCTCAACATTCTGCGGTGATTCAGAATCAGGGTAGACTGCAGAAAGAATACTGAACTGTGGGTTTTCAGGTTGACTTATGTCCCAATTTGGACATTGATTTCCTTGATGACTTTGGACAAGAGACTTAATTAACCCATTGGGCTTTGATGTCCTGAGTTGAGAGGGATGAAGTTGTTCTCAGACGCCTGAGGTGCCCTTTGAACAAGGTTCCAAATTCCAGGACAGGGTTGACCTCCTCTCCTGCTAGTCCTGGATTATGTTGCTGAAGTTCCTATAGACCAGGGTTTGTGTCTGGCTGGTACATACCCTCACTATGTGATCCTGAACTGATCATCTGACTTCCCCAATCCCCACTTTTCTGATTTATAAGATGGATACAATGATATCRTATTGGGCGATAGTGGAGGGGCAGCGGTGAAGTGACATGAAGGATATTACTGTTCCACATGTTCCTTTGAACATCATGCATGTATTGCTACCAGCAAAATGCCTGCAGAACCATGCTTTACCCTTGCTTCTTGGCACTGAAGCCAAATGTGGTTCTGACAGCTTTGTGTTGACCAGATAAAAGCACAAAATTCAAGTGGCAATGGTACCAGCTGTGATTCTTGGACCTTGAACAGAGACTCCTTTGATGTTTTCACCCCTCTTGGGATCTTATGGGCTAGCAGTGGCTGCCCCATGTCTGAGATGCACTGGAGCACCTCACAGGCTCAGGGTGGGCTAGCCCAAGCCCCTCCACTCACCACACTTGCTCAGAGCAGAAAGTACCTGAGAAAGAATAGGGAAATGGGGCCTGAACCTAGGGCCTGTCTGCAGTGGTGGTGGTAAGCTGAATTCTGGAATTGCAGATTTCTAGCTCATTTCACCCCAACACTTATCTTAGTGGCAAAGTCATTAGGCCCCTCAAAAGCAGTCCCTCCTGTAAACACAGGACTGGTCATAAGTGGAAGCTTAGGAATGTCTGGGCCATGGAAGGTTCAGAGAATCAGAAAAGGTCAGCAAGTACATGGGTTCTCAAAAGGCCTAAAGATAGCCATAAGGTAGATCCTGTCCCTCAAGGAACTTACCGGTGGCCCTTGAATTCCTGGTGGTCCAGCAGCTCCTGCAATTCCATCTGCTCCCTAGAACAAACAAGGCAGAAGACTAGCTTTTTCACACAACTGGGCAAAGGTCATTGTTCCCTCCTCTACAGACAGGGAGCTATGCTCAGCTCTTACACCATGTGTACCCTCCAAGCTGCCTGAACTATCATGTCGCAATGGTGTCTCCCCCTCCATAGTGAAGATAGCAATCTGCTTTATAGACTGCAGAGAGAACTGGAAAAATTAATACACATCAAGAATCAGCACTAGGAGCATCCTAAGGGCTCTCTGTAAAAGGCATTCCCATATTAGAAGAATCTACTGTCCCTCCAAAGACCCAGCACACTGCAGTCACCAACTAAATAGTAGGGCACAAACAAGAAAGTTCTCCTAGCACTTTATTGACACCAATCCAGCAGCCTTTATTTAAATGTTTTATATATACTACTGAATGCTTATTTTTTACCAGGTGCCAACCAAGTTTTAGGAGTATAAAATTGACCACAGCATAGCCTTAGATTTCAAGGAAATTGGTACAGCTGTAGAAAAGAAGTGTCCTTTTCCATGCTTGGCAAATTCCTGCAACAGGATGTAGCTTGATTTGCCCCTATTTCTTCCACCAGGTAAGGACCCAGGCAAATGTTCATGAAATGAAGGGATATTGGTAATGTTTAAACAATTAGCACAAGTTGTGGGTTTAATTATACATTTAGTCCCAAACTAACAGAATAATAAATGTTCTACTTCAAATCTGGATTTTTTTTTTCTACATAACTTTAAGCAGAAGTTTTGGGCACCCTAGACTTTGGAAATCTGCTAAGTTGGAATAAAATTCTCTACTGCACATTGGGACTAGGGAAAGGGTTTTAACTAGAAGAAGGATTCTCACTGAGCACAAGAAAATAAAAGCTTGAAGAATCTTTCCTGCTTGGTGCCTATATCTCTGGGCATCAAAGACAGGGCCTGCCAAATAATATGCACTCAAAAATTGTACAAATGGCTAGGAAGGTGAGTTCTCTGCTCTTACAGGACAGGCTGATGAGCCTGAAAGGGAAGCTGACCCAGCATCCATTCCCAAAGGCAATCAACAGCACAAGGCATGACACAAAATAGAAGCTCAATTAACATCTGYTGAGTGAATTGAAAGCATTAGTCAGTTGGAGACAGACAAGCCAGCTTCTGATTGTGATTGTCYCTGAGTTTCAGATTTATCACTTAGCAGAAGATTCAGAAGTCAGGAGTCATTTCCTATGGTTGCCAGATTCCAAGTTACTGCAATTTCCAAAGAGGAGAGAGCAGGGATTGCTTTGCAGTGGAAACATGCTATGGACTTCAGATGAAGTAAGGGTGGAGCTTTAACCCAATATTCATTTTCTGAATTCCTCAGCTAGTAGGTTTCACAGGAAAGCTACAGTTGTCATGATAGAAAATTGTTCTTCAAGGAACTGTTTCTTTTAATAAATAGGTCCCTCTCAAATGTCCCTCTTTGTCATTGCTAATGCCTGTCCCTGGGAACCATTGTATAGCCACCTTTGCCAGATTTTCCTTTTGTGATTATCACAGGCTACACAATTCAATAACATTCAAACACAATACAAGACACTTTATTAAGGGAAATACAAATCTTGAAAGAACTGTAAAACCCATGAAGTTTAATGATAGCAAACTGACCGATCCCCTAAAGATCCTTCACAAATGTGCAGGAGCAGAGCTGTTAGGATCCAGGCTGAAGAATTCAAAAGGGTCTTAACACAAGACACTATAGAAGGGGAGTGAGCTGAATATTTGAGATTTGAGGTTGGTTTTCCAAAAAACTGAGAAAGCTTTTATGAGTTTGCTGTAAAAGTTAATCAWGAAGGAAAAAAAATTAAAAATTTTTTAAAAAGCCATTTCATGMTCTCATAAGACAGTGGAATGAATTGGACATAACTTTCCTATGCTCATATATGAATACACAACYGTGTAACTCCATATCATATTCAACCACAATAATGGGATSAAAATTGAAATGGGTTGCACTTTATGTATTTATGTCAAAATATACCCTTCTGTCATGTATACCTAAAAACATCAAAGAAAAAAATATTTCATTGAAAAGACATATAAAACAATGATTTGCTCAAATAAGTAACATATAGTTGCAATTAAAAGTCAGTGGGTGTCATTTTAGAAGACAAAGCAAGCTTAATTTTACATATTTCAACTTTATAGTCCTAACCCAACCTTTTTCTCAAAATCTATTGTGACATACTGTTCCCTATTTAAAGWGGGTTCCCTTTCAGTGCTATTTTAGCCATGACCAAGGGCCCTGCTTGGCAAGGTCTGGGAGACGGAACCTCATGGAGAACCCTTGAAGAACCCCAGGGCTCCTGGGCTTGGCAGAGACACTAATTTCCACTGCTTGTCACCATGGCTACCCTTGAGGATWCAAGAGCTCAAACAGTGGGTTCCACAAAGAAAAAGAATGAGGCAGCCTGGACTGAGGGAATATCAGGGCCACAGTTCTGCAGGAGCAGAGATATGTCTGCTCAGGAAGCCCAGTAAATGGGACAACACTCATGGTGCATGTTGTAGCCATCAGAATAAGAAGTGCAGAGGATAGCAATGTATGAACTGCTAGAACAGTAACAATAAACAAGAATTTTTAGCTGTTACTATTGTTGCAGATTGAAGTCTGTTCAGAAAAATCAGGGCTTAGGTAAGTACTTTCTGATCCTGGGCCTTTCACCATAGGACATTCCTATGAAAAGAAAGCCTTTACTTGAGATCCTAATCTTGAAATACGACTTCATCAGTCCTTGCCCATGTCCCTGATCCCAACCCATTCTGAGTATACTGCCCACCAGGGCCACTCCAGTGCCTCTGTATTCTCCCATTTCAGTTCATCCCTAAGCACTGTTGAGATTTCAGCCCATCTTTTAAAATAAGAGGTAGGTCCAGTGTGATGCCATCTCCAGTAAGTATGGGCATGTGCTCAGATGTCAAGGCCAAGAGAGAAGGAGGTTTGAGTTGGACTTACTGGTGGCCCAGGATTCCCTGGAGGACCCATGAAGCCTGGAACTCCAGGATGCCCCTAGGAAACACGAGAGTTAATTCATGGAGAACTTGAATAGTTTTTTGCTGTGTTCAGATATACTTTTCAGGCAATAATCCAATGAAGACACAACAAAAAGGATCTCTTTTATACACATTGCTAACGTCCCAATAGGTAGTAAAGGTAACTGACAATGTTTACAGAAACATTTATGTCCTGGAAAAGGACATAAAGGCAAGCTTTCAAATAATGTGAGGAGACGGTCATGGGGAAGTAGTTAAGGAAACAGTGAAAACAAGAGTGGACATAATATCTGACAGTGGTTGTGGCTGAGGACTGGGTACTTGGGGGTCTATTTTATAATACTCTCTACTGCATAGATATACTGTACTGCTCTATAACACACACACACACACACACACACGCACACACACATACACACACAGACACACACACACACAATTGATGCTCTGTATCCACAGGGTGTTCGGGCTAGGAACCCCACCCTCCCATAGATACCAGAATCCCAGATGCTCAAATATCTTACATAAAATGCCATAGTGTTTGCCTATAACTCACATATATTCCCCCATATACTTTAAATCATCTCCAGATAACTAATAATAGTGAATATAATGTAAATGCTTTGTAAAATGTATTGTACTACGTAGATAATAATATGAAGTCTGTACATGTTCAGTACAGATGCAAGTGTTTTTTAATATTTTCAATCTTGGGGTGGTTGGTTCTCCAGACACAGGAATATGGAGAGCCAGGTCTGTCTGTCTGTCTATCTAGCTCCTTAATAAAAGTCAACTGGGATTATCATATTACGACATGGATACTGTGGTCATATTTCAGTTATTTTGAGAAAGGAGTCTATTTCTCCTTGCAGAAGGGAAGCTCCTGTGTGATGCAGATGAGGCACATGAGCTAAGGTGTGCGGTGTGGCATCTAACGTTTAGTCTCGTGTGACAATGTTGAACAAACACACCACCGAGTGGGAAATGACATCCTGCCCTGCACCTCCATGCCCTGCCCACTTAGCACTTGGTCAGAGGGTCTTGCGCCTGCTGTGGCATTCTGCTAAGGAGCAGATAAATGCATTTTATTTTCCAAATACAGAAGAGCCTTTGGCTGAGAGCCTCACTCCACCCTCAAGTGCAGCTCCTATCCTGCACCTGTGACCCTCACAGCAGCACTGCCAGCCCGGTGAGGTCAGGGATGTGTCCCTCACTCCCTGAGCACCTCAGAGCTGGGGGCAGTGGTGGCAAGGGGCTGGTTTCTAAGGAGCACTGGCGTGAGAGGCAGAGGACAGTAAAGATGAAGAGTGAGGAGGAAGCTCACTGCAGGGCAGAGGCACAGGAGCCCTTCCACCAGCAACAAGGCCACTGCCGGGAGCCCACCTGGAGCACTGGATTGGYACAAGGGGCAGGCAGTGCTCAGACGCCCAGGACAGCACGTTGGTGTCAATGTCGTGCCATCCTGAAACACGTTAGGGGAGGAGGTGCAGCAGGCCTGGGGGGCATTTCCATGTACTTTGAGAGTCCCACCACACATGCTCAGGGAATGGGGGTTGGGGAGGGAGGAAGGGCATGGCCCTGTGAATGTCCACCCCTTCGGGGAGCAGGAAGCAGCCTGAGAAAGGTACAAAGCACAACAAGGGAAAAGAAGTCCATGTGGGAAGAGCAGGTGACAGTGAGCCAGAGAGACCGGAGGGAGGTGTCCAAATGCCCTGTAAACCTCCTGCTGCCGGCAAGAGGAGGYGAGGGATGGCATCGGAGCAGCAGGCCAGACGCTGCTGGGGAGGAACCTTTCATCAAGGTGAGGCATCATGAAGGAAACTGTCCTCTACCTGATCGCCTTTCTGTCCAGCCTCACCATCGGCACCACGCTCTCCTTGGCTCCCCTTGGAAGGAGAGAGAAAAAAGGAAAGAGAAGTCAATAGGATTTTCACTGGAGCTAATGCAAAAGAAAATCCTCCCCACGCCTCCATTCAGCCACCCTCCGCTCGTTTCTCAACGATCCCTCACAGGTCTCCCTCRGTGTCAGGTGTAGTGACAGCAGATAAAACAAGGTCTGGCTGAGGGGCGGCTGGAGTCAGTGCTTAACTGGGTTTTGGGTACCATTGGGGGGCATCCAAGAATGGGTCTGGGAAGGTGGCTGGGTCCCACTGGTGAAGGTCCAGGGTGTCAGCTCCTGAATCCGGGTTTAGCTGTAGACACTGGATATCTGGAAGGTTTGGGTGCCCTAGGTCTTAGCTGTGGCTGTCCTGTCAGGTGGGCTAGAGGGTCCAGGCTGGGGAGACAAGAAGCATTCAGGAGGAAACTGGGCGCCATGGGAGTGAGTAGGCAAGAGCAGGACCAACAGCTGGTGGGCTTTGCAGAGCAGCCGTAGGGTGGAGAAGGGGAGAAGAGGGGTGCAGACGGGGACGCTGCTCCCTGGACTCTGGGAAGGCTTCTCTAGATGCTGTCACTCTTTTCCTTATGAGCTGTGGGACCTTGAGCAGCCACTCAAATCCTCAGAGTAGTGGACTTTTTTACCAGAAAAAGAAATTAAAGAGGTGACCCCATGAAGGCAAGCAGACCATACGTGGAAAACACAGAGCTAGAGCAGGGAGAGTGCACGAATCCCCGTGGGATCACTGTGTTTGCTATTCTGCACCTTACTCTTTACTGGGTGTCACTGGACAAGGTGCCCCGAGTCTGTCTCCTTCTTCTAATGGGAATAATAACAATGGTATCTTTGTCGTGGGAATTAACTGACCTAAAATCTACAAAGTGCTTGGATTAGTGACAGGCTCAGGGTTGGCACTCCACATCCACTATCTACCATCACGTCTTATCACCGTAACCAGATCATCATCTTCACCTCCACTATCATAATCATCCTAACCATCATCATCATTGTCYCCACCACCAACATTGTCACTATCGCCATCATCACCACTACCTTAGTCATTGTCAACACTGCCATCATGAGTCTCTTCTGATCACCTGTCACTACTCATCATTATTGTCACCACCATCACCATCATGACCCTCCTTTCATTATCATGTCATCAAGACAYTCAGAATAAATAAACTATCTAAAATATTTTTATCGACTAACCGTAAAAGTACCATTCAAAGGTTCCAATGTCCTAACTCTCACTCTTCCTGGATCTACATGTACTGTGTTAACAAATGGATTTCGGTAAAATGTTATTAAATAGAACATTACAGTTTCTTTAAAATAATGCATTCTGCAGTAAAATAAGTCCTTGGCAGCGAGTCGCTCTTGGCTCCAGTTCCATTCCTAGTGCTCCTTGTCTTGGCATCTTGAGCARCTCACGCCCCTGCTCGGGTCTGTTAGTTCATCCAGTAAGTGAAGCATGGTGGGCAGTCTGTGTGGGTCCTCTGGGTCCAGACCCACAGTTCTCTCACAGAGGCATCAGGCCACAGCAGTTCACTGGTGGAAGACCACCCAAAGATACTCCCTTCCTTCATCCCAAGGGTGTTGGGTGGCAGGGGGTGGTTAGGTGAGCTAATGCCTGTGACAGGCTAAATGCCATTGTTTAGAAGAGAATAAAATGGGTTTGTATGGGACAGCATTATTCCAACAGTTTTGCATGTGATCATGTCTACTGTTTCTAAATCAATAAAGCTAGTGCACCGTCTGCATGCTGCTTTATAATCAATGAAAAGAGGTGGCATCCAGTAGCACACCGCTTCCCTGACATTTAGGACAATTGCCTCAAAGTAAGTGCTTTCCTTTCAAATTCCAGTCCTTGGTCTGGCTTTCAAGTGGTTTGAACACCCACCTGGGAACAATGGAAATGTCAGTGGCTCAGGATCCCCACAGTTGTCTTGCCTCCCTGCCCACCGCAGCCAAAGATCAAAGCAAACACAACCACCTCCAAGCCTGACTCATTTCCTTCCAGAGAGGGGACTGACATTTACAGAGCCCCTATGTTGCCAGGCACTCTGCCAGGGCTTTCCATATGAAATCTCATTAAATATATGCCTTTATTTATATCCTGAGCTGATAGCAAAAATACTTAATATGTTTATGATCTCTAACTTAGCCAATAAGTCTTCTTTACACATAGGGGTTATTAACAGAATGTTAGATTTTAAAAAAATCTGAAGACCAGACAGGTGAAGGCATTCACCTGAGGTCACATAGCTAAAAAAAAGCAAGGTCTGAAATCTAATCCAGACCAGTCTGTCAGATTATCAAAAGCCCAGCTGTCTCTCCCTGATGAGTTACTTTCYTGAAGGTTCCCTAAGCCATGATGCTTGGTCCTACTAGTTGTTTGTTTGTTTGTTTACTATTAGAATATTACAGTTATACATAATACTGGGATTCATTTTGAAATTATGATACAAGCATGGAACATAATTTGCTCCACTTCAGTCCCCAGTACTTCCCCTTTCTCTCTCCTTCTCCCACCCCTGTTCCATTTCCTCTACTCTACTGGTCTTTCTTTCATTTATTTATAGTTTTTAAAATTAATGCAATATAGAGATACGTAAGGAGAAATTCACTGGGGGAATATCTGATCAGGCTCACTTCACCTTCCTCCCTTCTCCTGTTCCTTCCCCACCCTTCCCTGACCACTGATCTCCACTGGTTTGGGTTCCATGATGTTAAGAGCACTGGCTTTGTAGTCAGGGAGGCTGATGGACATGCTGACCACAGGTCAGGCTCCTTGTTACACACACAGGGTACAACAATCAATAAAAAAGATGAAAGACCCTGTGTGCCTGGAATGTTTATTCCAGGGAGATTGCCAGTTCACGTTCAGGTCTCTTAGAGGGTTTGCTGAGGAGCCCTGGGAAAGCCTTAAGTCCTCCAGTTGAAAATAAGAGAACAGAGACCCTTCCTTCTGCAGAGGACTTCAGAAAACCTGTCGCTGAGACTTCCTTCTCTGCTTCCTTGAGATGTATGTGAATCCTTTCCAAAGCTCAATCTGTCTTTTGCCTGAAWTATGATCCAGGAACTCAGGAATGTCTTTCTGGGGACCTTTTGGGAATATATTCAGCAAGATGACAGTTTTATTTCTCAGTTTTGGGGGGGGGTGGAGCCTCAGTTGGGCAGATGCCCGGCTCCACGGCCCAGCAGAGCACCTGTCCTAAAGAAGGGAGGCTCTTCTCTTTCCCCTGGAGAAGGCCAACTAGCGAACGCAGGTGGTGATGGCAGTTACTGGGCAGATCTGGGGTGAACACACACAACAGACAGTGCGGCTGCGTCCTCACCTCTAGGACTGGTTACCCTGAGAGCCTGCTGGCAGCGGGCAGTGCAGGGCAGATGAGGCTCCCCTTTACCTCTGCAGGCTCTGGGGCYCTGGATGCTTGCTGCCTCTGGTTTAATGCAGGTACATTCTTAAATCATTTTTCTCTCTCTTCTCCCTTTGTGAAAGGTTTTCTGGTTTGGAAAACAATTCCATTTGCTTCTAATTACACTTAGTTATACATTAATATAARTAAGAATATAAATTAATATAAATTAATTATGAATCAATATAAATAACAATGAGAAAGTTATAATTTTTAAATTGCATTTTTAATTATTTAGAGGTCACTTTTATACTAGGGGTTCTGTGAGAATGTCAGCCTTTGGGAACAGGTAATTCTCTGAGGGGTTTACAAACCATTGAGTACAGGGTCTAAACTTGGCAAAGGATAAGTCTCTGCTACTCTCAAAGCAAACTCTGCCTATAAATTTTACATACCATTTCACTGTCTGGAAAAGCTTCTCCTTTCACTGTCTGACAAATCCCTGCCTAACCCTTGCACACAACTAAAGCCCCACCTCCTCCTGGTGGCTTTTAGAGGCTAGCACTTGTCCCACAGGTCAGTTTCCTCAAAGTCATTCCCTCTTCCCCCAACCCTGTTGTGGTTGATATTGGCTCAACTGGAGCAAGAGTTCTGAGTCCCCCTCGGAGTGGCCTGTATTAAACACTCCCACAAGCTGTGCTTTCTAAATCTCTCTCATTTAGTCCTCTTATTTTCTTTGTGTGTTAGGATACACATTCTTTTATAGACGAGGGACCTAAAGTTCAGAGAAGTCAAACATATGCCCAAGTCCTATAATTAGTCATTAGCTACAACAAACTAACAAATGGCAAAGCAGGCCAGAGAGCTACTGGCTTCCAAGTCCAGGCCTGGCCCAAGACTCTGAGGACCTCCACCCTCAGTGTGACTTTTGTGAGAGTCGCTCATCAGCCTGTTGGTCTTCTTCTCCATCAGACCCCAGAAGGTAAAGTGCAAATTTGACCTTTCTCCATACCTCCTGACTGGGAGGGAACTGTTTAAGGGGATGATGGTGACAGTCTTTCAGGATGGAGTCAGCGATGGGTGGGGGGAGATGCCTGCCCCTGGAGAGAGCATGAGGCACATGCTTGTGCACAGGATGGGACCCTGTGGCCCTTTCTGGCAGTGTCAACAGCAGCCGTTATCTCTGCATCCCAGAAACATCCAGAACCTCCATGAGAGGATTTCTGCTCCTCAGAGTGTTTCCAGGTCCTCCACAGACTCCCTTCAGACCCCATTACCTGGCGAGTGAAGGTGCAATGAGAGAAAATGAAATGCTTCCCATGGTGGATAGAATAATCATCAGCTCCGATGTGAGAGGCCTTTACATCACAGAAGAACTTGCTTTTAGGTTCCTCCCTGTGAATACCACCCCATTCCTTCTTCCTTCTCCCATGGACTGTAATTACAGCAGCCACCATTTCCAGACCCTGTGCCTTAAAGGCAGTGTTTGGTGCAGTTTTAAATCCCTAGAATGCAGCTCTGTAACTAACCACGACATTGATTTTCCCAGCCCCAACCCATAGAGAGGGCAGCTGCAAACCTGCAAGGGAAAGCTCAGATAAGCTGCTTCCCAGGTACCTAGTAATATCTACAAACAAATGAACCAAGCCCTCTTGAAAACACACACAAGGCCTTCAGTTACAGAAGGATGCTAAGAGTGGTCATAAAAACTCTGTCACTAATACAGTAACTGGGGTACAGTAACAGAGTTTACAAAGTCATCTTTGTCTTCATGAGTGCAGCAGAGATCTGTGGCATGGTTTGAATGAAGAACACAGAAATTGGCAGGTGTTTGAAACCAAGACACAAACCCGTGAGCATGCAGAGGAGCCATTAATCCCTCAGAGAATCATTTGCCCAATAATAAATAGTGATAAGGGGAAGAAGCTATTTACAGGGAGGGACATCATCAGAGTCACATAGACATTGTCCTATGCTAGGAGCTGTCCTTGGTGCTGATACTGACAGAGGTATAATGGAATGCTAACTAGTGGGGTCCTGAAGCTAAACCAGCAGGGTAGACCTCTGTTGTGTTACCTACAGGTTGTAGTCTGACACCTGACATGTACTCTTGCTAAACCTTGCTTTACTTATCTGTAAGTCAAATGACATCTCTGCCTCCCAGGACTGCTGATCATGCAGGCAGCCATGCTGTAAAGCAGTGAGTTAGGACCCTCTGTGGGCTGCACGCAGCAGCTTTGGAGAGCTCATTGTGGAGGGTGGACTCTGAGCCCCAAGGGCAGCTCAAGGTCACCATCAATTCTGAGTAGAGAAGCAAGAGCCCTGTCTTTCAGATACAGCACTAAGTTTTGTTTTCSTAGATGGGAGTTTTCTTCAATTTCTCAGAATATTTAAAAGAATAAACCCTTCTTTTAGGCAAATTGTAAGGAAATACACAAAAAGCCATTATCCCAAATCATCAGCCCTTCATGTAGGCCTGGGCTGATGGAGAAAACACTCCATATTTTCTGGAGAAAACTCTTCATCTGTGTTATTGATTTGCTTTTGTTTCTCTGAATAAGGGTCATCTCTTCACAAAGGCCAAGCCCAGCAGCCAGGAAGCTGACAGCAAAGGCACTTAAGGATCAACTAGAATTACAGGCTCACAGAATTCTCCAGGCGGGAGCTGAGCCTCTAGCAGTGACCCCAGAAGGGAAGGGTAATACAGAGAGAGTGGCAGACATTGGATGTTGCTGCCCTTCCTTGGTGACTCCCAAGCAGGCACTGCCCTGGGCAAAATCTCTTGTTCCACCTACACTGAGACCTGATATCTGTGGTTTTTAAAGCATAGGTCTTGGCTGTCAAAATCCTCTAAATCCTCACAAAGTCTATGGATCACAAATGTTGCACATCTTAACCTGCCAACTAGGGCCTAGGAGACCTGGATATATCTCCCATCCTGATTCACCATGGGTCTGGCTGTGGCCACATCACATTTTTGTTGTTGTTGGTGGTGGTTTGYTTTCTTTGTAACAGTAACAGTTATTTCTTCAGCATTGTTTCCCAGGGCTGGACTTTTAGAATAACGCAAGAAAAGCAGCAACCTTTGCTACCAAAAATCTCAGTATCCAGGATGAATAATATTCCAATGCAATATTGTGAAAAGTCAAAATCAATGCAGAAGAATCCAAAATGGACAAGATATTAAACTGATATTAAACAAAGGGATCTTAATGGTCTGTTGTATTAGGAAAAGATGTTCAGTGGAATGTGGGATCCTGTCTTTATTCTAAATGTTTTTATGTTAATCCTAATCAAACTATTACATTAATTTTAAATTTAAAAATGTTGCCTTAAAGTATTATTTGCATTGGTGACAGGTTTTTGGCTTCCCCTTACATTGTATGTCCAAGATTTTACTCACACTCTGGCCCCGTCAAAGGTGTGACCCCAGGAGCTGAAGAAGCAATAAYAAATAACACTGACTGAGCATCTGCAAGACTCCAGGTGTGCGCAGGAGCATCCTGCCTCCAGCTGTGCCCAGGCCTCTAGGTCGCTGCTCTTGGCTACTCCCAGTTGAAGAAGGAAGTGGGAAGAAGTTGAGAAATATTCCTGYGCAGTGTGGCAGAGATGGGATTCCAGCTCCTACATCTTGACCTCTTCTTTTAGTGACAAGTACAATCTGCCTCCCAACCAGATGAGCCATGCTACGTCCAGCCACGGGAAAAGGCACAGGGCACAGCTGTCCCTGAGCACTGGGGCATGGTTTGGAGTAGCACCAAGGTGACTAGGCACCAGGGAGAATCCCCAGGGGAGTGCTACTGATGAGGAGGGGGAACTGGAGTGGGACATGTCCCTGCCTTCTCCTGCCCCCATGCCAACAACACCCCTGCTGTCTCTTCTCAGAGCCAACCACCATCACCAACAGCAGCCAAGACATTCTCAGCCTAAGAGGGCATCCCTGCCTCTTCTGTGGCTGAGACCAGACCCACTCCTCCCAGGAGGCCTCCTGGCTCTGAATCCAGAGCTCGTGCTGGCTTTAAATGAGTGCCTCCTCATTCACACAAGGACCATAACTCTCACTTGCATTTGTAATACACTTTCCTAATATTTTTTAGAGTTCCAAGTTGTGTATGTGTCCTATGATCAGCTCTAACACATCTGGAAGCTGCTTGCATCCTTAGCAGTAGTGGGCAGTGAAGGGTGTGTCTGATCCCAAAGCTGGTGCCTTAACCAGTAGGCATCACACATGGCAATCCCTTCAGGCATTTCATCCTGAGCAGCCCTTAGGGAGTCTTAAGTGAGCAACTGGGGCTCCATGGTTAAACTGAGCTGCCCYAGGTCACTACAATTGTCAGTGACATGATCAGGCCTGGAACATGGGTTTCTGATTTTAAGACCACATTTCCTCTACAGCTGCCATCACTCTTCCTCAAACTTAGATGAACCTGCAAGATGAGCAGAATGGACACATAGAGATATATATGAAGTCTCACTGACCTGTGGTCCAGCTACTCCTGGGGGCCCAGGCAGGCCTTGGGGCCCAGCATCTCCCTGTAGCAGGAACCAAGGGGAAGAAAAAAAATAAGAATGAGTGTCTAGGGCCCATGTCAAGTCATCACGAAGCCACGGACCTTGCAGACCTGATCACTGATCCACGGGTTGCCCCTGCATCCAACCCTGACTCCAGAATCTCTAGGCAAAGGGTTTGGCAAGTGGTGGCACCAAGTGTGGCTATGCCATTGTGTGCATACCACCACTGTGGCTCGTGGGTATGGCAGCCAGGAACCACGGGAGCCCAGTGCCTCCTGCATCCCATGTTAACACCTTGGAGTGCCCCATTTGTACCAGGATTTGGCTGTGGCCAGCAGAATACAGCAGGGACGATGATGATGTGTCATTTCAGGGATTACAGCATAAAGACGCCTGGCTCTCACCAGGGAGCTCTGCTGGGAGGCTCCTGTAGGAAGGGAGGGGAGCTCCTTCAACAGTCAGTAAGAAACTGAGACTCAGCTACAGCCACAGAGCAACTGGCCTGGAAAGGTCTTTGCCACATGGAACCTGAGATGACCTCAGCTCGAGGGCTACCCAGGAAGACCCTGAGCCAGAACAATGGGAGTGGCCACTCCTGGATTCCTGCCCTTCAGACATTGTGAGGAAGTAGGTGTCTGTTGTCGGGTAAATTTGGAAGGACGTGAGGGATAGCCAATATAGTAAGAGGAGGAGGAGGCTATTGGAATAAGAGCTTCTGGGTTGTGTAGCATCTTGCTTGTGTGTGTGTGTGTGTGTGTGAGTGTGTGCACTTTAATGTATTTGTACATGCATAGCTACACACACAGTATGTGTTTTGATTGTCTTCCTTCTCTGTAATGCCAGGGATGTCAGCTGCCTGGCTCTGAAGGGGGATGCTTAGGTGGGAGGATGGGGTTTTCCGGCCACCTTCCAGGCTTTGCCAGGAGTGGGCATGGAGCRGTGTGCCCTTCTGAATTGCCTGTTCATCAACATGTGATGCTTGTCTTGCCCTGAGAATGCAAGGGACTTGTGGAGGAGAGTTCGGGGCMGGGTTTCTCTGAAGATTTCCTTAAGTGATTTGGAGATGCTGCCCTGAGAGCCACTGAGGATGAATTCCTGGGGTGAAGACTCCTGGCATCATCCCCAAACTCTACACATCTTAATCAACCCAATCATGGTCTTTTGATTTATTTAAAGGCAAGCCTGGGGAAAGACCATAACACAGAGGGAAAAATGGACAAACATGTCCATTTACTGTCCCACATGATACAAATGCTGCAAATCAAAACAGTATTTTTGATGACTTAACCATCAGGAGAATTTATTCAAGTATTCTTAGTGGAATCTGTTTTAGAATTCCTGAATTTAGAATTTAGTCTCCCTGCAGGGTTCCAGGGCTAGGGACCAGTTTCTGGGATCCTAATGCACACATGTGGAAGCATTGGCATGTTCAGGTGTATGCAGCAGAGAGGGATACCGCTCAAGGCCCAGAGAAGAACAAAGGGGAAATTCACATTTGCATTTGCATCTAGCCATGTAAGGGCAAATGCAAATTACATACAGAGACTTACCTCTCCTGGAAGAAGGAGACCAAGAGGCAGAATGGAGGGTCAGGTAAAGGGAGGCAATGCAGAATACATTCTTAAAAATCATGTTATGTGCATATATAAATACACCACGGAGAACCTCACCTTTATGTATAGGTAGAAAGAATCAGTCAAATATAGATTAATAGATGAGTGAAAGGAATCTAGTAGAGGAGAGGAAGGAGAATAGGAGAGGGAAGGAGGATGGAAGGAAAAGGGGTGTGATGGACTGAAGTGGATCCCAGGCATGTCTGAATTTGTTGGGATGAACCCAACTACTTTTAAAAAGAAAACACGGCAGAGACCCTCCCCAACCTCTTATCTTGGAGCATTCACTTTAGAAAGCTGTCATTGTGAGTTCTTTCTCTCTTTAGAATGTACACGGATCCTTGTAAAAGCTGTAGAAGGCATTTCCTAGCTTTATAATCTAGGAATGTGCTTCTCAAGGACCCAGGATCCATCTCTTTGGAATAAAGTCAACAAGAAGATAATGGCTCCATCTCCCAATTCCTGCAGTGGTAAGAGCTCTCCCTAAGTTGCAGAACTACCTCCTGTTACAGAGAGGGGAGGTGTTTACCTTTCCTCTGGCCAACTAGTGACACAGATGGCCATCTGTTACTAGGTGAAGATTGGTGGCAAATGGTGTTGCTGCAACCTCTTGAGGACTAGTCTCTGCTTATCTTGAGAACGGATGTGCACTCCACAGTGTATCAGCTTGGCTAAGTAAAGAGTCAGGCTCTGACTGTACAATCTCTGAATGATACCTGTGGTGCTCTCACCTCTGATTTACTGCTTACTCATTATTAATATTTTTTCTTTCTCTTCTACCTTTGTGGACTGTTTTTCTAAATTGCAAGATTTCATTTTCCATACACCCACAGAACTACCTACCCCTCATTCTGCATGCAACAGACCATGAGGTTCACAAGAACAGCTTTTCTCTTCTGAGTCCTCCCCAGTGTCTGCACATTCACTGACTCATAGGACACACTTAATAGGGGTCACAAACAGGTGATGACAAAGAGATGGATAGAAGCATGGGTGGGTGGGTGGAAGGAAGGCTGGCGTTAGGAATCTGGAGGCCTGCCTTGGTGTGGTACCTAGTGGGCAGCTGATGGTTGTTGAATGGTGAAGAAAAGGGGGAAAGTCCAGTCTTCTTTTCCAAAGAGGGAGTGATGGAGTGAAGAATGGATGGGTAACAGCTAAATGCCCTGGGCATTCTGTCTCCTGACACCATTCTCACGACTCATTTGTATTATCTCACTTAACACTTATTGCAAGGAGAGAGGAGGGGAGGAAGAGAGGGAGGATTAGAGAGAAGGGCCTGGAGAGGGCAATTCTCCCCTGGGTGCAGGAGGTAGGCTCAGTGGGGCCAGTGAGGTCCACTGGGTGCCTGCTGTGCTCCAGAATGGACCATCTGAATGATGGATGTGAATGACTAGACATCCGCATGCCCTGGAATGTCGTGGCCAACATTTCCTTAAACTGGCAAAGACTTGCAGATGCCCTCCCACCATTTCTGTGGCTCTGTCCTCTCAGCCCAGGGCCCCCCATTCCCTCTCGCCCCTCACAGCCTAAGTCCTTCAGAAGGCAGGAGCACCAGAAGGTTTCCACCTGCAATGACAAAGTCCAAAGTCCCCCTTTCTCCTTACCTTTTTCCCTTCTGGGCCTTCTCTCCCCRGCTTTCCTGGAAGACCTTTGTCCCCTTTAAATCCTGGCATACCAGGGAGGCCTGGGGGGCCAGGAGGACAATCATTGCACACATCCTGAGAGAGGAAAGAGAGAAGAAATGAGTGAGAGTTACTTGCAAAGTGGCCCTGGTTCCTACAACTGGATGGAGACTTTGTTTTTAGATGCCAGCAAAGATGGGAAAGAAAATGGTGGAACAAGWCATTATCCAGACACTTTTGCGTCAAAGCTTTGCATCTCAGTACTGAATGTCTGCATTGCTGCCCTACTTTAAGCCAGCCGTACTGCTGGGTGCACGGCTGAGAAAACGATGTCAAAACGCATGGACCTGTGCACAAAAATAAACAAATAGCAGTGAAGATCTAAGACAAGCATTTAGTATTGACAAAAATGGGCTCTGTTCCTGGGTTAGAGTCAGACAGGCTGGGAGCTGGGGTCTTTGTCCTGTCTGCCAAATGAATGTGGTTTCTGAAGAAAGGAGGAGAAAAAGGAGCAGCAGGCGCCCACCCTCGGGACTTTACTGCTGGGACACTCAGCTGAGCTCTGACCCGGCTTGGCTTAGCATTATGTTTTGCCCCAGGGGGGCATTCAGTGACTGTTCTCTGGAGTTGGGCTCCTTTGACTTCTTCCAGGCAGGTAAGTGCTGTCCCTGGAGGAAATCTAAAGTTCTGTCAGCCCAGGGAGTAGGCCTTCTGATTTGTCTGTGTCACTGGTGGATCTTCCACTTTGGAGCACAGCATTCCCCCTCACTGGCCTTACCCTCACCTACTCCTGGGCACAGTCACCTCCCCCAGTCCCTCCTCTTTAACCCTCCCCTCTTCCTCCCCTCCTTGCAATGAGTTAAATGAGATAACACAAGTAAGTCATGAGGATGGTGTCAAGAGAGAATTCCCAGTGCATGTAGCTGTGATTATTCATTCATTATTCACTTGGTCACTCCCTCTTTGAAAAAATAGTTGAAAAGGCTCTGCTCTGTTAGGCACAGTGCTGAGCCTTGGGACCACTGTAAGCGTGTGTCTTGAAGAACTTATGGCTAGTTGGGGTCAACCAACACAAAGTGGATGCACTAAGGCCTGCTGAATGCACCACAGACAGGACCTGCAAAGGCGTATGGAAGTACGAGTGTTCACACTCGGTGAGGCGCCGTCTCCCGTAACGGCATTCCTCAAGGTTTTCAAGCACAGAAGCAATTCCGGCCCACCCTCCTTCTACTTGTTTCACTTTCATTTAGTCTTTGAAGATTCTTTAGATGGCTCCTACTCCAAGAAGCCCTCCTGGTGGCCTCAGGACAGGGGCAGCTCATCATCAGAAGGTCCCAGAGTTGAAGCACTTGCCTCAATGTCCAAGTGGTCTGTTTAGAACTCCGTCCTTTCCCCACCAAGCAAAATAGACAATGTGAGTGCTCAGAGCACAGAGAAGAGTCATCTTCTCTTTGTTTGTCCAGATCATAACAAATAGTGTTCCACTGTACATGAGTTCAATGAACGAATGACTCGGGCAGCCCAGCCACCACCGATGGATTGACCAATGAACTACCTGAACTTTTGGAGTCTTGTGCCATCTTCCTTCAGTGGGTGCTCTGAGAGACTGATTGGATTTTTTGGAAAGTGAGGAATGCTAATTATTGGGGATGTGAAGCAAGGTAAATAAGATGAAAAAGACTGGGGTTGCTCTTGATTTTTAGAAAAGTAGCAGAGCAGGGAGGAACTCACCTATTCCTAGATGTTCTCCTATAGAACTTGAAAATGAGATAGAGCTATGAAACCCTGTGACAACTGGCAGGTGGGTGGGTAGATGGGTGGATGGATGGATGGGTCGGTGAATGGGCAGATGGATGGATGGGTGGGTGGGTAGATGGATGGATAGATGGGTGGGTGGGTGGGTGGATAATGAATGGGTAAATGGATGGGTGGTTGGATAGACAAAAGGAATAAAACTAGCCTGGTGACAGTAAGAATTTTGGCCACTGAGGTTAGGTTAGACTTGGAGTGTGTGGTGGAGATGGAGAATATTTCTTTGCAGCAACACGGATAAATAGTATCAGGAAGTTATATATGAGCAATACAAAATCTTCTTTCTTTCTTGTAATTTAAGGCAGACTGGGTCTGCCTTAGCTGTACACTATGTGAAATAATCCCCTGAAGACCAGACCTACCAGCAGCCCCTGTGTACTGGTGAGGAACCTGTAATCGGCCACTGTCCCAGTCTGTTCAGTGAGCACAGGGTGAGACTGGGTGCCACCCACAGCCCTAGTGATGCCCTCTCTGGCTCCTGGGACCCCGCCCCCATCACTCCTGAACACACATGCCGTCTCCGGAGAGCATTTCACACTTTCTCTGAATTCCCTGAGAGTCCTGTTTCCAACCAGGTGGGCTTGTCCAGACCCCTCGGAAACCTCTGTCCATCTGGCATCCTGGCTTCTCTCTGGGCCTCAGTCTCCTTATATATGTGATGTGGGGACCACAAAGTCCCATGACAAGTGAGACAACGAATGGAAAATATCTGATACCATGCCTGGAACACACTGAATTTTAGCTGCTGCGTGTGCCCTTCTGGTTTCAGTTATTTTACTCCTGAGAAATGCCATCTTGCCCCATTCACAGATTAAACACCCTGGGTCATCAATACTAGCTCCAAACACCTCGGCTTACAAGTTAACTCAGGGCGGTCCCTCAATCTGTGAGAGCATTTCCCCATCTGTAAATGAGCACCGTTCTCCTTCTTCAGGAAACTCTGAAAATTTAAATTAGAAAATGTGTGCCAAGTGCCCAGCATGGTTCAGAGTTCATTGTATCTAGTCTATCGATGTTGGGCATCTTCTAATCTCTACTCCTTCCTTTTGTCGGAGGCATTTTAAGCAAACCCAGCTGTGTCCTGATGGTCAGCATTGTGGTCAGTGCAGTACAGACTGACCAGTAAACAAGTGCTCAGGAACTGCCTACCACCTGGAGAACGGGGCTGTTATGTGGAAAAAAATAAGCTTCACTTCCAGGAGCAGAGATCCTCTCCAGGGCATCTCATCCAACTCTTCCTGGGCATCTGAATCATTACTACAATATTCCTACCAAAGGGTTGTGGAGTTCACATCTCAAAAGCTCTAGACAACAGGCAGGAACTTGGTAGCTGCCTGCATTTCAACGGATAGCTGTCAGGAAGTCCTGGTTCATGCAGAGATGAACTCCGACAGCAGACAGGTTATGTGCAAAGGAGGTGGAGCTGGTTGTGCTGGGTGGGAGTCTTGGCTCTCCTTCTACAGCTCTGTGGCCTGTGCTAGCAACATACCCACCTGGGCCTCAGCCTCCTCATCTGTAAAAGGCAGTCAGTAACAGCACACACCATAGAGCTGTTTGTGAGTTCTGAATGGAATGATGTTGATGCCAGGGATGTCTAAAGGAGACATCCTGAAGTTGGTCTCCCTGGGCACAGATCCAACCATGGAAGTCTATTTAACAGGGACTCTTAGATGATAAATATTCTACCCAGCCAGATTTCCAACTAGCAGAATGAGATATGGGATGTGATAAAACTCTCGGAGAGGTACATATTCTGTACTAAAAGTTGTCTTCTCGGCAGGGGAGGACCTGCCACTGGTCACCTGGACTAGACCGCAGGCTTTGACCCTCAGTATTACATCTGCAGCAGCTGGCTGCAAGCAGAGGAAGCAGAAGAGCTCTGCAGGCCTGGCCACACCCACCCAGCAGGCTCCTGCCACAGGTTTCCAGGCCCAGAGCCCTGGGGAGCTGGGAGTCTCGGGGTCCCCCTGACTCCAGGTGCCCACCTCCCTTCTGAGGTCTCAGCAGCCTGGATGAACACAGCTGCAGCCCGCGGCACTTGGGGAGTGTCGACTGACACCGTATCTGTCTCGATGTCTAGCCCGAGGTGTTGTGCTTAATCCTCAGCCTTCACTCCTGTCATTATTGGCATAAATCATATGGTTGATATCGCTGCAGGGGAGAAGGGGCAGATGCAGCGTGACTGAATTATGAGAAATGATCTAGGTTAATACAATCCTGTAATAAGCAAGGGATTTAATTGATAGATACTGATTTCTTGTCTTTGACAGTGGGGAAAAAACTCTCTCTTGTCAATAAAAATAAATAATTATTGTGCTACCACTCATTTTTTAATGAAGTATATAATTTCCCATGAAGATATCTCAGTGTGTAGGGAGACTGAATGTCCTAAACTTTTGAAAAGGTTCTTGCTTTCTTTTGTTTCCCTCCAGTGTTTCTTAGTATATAAGGAATGAGGTAAGGATCACTTGCAAGAAATCCAGTGCCACACCTCCCCAAATCCAGGATCACCCCTCCGCAGAGTTAGACGAGGGCTTGGAGAGACAGCCAAGGTTCCTGCACACCACCCCAGCAGCTGCTCCTTCTGCAACATGAATCTCCCCTTCTCCTCTCTGCCCACTTACACATCTCCAGCTCCTCACTGTTGACACCTGAGGCCTTGGCCAGGCACCGGGCACCCTGGGATGCTTCATGGAGGACTCTAGCCATGTCCTGCTCTTTGCAGCTGGGATTATACTTAACTTTGGCTGAGTTATGCTCGATTTCTCAAAGCCTTTGCATCTCACAGGGAAAGCAATTGTGGTTCTAGAAACCAGGTGAGACTACACCAAGTCTGGACCCATCCCAGCTAAAAGCCTGGCAGCTGTTTCCTACACCCTGAACCTGTGCTTCTGGCCCTTGCACCAGCAGGACCATGAACAAGCTGTGTGCCTCTGCAGCAGACCCTGATCAGAGCACAAGGCAGCCCCGTGTAGGCTTTAAAGCCAACCTTTACCCCAGTGGTCTATTTTATTAACAGACCCTCGTGGTATCTCAAGTCTCTTACATGACAGAGAACTTGAGTAGCTCCTGTGTCACAGAGTGTGTGAAATAAGAGGTGTATACCAAGCACTTAGCTAGTCCCGTCAAGAACCTTCTGCTCCATATCTGTATTGCCCTATGATGTAGCCTCCAGCCATGATGGACAGTAAGTGCTTGGAAAGGGGTTAGTGTGACCAAGCACCTGAGTGTTAATTGTATTTAATAGGTTTAAACTTAAATAGATGCATGTGGTGGCTTCCATATTGGATAATATGGATGTTAGCACGTCAGAGGGCACACAGTGAAATCTCAACACATGCTCTGCTATTATTGTTAATGCTATCATTTATGTGTTCAGAGAAAATTACTGAGATACTAAAACCCCCCATCACCATTTTCAACATTCATGCACATTTATTATGCTTTTACCTTAACCAAGAGATTTATGTCCCCTGGAGACAGTAGTGAAGAAAGGCCCTGTCAAAATGAAAAAAAAAAAAATACATACATACATACATACATACATATGTGCGTACACACAGTACATTTCATGCATCTCCAGAAAGTGAATGGCTTTCAAGATGTTAACTCATAACACATCTGTGCATGCATAGGAGACAATGGCCCATTTAATGTCCCCAGCCCAAGGCCACCCAAAGATGACCCTTCCAAGGTAGCCAGCTGGGACTGCTGACCCTGACCATGTCTAAATGACAGCCTTTCGGGTCCCCAGTCTCCTTCCACTGGCCCTTTCTCCTCTCCCAGTGTTCCTTCCTCTTCACCCGCATCAAAATCTGATTGGTCGCACAAGTACCGTCTGCACTCTTGTGTTATGGATTTCCCAGACAGGCAACAGCAGCTGCTCTCCGTAACTAACAGCTAGTGTGAATTTAAACCAAAGTCTTCAGCTCTCACAGGTGAACAGCAGCTTAAACTTTCTTTACTATTTCAGGCTGGAAATATTTAATTCTGAAAAGGAGACTTCAGAACTCAAGGGTCATTACAAAGCTTCTGACGATGCGTAAGAAGCTGCAGATGACTGAATCCACATTCAAGCCCTGAGAGTTGGATTGTGGCCTTTTATGACTGTGCCAGCCTGGAGCGGGAGACAGCGTGAAGGTTCCTTGCACATTTTGGTGCAGGGCATGCAAGGCTGGGAGGAAAGCGGGAAGGAAAGGCAGAGGTTGGAGGGAAGAGGAGTCTCTTAGGTAAGAATTGGAGAGGGGCATGCTACTTTGAGAACTTCAAATTCTGGGAAAGGAGGATTGGAGAACCTGCCCAGAAGAGACAAGGCTGCCTACTGTCCCCTGCAACATGGGAAGGAGGACACACAGCTGAACTCATGGTGTGTGATTCCTTCTGAATATGCTAGAATCCAGGTGTGTGAATTGGAAGTCGCCTGGCAGCTTGGGACAGCTGGAGCCAATTTCTGGCTATTCCCCCTTTCCTGATACCCCGGGTTTTCCTTCCCATCCTGGGACCCACAACTCATCTGACGGTGGTAACCTCGGTGTGCGTGAGATGATGAGTGGGGTGGCTGCAAACATGCTCATGGTGTTCTCTATGCTGATGTGCTCAGTAAAGCCACCAACTCTCTGGGCTGCTGCCAGAAGGGGACTGGGGTCACTCTGACTTGGAGGTGCTTGAAGGAATTAATGGCACTGCTATGAGCACCCACTGAGCAGGCAGTCGCCAAACACAAGGTCAATGCCCTTTAGTCACTGGAGACAGGCCCTCTGGAGCAAGGCCAAGCTTGGCCATGTAATAGATTACAACTTTAATTCAAAAGGGTAAGGTTTTATTTTGAAGCCTTCCATGTTCACCTGGGAAGGTCACAATAGGAGGGGTTCAAGTTGTTCACACTGGGACATCTTTAGGTTGCCAGCATTGTATTATCTGGGGTATTTTTATACTACATTTGAGAGTTTTATATGATGAGAATGAGCCCTCTTAGACAATGTGGCTGGACATCCGTCACAGGAGGAGTGAAAAAGGCACAAGTCCTCAGAAATGGGTGAGTTTCCAGTGTACAGAGTGGTCCTAGAGGTGGCTTCACTAAGGTCTTTCTTTGACTGACTTCTCCAAAACCCACAAGAGAGGCCTCCAGAAGGCACGTAGGAACAGGGCTGTGAAGGACCACTGACCTGAGGATGGTGGACACGAAATGGTCCACAGCCTGTCCTCTCTGCCTCCCAGGAGTCAGTGTGGATTGTTACTAGGCCCAATGGCTTGAGACAAGACGTGCAAGAAGTGTCTGGCTCTAGAAGACCCGTCTGTGCCCACCTGCACCCTCCTTCCTCCTAGTGTGCCACCCCCTGGTGCTGGGGGTGCTGGCTGGAAACGTGAGGGAGGTCACACAGCCAGTGACCGGCCTGGGGAGGCCCAGGGCAGGCCTGACTGAAGGCAGGGCAGCTCTGAGGCCCTGTCCATGCTCTAGACTCCACATGGGATCAGGCCAAGGCCAGACATGACCTGAACACGCTCCCCTCGTGGGCTCTTCCCCATCATGTCCTGCGTCTCCTCATCCTGACAGGTCTCACCTTACAGGCCCTCCTTAACCCACCCCTGGGGCCAGAACCCCACTGCAGCCTCTGCTTGCAGAACAATGACCACTAACCACAGGCATGAGGACTCCTGGCCCAGGATTCTATGCTTCTCCCCAGGTGGGTGCTGCCATGGAAGATCCGTGAGTCACTTTTCTCCACCCACTGAGGATGGGCAACTGTGTTATGAAGAGTTAACACAGACGCCTGGGTGTCTGAACCCTGGACATTCCAAGCAAAGATCTGGCTCCTGGCTGGTCCCTGGGTATCACCTCTAAGCCTTCAGGCTGTGCTACCTGGTTAGAGCATCTTTGTTTACCCAGGGCCTTGGCCAAGGCAGGCAGTCCATGCTAACAAGGTGGTTGATGGTAGGGACCTTGGCCACACACCATCAGTCTGACCTCTGGAGAGGCTGGAGGCTGAGTAATTAGGGTCAGTCATGTGAGCACCCCACGTCTCCACGACCAACTCCCAGTAAAAACACTGGGCACTAGGGCCAAGGTGAGCTCTGGTGCAGCACCTTGTGCAGATGTCACACACGGCAGCTGGTAGGCTTAGGCACAGTCGGCACACAGAGAGCATCGCAGGAAGCCCCTGTCTAGTCTCTCCTGCAAACTCTCCTATACACTTTTTTCTCTGCCGATTCTAATCCGCATCCTCACACCCTAATGAGGCGGGGTATATATGCATGGACATAACCATTGCCTAAGTTCTGTCAGTTCCAGAAAATCTCTGAAACTGAGAGTGGTCTTGGGGACCCTGACACATTGGCAGCTCTCATCAGTGAGGCCAGAACTCCGAGTGAGTGTCACTCACCACCCTTGGGGCCATTTGGAGGCAGCAGGTTCCATGAATTTAAAGGTGGTCCAAAGAAGACCTCTTTCTCTTTCTGCATCTAAGCCTTTCTGTGCTTGCTCTTGCTCTCGCTCTCTCTCTCTCTCTCTCTCTCTCTCTCTCTCTCTCTCTCCCTCTCCCTCTCCCTCTCCCTCTCCCTCTCCCTCTCCCTCTTTCTGTCCTGATTTCTGTCTATCTTTCCCCATGTCTCTCCATCTCTCTATACCTGACTCTGTGGGCCGGCCTCTCCCTCTCCATCCCTCTCTCGGTAGCTCTCTGCTCTGTGGTGATCAGCTGAGAGACCTTCATGATTTCCCAGATTGTCAGCCTGACTCTGTCAACTTAATCCTCTTGGCATGGAGGTGTCGAGGTCTACGTGTGGCAGACACCACTTAAACTCTTGCTGGTCTCTGGTCTGACTCTGGCTCTTCACCCACTTCCTCAGGACCTCCCCCTGCACACGGGACTCGCTTCCATGAGGCTTACCTGGCGTAAAGCTGACTCCACAGAGAAGAGGCGAAGCTGTCCCCAGCCTCAAACAACACCTTATGCTCATCCCTTCACAAGGCTTCAGTTTCAGGACCCTCAGAGCCAGCTGGTCCCTGTGCTAGTCTCTGCGGTGCCCACCAACTCAGGCGCCTGTCTGAAACCTAGAGCAGCCAGGCTTGCAGAAGAGACTAGGAGCCTCTTGGATCCATCTTGGCTCTGACACCAGACTGTGTGCTCACTCCTGAGGCCTTCGATTCCCCAGGCTCAGTGGCCACCCTCTCTTCCTTCCTCAGGAGCCCCTCCCAGAGCTCTCACATCTGCACAGCTGCCTTCCACCCGGCCCCTGACTGCTCATCCTGTGTTTCCTTCCCTCCAGGGAGCCAGGCCTCCTGCCTGGCTATCTGGCTAAAACTCTGGGGTTTTCTGGCACTGGTGACTCACTCAGAAGTCACCTCAGAAGATGAGGGTGCTGGGCCCAGGGACACCTGTGGGACTCTGGGCTGCTCTGCAGCCAGACTGCCAAGGACTCGGCCCTCAGGCGGTCCACACCTGCTTGAGCTTCCATAGCTCCCACTGTTGTCATGGGAGGCAAGGAAGAACATTTCTGCCACTCTGAAAAGGGCCAAATGGCAACCCAGCCGAGGAGTAGGAGATAGGCAAGTTAGCAATTAGCAATAGATGATGGTCTTGTCAATCTCCTCGCCACAGGCCCTCTTTGTATTATGTGCTGGCCTATTCCATGCCCTGGGAGGCTAGACCCCTAGGAATGCATCCCAGGGCTGGCTGACCTGCTGGCCTGTGCTCAGAATGGCCTGATGGGAGGCACCACCGAGAAACTACAGGAGGGCGAGAGACGTGCCCCCTCCCTTGGGCCGAGCTCTCTGGCACCAACTCTGAACCCACAGCTACAGCTCAGATCCCCTCTTCTTAGCTCTCACTTTGGCTCTGAAAATCAGCACAACTGGCGACACTCCCCAGTGTGACTTATCTCTGGGTGTCACAGCATCCCCTATCAGTTCCCTTGGCCCACAGCTGGGGAAAAGCCCCCTTGTTAAGTCTCTTGAGGCTTCTGGGCTGCACTTTATTTCTCACTGGAGCTCTGACAGTCAACACTCATCCCGAATGCTCAGGTGACATACTGGTTTTCCAGGAGGCCCTCTTTCTCCTGGATTCCCTGGTGCACCCTAGGAGAAAAAGGAGAGAAACTGTCAACGGTGATGAGCACATAATCCTGACCTATGCTACCCACCCCCTCTGCCAGCCTCAGTCTCTGCCATGGTAATATGGTAGGAAAAAATGATCACCTAACTCTGAAGATGAGCACCAATAAAAATGCATGCTTTTCAAGTTCAGTTTGAATATTCAGAGCTTCCCAAGAGAGTAGTGACAGTGTCCAACACTTATGACAGACAGCTACCCTTCCTGAAACCTCACTGTAAACAAGAAAGTAAAACAAACACGCACACACAGAGGATGCATGCACAAGCACATGTGCATGAGTCCCCTTCCACACTGACACACACACAGAAAATCCTTTTGCAAACACAGGGGGAGAGACTGATTGGCTTTGGAAAAGAAAGTCCTTCTATTTTCAGCTAAAAAAACCCACAATGTGGGGGGGGGGCAGGTATATTCTAATATTTAGAGTCAGGAATCAGAGAGTAACCTTATTTTTTGAAATAGAATCCAAGGAAGAGAAGAGGACTTTAGTGCTCCTGATTGTAACTCAAAGGACAGAGAGGAAAGGGTGCACACCTGAGCACACCTGAGCACACCTGAGCACACCTGAGCACACCTGAGCACACCTGAGCACACCTGAGCAGTGAATGCTATTGCTTATTCATGCTGGGCCTCTCTCCCCTAAGAACTCAGGGTTGTCATTCACTCGCAAGGTCAACCAGTATGGATCGAGTACCTTCTGTGCCTGGCACACTGTTATCAGGGATCTACAGACAAGCAGACCCTTGGAGCCCAGATCTATCTGAGCAAAAGACAGATAACAAATGTAAGAGGATGCTACTGTCACAAAGTAGGAAGTGACACATCCTCAGGTGCACAGACACACCTGTGAGGTCCCCTCAAAGGGAAAGGGCCATTCCAGGGGAGGGTCAGGAAGAAGTCCAAAGAAGGTAGTACCCAACCCAAGCAGAACTGTCTGGCCGGCTCTGTAAGAAATTGGCCAAGAAATTGGAGACTGTTCTGTGGGAGACCTGGAAGCACAAACATGAGAAAGACAACTGGACACACAAAACTATAAGCCACAAACATAAGAGCAAAGGACTATAAATAAAGACCTTGGGATTTCTAGAAATCCTGACTAAGCTACCAAGCTGGCCACATGGTTAAAGGAGGCCGGGAAAGGGTGGAAGATGGACGTCCACGGGCCTCTAAAAGCCTTGACTAAGCCCATGGCATTTCTCTTTACTTACATCCTGGCCAGCTGGTCCCTGGGGGCCGGGAAATCCAGGTAAGCCTCGCAATCCCTGATGAAAAGAAGAGAAAACATCCCAAAGTGTAAGCAAATAAGGCCCCACGTGGCTTGGCAATAGTCGACTCTCATCACACAAACAGCCTGTTGGCATCTCAAATGCATGTGCCAAAAGCACCCTGCTCAGCTCATGTGGAGATGGAAGTGTTCCACACACAGGATTCTCAGGAAAACCCACACTCTGAGCCTGAAGACCCAGGCCCCCTTTGCATGCTCCTTCTCTAAGTGGAAAGGACAGCTCTTTGGGTGACCCAGGCCTGAGTGTGAACCCCAGCTCTCCCCTGTGTATCCTGTGAATAACCAGCCCTGGGGATCTTAATTAGCTGAACAAGTGTCTTTGTTCCTAGCATAATGCTCTGTCCACATGACATTCCCTACTTCTAACAAGAAAGGCCATCCCATTCCATTTAAAATTTCTGAACAGCATCAGAAAACTGTACAGATATCTTTTATTATGGATCTCATTTCCCATAATACTTTTCCCTAAATATATCAGCAAATGGAAATCAGCTCTTCCTACCAGCAAGACACTACCTGCTGCTCAGGAGCTAACCCTCTTCTTCCAGGGCCTCCACAGGCCTCCCCTTACACTCAGCCCTCCTAGAGCCCCGTATTCCTTACCTCTACTTTACAACAGCTTGCTCTAGAATGGCATGCCTATCAATTAATAAACCTGAACCTCAATGTCTTCATCTATAAAAAATGGGAATAAAAATCCCTATCCTTCTTAATCACAGAAATCATATGAATGAACAACATTTAAAATGTGTGTACATGACCAAAGGTGCAATATCATCCCAGGTGTGAAAGACCACAGGGTCAATGGTTGCTGCTTATGAGGTCAGGTGCTTCCTGGGGGCTCTCAGTTGCTTTAGTGTAAAATAAGCCCGTCATTTCTCCACCTAGCTCAGGGGTCTGCCTCACCCATGCTGCAGACTCAGAGACACCCCCTCATTTGTTTGTGGACTTGTGACTGGAGGGGAGTGAAGCCAGAAGCCAGAATTCAAAATCCGTTCCTTCGGCAATTTGATGAAATTAATTAAACCATGGCCGTCCTTCTGTGATGAAGAGGTGCTAAGGAGCAAAGCCAGCCTCATTTGCCCAACTGGAAACAGGCAGGATGGATTAGACGACCCAGCCCCTTCCCACTCAATCCATGTCCATCCCATCCCATCCCACAGGCCAGTGCTCATATTTTGGAGAGTCTGCACCACTTAATGTTAGGAATTTTCTGGAACTACTTTAGTTTTTGGTGCCTATCAGTTAAAATTGTTTCAATTAAAGCAGAATTCCTCTCGTAGAAACCCAGCCCTTCTTTGAAAGCATACTGTACCRGGGGTCCTTTGTCTCCTGGTGGTCCGGAAGGGCCCTAACAAACAAACAAACAACAAATTAGTGAGCAAGTAGGAAGGACACTCCTTGACACTGCCCTGGGTTTTGTCTAACCTGGTCTCAGACTGTCCTAGAAGGGGTCACTGGAGTCTTCAGGCCACACTGCTACAAGCTCTCGCCCCTGCCCACACAAAAATGATGCTTACCGAAGTTCCCTGGAACCTCCTCCATTTGCCCCAATCTCTTGCCACTCCATCGTTATTCCCACGTGGCTCCTGACACTTGGCCCCACCTCTACTCCATCACCCTGTGTGGGGTAGGACCCAGCAGCCCTGGCTTCCCCACACTGCACCCCTTGGAAAAGGACTAGCTCTTCCCACTCAGGATGAGGCACACTAAGGGCAGACTTGAGACCCTGGTGGACCATCCATGGGATACGGTTTGGRTGTGAAGTGTCTCCCAAAAGCTCACGTGTGAGACAATGCAAGAAGGTTTAGAGGAGAAATGATTGGGTTATAAGAGACTTAACCAGTCAGTGAATTAATCCCCTGAGAGGGATMATCTGAATGGTTACTAAAGGCAGGTAGGGTRTGGCTGGAGGACGTGGGTCCCTGGAGGCATGCATTTGGAGTMTATATTTTGTATCTGGAAGTGGAAGTGGAGTCTCTCTCTGTGCTTTCTAAACATCATGTGAGCTGCTTCCCTTCACCCTACTCTTCCACCATGATATTCAGCCTCACCTTGAGCCAGAATGGAGCCAGCCTATGGACCAAGACCTCTGAAACCCTGAGCCCTCAAATCCTCTATAATTGTTCTGTTCAGGTCTTTTAGTCATAGCCATGAAAAATCAGACTAAAACACCAGGACTTGCAGGAGCAGGTCTCAGTGCTATGGAYAGAGAAACTGAAGCTAAAACCCATTAAGAACCTTAGCCAAAGTCAATCAGGGAAATTTTGGACTCAGAGGGACACTCCTGGTCTATGTAACTCGGAGGGCATGGCTCCCTCCGCCACACAAGGGCCCATAGACCAACACGCAAGCATCCAAACTGTTCCACTGTGGAGTGGTTCCCACCAYGGCTGCCTACATATACTTCAAGAAAAAGGGGCAGGGGACAGCTGGCTGCTGGCCTGGGAATGCTGCCAAGTCATTTTAGCATCACTCCTTGTTTTCCAATTAAATTCCATGATCTACCTCAAGCATTTAAATTGTTCATTATACTAGGCTCCACATTTCCTTTCTGATGTCATTTAATACAAAATCTGTTCAGAAGAACAGATTTTCTGTCCAGCGGTCTTCATTATTGCAGGTCTTGGCATTCCCATAGTTATTCTGTCTGTCTCCTTTTAAGAAATATGAGAGAGTGCAGAGGAGGATTCAGGAGTAAATATGGACACCAGAAGACCCCTAATGAGCACCTAATGGGATCTGGAGCCTGAGTATACATCTTTGGTAATTACAGCACTCTTTTCCAGAATTATGTCCTCCAATGTGTTTGTTCRAGAGCCACTTTACCTAAGACTACAATTTAAGCCTTTGATACCACTTTTCACCAGAAAGAACGGCTACTCCTTGAACAAAAGACTGACCAGAGATCTGGACAAAGAATGTACACAGCAAGCCTAGAACGCCTTGTCATTTCAGATGGCAAGGCCATTATCAAAGACTGCCAGGTTTGTGTCAGAAGCACTCAGGGTCAACTTGAATAGACTCCCACTAGCATAAGATAAAATAAGTTGATCATCAAAAGGAAGAATAATCACAACATGTAAGTTTAAAGTTATGAGTCCAAAATTCTGCTTCACAGACAACATCTCTCTGTTCACCTTTGCAAAAAGTCAGAGCATCAAGTCATTATTTGCAAACAATCAGTGGAAAGGCTTGARCATGACTTGTTCCCTTCCACGTGAGGTGTCCACAGGGTACACAGGGCAGTTGAGGGGGGTCTCTCTCTACAGAAGTATTCCAGCTAATGAAGCAAGAGGCATTGATAGAAGTATAAGGGCACCAATTTGCAGCCCTTGATGTGTAACTGATGAAGGCATTGGACAGCCAAGGGCACAAACATAACAAAAAGGGGCTCCACCAGACATCCTGCACCTCCCCATGGCAGAGCACATGTGAAGACATCAGACCGGAACCTGATCTAGCCTCCAGACCTAAGCACCAAATGATCAGAAGACAGAGGGACACAGGGACAGAGGGACACGAGAACTGCAGCAGCAGCAGCCCCACTCTGTGGGAAGCACCTGACGACCAAAGAATAAACCTGATTTCATCAGCAGATGAATTTCAAAGGGAATCCAAAAGAATGGAGGCAAAATCTAGAAATCAGTCAGAGACCAACCAATTGCTATGAGTTTACTTCTTGGCTGTTGATTCAAAGAAGAGAAAACTGCCAACGTGCGGCATTTGTGAAACAATTAGAAGTATAAACAGTGGCTGGAGGCTTGATGGTGTTATGAAGTGATCTTGGGATATGTGACAATGACTCAGGTGTGATCATGCAAACAGACAAATGAATTTTTAAAAATGTGGCTGACATATAAGTCAATATTCCAGGAGTRAATATGGACACCAGAAGACCCCAGCATAGGTGATGATTGACATGTACATTAAACACCTCGTTCCTGCCCCCCACTGCAACAGTGGTGCTATGGRATCTGAGTTCCCCCAAAGCCTCATGTGTTGGAGGCTGGGTCCTCATGCAGCAATGCTCAGAGGTGGGGTTTGAGAAAGAGATGGACCATGAGGGCTCTAGCCTCATCAGTGGGCTCAGCCATTGATGGGCCCATCATTTAATGAACTATTGGGAGGTGGCGAACTTAGGAGCAGGAAGGACGCCATAGTTAGGGGACTTAGGTCTCTGGGATGTATCCCTGGAGGGCATATCTGGTCCCCAGTCCCTTCCTCGCTCACTCCTGCCTCGTGATTGCTCCTCCCACTCTCACACCATGACTTTCCACCCCACCATAGGCCCAGAAACGATGGAGCCAGCCGACCATGGCCTGAAACCTCGGAAACCATGAAGCCAAAATAAATCTCTCCTCCCTTGATTTTCTCAGGTATTTTGTCATCATGACAAAAAGCTACCAACAAGTGGGTTCGGACCTTTGTTCCGTTAGAATGCTGGGGTCCACCCTCACTCTACCCTCTCCCCAGCGTGCCCTCCTGAAGGGGTTTCATGTCCCGTCTTCTCCTCATTTCTAAGAGGAAAGGAACCTGGAGTCGGCCTGGGGGGGTTGCTGGGAGGACGAACTGAGAGGTGCCTGTGAGAGGAAGCCTTTCTCGGCACCTGCTCACTCCCTGCAATTAGCCAGCGGAGGTGGGTTGCTTATTGGCCTTACTCTTTGTTTTAGTGGCTGCCATCTCTATCATGATTCAGTCATTCCTTGAAAAGCAGAGGAGTGCAGAAAGCAAACCCTTTGGTCAGGCACCTGAAATGCTTTCCTGCACATAACTGGTTCCTGAGCTTCTTGTGCCTCAGGCTATCAGACCACTGGAGGGGGGTGAGCCTGACCTGGTGCATGTGTGCCCAGCATCTAGGCTGAATAAGGCATCCAGAAGACCAGCTTCAGGCACTTCAGGCTGCGAAGGCTGAGAAAGATGTAGGGGGAAGAAGATCCTTCTGACATCACATGGGCAAGGCAGGGAGCCCAGTGTTACCACCAAGAGCATCAGGTTGGGACCCTCCCGTTCCCCTGATGATGCTGAAGAAATCACTGTCACCTTACCAGGAGGAAACTGGGACAGGGTGGAAGGAAGGGATCCAGGGTTGTGGGCTGTCAGTGGGAGCCTGGTCCCTGCAGAGTCCTAGCTCCTGGTGTCACCGAGGCCCATCAGTACTTTGACCCTCCCACAGCCTGAGCAAGCTATTTTTTAGCATCTCAAACCTTGGTAAAGGAAGATCAGAGACAACCTGAAGATTAAAGGGATCTTTCTTGTTTGTGAATGTTTTGAAGCAGTAAGTCAAAACCCCAAACACCTGCCTCACTGCACCTCCTCCTGTCTACTGAGGAAGCAGAGGTTGACAGACAGAGTCCTGGGCCCCCTGCCAGGGCAGCACTGCCCCTGGATGCCAAAGGCCTGGACCATGACTTTAGGGGAGGCAGAAAGTGGAGACTGACCTACAGCCAGATCTGCCCTTCATGTGCCTTCTCTGGGGAACTGAACGAGCAAGTCTGTCTGTCCTCCTGAGGCCCCCAAACAAGATGCCACAGAGGCACGAGGACTGGCTTCAGAGGGTATGTGTCTGCATGAAGTCCTGCTCCTGAACCAGCTGACACTGACTAGCCACCGGACCTTCTGAGTCTTGAAATGCTCACTAAAGAACAGTGACGTCCAGACATGTCATCCCCCTACCCCCATATTCCCTGGACACACCAAACCCTGGCAGCTCCCTGCTGCAGACACCTGTCCAAGGGCTTGCTTTGGCCACACAAGACTGTAGAGTCCAAGCAGGGGGAAGACTGAGTTCCTGGGAAAACAGGTGTTAGAACACTAACACCCAGCTTCAATGCTCCTTCTGCAGAAAGACTTTACACTGTCCCCTGTGATCACCCTGKTCAATGGAGTGAGTTGAGACCCAGGATCCCACAGGGGCCACCGCTCACTAACATGTGCTCCCTGGTCTCTCTTCCTTTTTCTCTCTCACTTTGTCACTAATAGTGATTTCTGGGATCACTTCCCAAATAAACTCCTTGCTCTTGGGACCCTAGCCTCAGCCAAAGGGCACCATCAGCTCCCACGAGACTGAATGAGGTGGTGGATGCGATGCTCGAAACCCATCAGAGAGAATGCTCAGCAAGGGCACTGTTCCTGTAAAGGGGTAGCAGCATCCCCAATGACCTTGACACACTCCTCCCTCAYTCCTCCACACACCTCCTCTCAGCATGTCCTGGAACCCTTAATGCAGATCCCAGATTAGCAGCAACCTTGGCTGGAGGCCAAAGACAAGATTGATGATGATTCAATAAGGTTTCRTGCACCACGGAAGCTTTTAATAAATCCAAGTGGTAGGAAGACACTAAACACTTGATTTAAAGCCTCTGGGTTGGAGCAAGCCAATTATTTTTCAGGTGGACACACTTCTGTGGGGACATACTTCATGGGTGGCTTTCGCTGGCTCTTAAATGGGAGGTAGGTGAATTGCATCCAGCCCTGCTGGCTGGCTTTCTGATTTGGGTACAGTGAGTCCCTGAGGAGTACCCTGGACACACAGACCCTGTTACCTAAGGGAGTGTGCCACCTCCAGGTCTCAGACTCCCAGTTTCCCTCTCAGTCCCTTCTCTGTCCTAAAGGGTAATCCCCATGTCCAACAGAACCCTCACGGCAGGGGAAGGGGACCCCCCAAACTGAGGATTTTAGAAATAAGAAAGTCTGGGCTAACCTGCTTCTTCACTGCATCTTTAGTCACACTGAACCTTTCAGTTATCAGAGACTGAAAAACACAGTCCAAGATAAAGATCAAACCAGTGAAATAAAGTGAAATGAATGAAGTATTCATTGGAAATTCTAGCTAAGAATTTCTTTTAAGAAAAGAGACCAAAGTAAACATTCTCAAGGATCTTCCCACGGTGTTCAGGGACATGTAAGAAGACAGAGTCCCCCATTCTCCTACCACCTTGAAAGGAACCCTCATTGCTAGTGGGTGGGAGTAGCAGTGGGTGCTCCAGCCTGGCGGGAGGCAACGGGGCCTGCTTTAGAGTGGGTGGGCAGAAGAGGGGGGCCAGGAGAACTTGGGGGAGGCATCAAGGTGCCCCGGATGACTCTAGGCTGTATGAAGACCTCAGGGAAAATGAGAGGAACTTTCTTACAAATGACCTTGTGGGTGATAAATTGGATTTCCCTTCTTCTTCTTTGAGATTAGATATGAAGAATGGCATACTTTGAATATCATTGGTTGTGTTCCAAATTTCCTACATGCAAAAGCATGCAGAGACTGGGCTCTGTGCTCTAGTTATATCCCAGTCATTTTAATAGGGTCACAGTTAGATTGTGCATCTGGGTCAACATAATAACAACAACAGCATGAATGTGTAGGTAGTTTGGATATTACAAGACTTAGTGAGGACATTTGAAAAGGGCTTTTAAACARTAGTAAATCTATGACTATTAAATAAGAGTAACTCTACTATCTTTTAAATAATAGTAAGTCATGGCTGTCAAGAAAAAATAAATAAATGCAATTTGAAGGTGCAGCAATATGGTGTCTTTAGCAAAGAAAGGACTAAAGAGAAAATAAGACCTCCCTSGAGAGAAAACTGTCTTAACAAAGGCTGTCATTCAGTGGAGGGAGGAAGAAAAGCTGTGTTCTGCGGCACAAAGGGAAGATTAAGAAGCAATGGACATGATACAGAGCACCACAGAATGTTCTCTTTGAGAAGAAACTTCTACTAAATAGACCTGTTTTCCACGGAAAAACATTTCTCAATTCCAGAGCCAGGTGCACAGGCTTTGGAAAAAGTGTGTTTTCTCTCTCTCAAGGCCTTCAGGGGGCTTGATGAGGTCACTGAGAGCAATCCTCAAACTGGATGAGGGCCAGGACTTCCTTGACCCCGAGAGCCCTCAGAACTCAAAGCTTCATCAATTGCTAAACCGCCACCTCTGGGGACGTGTGCACTCACACCCAGCAGACCAACAGGAAGAGATTCCTCAAAACCAACACTACGAGGACCACTTAGTGGATTGGGTGTTGAAGATGTGCTTTCATTTGTGTTCTCATCTGTACTAATTAGAGGAAGCAGGGTAATTAGTTCATTTAGGGGTTGGGGGCCTGAAATACATGAACCCACATTGTTTTCCTGTTCCAGACCCCTTCTCCAACCAGACTAACGTCGCAGGCTATGATTTAAGATTCTCAGAGTTTGACCCATGAGTCTTTGTTTTTACTATTTAAACTTTGATAAGATTGATCTTCCCTTCTTTGAATCAGACAAGTCTTGATCTCTCCAGAAGCTGCATCCTCATCATTCCCACAACAAGTACACCTAGACCTTCCACCCCGACGGTCCAGTGGCTCACTACCATGCTAGCTGGAGCAGGGGTGTCCCTACAGGGAGGCCCAGGCCGCACACTCTACGGGAGCCAGCAGGGAAAGGCTGGTGGCCTGGAGAGCAAGGACGTGCTGGGTAAGAACTCACAGGAGGGCCAGCAACCCCGATGCCCGGGTCACCACGACTACCAGGAGAGCCAGGGATCCCAGGTGCTCCTCGGTCCCCCTAGAAAGAAAGAAAAATAAGATTGAGAGGTCAGTGCCAGAAGGAGAGGTCCAGGGTACAGGATAACCACGCCCTCCAGGGGTCCTGACTTCCACACTCCATAACGTCCTCTCCCAGGCCTCCATGTGCCATGGTTCGGCTCCCAGGAGGAGGTCCAGCACCACATGGACCACAGCAATGACTGTGGTCATGTACTTTCCAAGGCTGACCGGTCCCCAACCTTGACCATGGTTCTAAAAGTGATTACAACACTGTGATCCTCCCGCAGTGGTGACCGCAGTTCCAGTCTATGTCTCCATCCCAACCACACAACACCCACATCTCAACTCCGAGCCTCAATCACTGGTAAACGGATTCATCAGTCCATCAAGGTTTATGGACACCCACATTTTGTGAGTCACTTTTCTGAGTGTAGCAAGCCAGGCCTCTTCCACAACCTTGGCCACCTCAGTCTCTGGAAGTAAGGGCTGATACAGCTCCAAGACAGCAAGCCCTGATCGGGGCCAGCACAGGCTATTTGCAGTCCTTGGCCCTCCCATTTGTATTCATTCACACATGTTTATTGCATCACTGTTAACAAGTTTGTTTGGGGTGCTTCTCCAGACCCCACAGTAAATGTTGAGACATGGAGCGTGCGTATTACTACCTCTCCATAATTCAAACTAAATTTGATCCCAGAGGCACAGGGCCCAACAATCTCATGCAACAGAATGTCCTCTTGTACTTCTTAGGTCATCTGGACAGCAGCCAAGCATGAGACTGAGGTGGCAGACAGCCTTGCTCCAGCCACTTACTGTCCCTAGGATGAGCTAACTTGTCTGATGAACGGAAACATCCTCAGAGGCGGTTCTGTAGAGCTGTCCAGATAATGTGCAACCAACTGGTTCTGCCTAGAACCCAAGAATGCTGGGCAACATACTGCTCTACCAAGATGTCTGTGTTGAAGCATTTTTTTTTAATTCTCATGTGTAAATAGTCTATCTTCTTCTATTTTAAGGGAAAATAAAAGAGCATTCTGGACCTTTAAGATGAGGCGTTTTTCCTGCAGCAGGACTGTGGCTCAGGGACCACACTTGTCCACTGAAACAGCCATCTAGGCTCCAAGCCCAAAGAATGACTCACTCGGAGGCTGGCTCACTGTCAGTACCCATGCTAGGCTCTGAAGCAGAGCATCGTTGGTGGGGATGGAGAAGATAAGTCTGGTCACCTCCTCACAGAAGACAGGGACCAAGGTCCGATCCCTGGCTGGGCTCCCGTGATGCTGTTTCTTCCCCTTGTACCCCAGAGGCCCACAGGTGGCCAGGCCACAGCCCACCAATCCCTGGACCACAGCATCCCTGGCCCACCCTCAACTCTCCCAGTAGTTCCTTCCCCAACATATTTTATTTTTCAAATTTCTAGTCTGCGCATTCTGTGTCTTCAGAATGATGTGGGGTAGCCCATTCTGGGAAGCACGGGAGGCTCAGGAGAGGAACTCAAATGAGCACTATGGGGAGGCTGGGAAGAGGAGGTCAAGAACCAAGACCAATGTAGAAACAGGGGTCATGAACTCAGAGCAAACCCGATCCCTGCTGTGTGTCTTCAGCTCTGGCCACAGTGGACCAGGTCAAGTGGTCACTGTCATGTGACTCCAGGTCCAGGTCCAGGACCATGTCAACCTCATCCTGTGATAAGACCAACTAGGTAAGTTCGTCTCTGTGTCTTAGGACCCTCGTCAAGAAAAATAACCACATCCAGCAGAGTCCCTGCATATTATTATGAGAGTTGTTACCTCATCACTGGACTCACCCACTGAAGTGGATTAACCATAGGCAGGAAGGGGTGGCTGGAGGACCGTAGGTCACCGAGAGCATGCTCTGGGGGTTACAGTCTGTCCCTGGCTCCTGAGCCCCTCTGCTTCCTGGCCTCCAGGAGCTGAGCGGCTTTCCCTGTCCAGGACCACAGCCGTGGGTGGCACTGGCAGAGCACAGAGGGAACCTCTGAAACCATGAGCCAAAATACAATTCTCCTCTTCTACGGTTCTGATCAGACACATGGTCCCAGGGATGCAAAGCTGTGCCACACACTCAGGATTACACTTACACATTATCACTTTATCGGCAGAGCTAGCAGATAGAAAACCAGCTAAACACATATAAATATCAGAGAGATCCATATTCTTTCGCACTTGGTTTTGCTTTAGGTTTTTCAATGTGATTTTCCTACCATTATTTTCAGTTTTCGCTGGGTTCCCCTTCTCTTCCCGTGGCCACGTTCCACACACCAGCAAGCTCTCACCCCTGCCAGGGAAGCCACAACAGCACTCTGATTTGTTTTCTTCTGTGCTATTTTCTGACATCTCTGCTTCTTAGATTCACGGTGGCCTTCCCAGAGACGCTCGTGCATCCACAGTACGAGCTTCCAAACACCTACCCATCAGCAGACCCACTCTTCCATCCACACATGGCTGCCCGGTCCACTCCTCTATCTTCTTACAGACGCCTTTCACCTCTCCATCCATCTGACACTCCCGCTGACCACGTGCCCATTTCACCCTCTGACTTCTCTGTAAGGAGCTAGAACATAGAAACTCTCCATTTCTTTGTTCATTTAACATATATTTATCAAGTACTGAAAATGAGCAAGCCTCCCCCATCATTCACACCATCTTTGAGCACAATAAGCTCTCTCCAGAGGAAGGAGTGCGGGACAAAGGCCTCCCCTTCCTGGGGGCGGTGAGTCACTGACCGTTTTTCTATACTGGGGTCAGATCTGGCTCTGTTTCTGTGTGTGGTCTGCTGTGATGCTAACAACTCCTCCAAAACTACTCCACGGCTTAATGAACAGACACTTCTAAAGCGCCCTGAGAATACAGCAAAAGTCCTTAACGTTCTGCCAGCAGAAGCAGGGAGGTCGATGGGCATGAAAGAAAGGGCATGTGCACGGGCATCTGTAACAGAGTCTGGGGAAGGCATGTGTGAGAAGTCTGGGGTCCTGCACGGAGAACCACACACAGGGCAGCAGCTGTGCACCACAAGGTCAGCTCTCTCCCAAGGAGTTCTTAGTGTCAAATATTCCTTACTTCCTCGTACAGAAAAGGAACAAAGAGTCTCAGAAAAAATGAAGCACTTGCCTTCACGTTATGTATCTTGTAGTGTCTGAACTGGGAATCTGCAGGAAGCCAAACCCCAGGCATTCTGCTGGAAACAAGTGCCACTCAGGACAAGGAAAAGTGTCCTTGCAATTCTAAGTAACCAGGAAAGGCTGAGGGTGTGCTGATGAGAATCCCTGCTAGCCCCCTCCTTCCCAAGGCTCACCCATTCGGCACCGGGAGAGCACCAGCAGACAGCACAAGGCACTCACCTCTCCACCTCTCCCTCCCTTCTTCCCTTCCTTCCTTCCTGTCCCTCAATCACTCATTCTTCAACTAATGCTATCTCCAAATGCCAGCTTCTCTTCCCAAAGCATCGACTATGGAAACCATGATTCTAAACCAAATCCAATTTACAAATTTACACAATACCAACATTGGAATGGGTCACCTATTTAAAGTCTCACCTTTTAAACAGTGGGAAACGTTTGACCAAAAGACAGCATGACTGATCCCAAGTCTCATGGAATTGAGCCCAGGTCAGGGTCTCCATGCTCTTTGCCCTGGGGTCTCCGCCCGCCTCTCTAACTTTCATGGATGCCTCCCTGYTCCCCTGGGGTGTTCTTCAACAGCATGCCTGCAGACTGCATACAGCCTCTCTGGGTGACACACAGGGCAGTCAAATAAGKATCACAAATATTTACTCAGCATGCAATGGGACTGTGTGCTGGGAGCTATTTTTATTGGTATGACATCATTGATTCCCCCCACACTCTGCCTGAGAAAACAGTAGCAATACTGTGTGGCTCTGTTGCTGAGATTCCAATGAAACAGTCACAAAATAAAAGGAATAAAGGAGAAAAGCCCGTACGGCTGGATACGGGATCATAAATAGTTGGAGAACCACTGTGCTGCTCTGCCCTCACTTCCTATCCTAAGAGCCACCAGTGTCCTCTAGGCCCTACAGAGCCACCTGGGCTCTCTGCATGGCAGGGGACTTCCCACATGCTCCTCCGGGGGTGTAAATTCCTGAGGTTCCAGAAACTGGAACGTGTCCTGCTTCCTTGTCCTGCTCACACCGACAGGGCCCACTGCTGCARGATACAGGGCTATTGTATACACCCCCAACTCCAGGCAAAGCTACTGCCTTCTTGTTCCTCAGAAAATAGGAGGCTGTCTTATATTTACTCACATCACACACATACACACACACAATGAAATAATCCCAGTCGGAGAAAAGCAACTTGGCATGCTGCAGCCTCAATCAGTAGGGTGTGAGGTAATGTCAGCGGTCACCACTTGAACAGAGGAAAACCATCAAGCCCAGAAGTTTAACGGAGATGCAGTAACTGTCCCTGGAGCCTCCAGCTTCCTGAGASTAGATATTATTTCAACAAACCTTTCACATACAATTTGAAAAGCAATGCACCCCGGCTCCGTTGCTGAGATCCCCAAGACACAGCCACACAAAACAAGGAATAAGGGGAGCAAAAGGCCTGCACAAGCTACTAGTCTCTGGGGCTTGGAGTAAAACTTCCSGTAACAGCATCAGATTTGGATGCTGAATCTTAAAATCCTGGATGTGATGGAAGGTACAACGCCTCAGAAAAGTCCCCGTTGGCTGTAAGTGGCGGGGTGGGCGGGGGGCATGACAGGCCCCAACACGGAAGGCACATGAGAAATTTCCAAATAACTGTTTTTGTAAACAGGTTCAAGTCGGTAAGAATCATACAATTTCCAAATAACACTCACATTTGTGTAATTTTCAATAGGTACATCAGATTAAAGCCAAAAATGTAATCAGCAGTCTAATGTTGAGCACTGATTGACCCACATTCTTTAAAGCCTGTGCCCTGAGCTGGTTAAATAATTCTCCCCGGAGGTGGCTGTTCACAGTCCAGCCCCTCCATGAGCACTCTGGACCCTACCTCAGTGTCTGCCCCAYGTCACTGCTTCCTTGCTTTCTTCCCTGCCAGCTGCTACAGACACACAGAATCAGGAAAAATGCCACCTCCTCCAAGAAGCCACCTGCTGTCAAACCAGACTGGGCCAAAGGCCTCCCCTGAGCTCACTGAGAGGCCAAGTCCCCCATCCCCCAGCATTCATCTGCCTTTGCTGTCTATATATCCACTCTGCCTTCTGRGCCATGATCTGTTGGGGCCCCAGGAACACCTCCTGAGCACTGCTGTGCTCCCAAAGCCCACCCTGAAATCTGACCTGGGTGGGAAGCTCAGGAGACTGCAATGGATTACATGATAAGTGCACTGGCCATGGGTGCTGAAGTTCAGAACATGAATCAGTGAATCCTTTTGAAGGTAGCTCCCGGGCATCCTTGCTGGCTTGGGAAAGTTCCCTCAAGGACACCCTGCAGGGGACAGTCACCTTTTTTGGATTGCAACTGCTGATGAATAGAGGAGGAGGTGCCCTCCGTGTGGCCCTCTCCCTTGGGTGTACACCTGGATGACACCCCCGGCCTCCCCATCGGGACGCTCACTAAGGGTTGCCGACATAAATTCTAACCTCAGGCCTGGCTCATTCCTCCCACCAGTCTCCATTCTCTTTCCCCTCATCTTACCCCTCTATACTGAGGATTCGGGGGAAGATGCTGAGACCCTGGAGGACCTAAGAGCTGTTGGGTTAGAACATGAGTCCCTGGATGGCTTTATGGATCCAAACTCCCACACACCAAGATGTCCCTTGGACTCAAGGTAAAGGAGCCACTGTATTAAGCCTTGGAGATTCAGGGATCACCTGATCTAAGACCACTCAGATCTATTACTCTGCCAGTTGGAAGCCAATGTCTCTTGATTTAATTTAGTCAGCAAGTGTTATGGTTTAGATGGGGGGGGGTCCTCTAAAAGCTCATGCATGAGACAATCCAAGAACATTCAGAGGCGAAATGATCAGATTCTGAGAGCCCTAACCTGACCATGAACTGATCCTCTGATGGGTGAACTGAGGGGAACTGAAGGCAGGTTAGGGTGTGGCCGGAGGAGGCSGGTCACCAGGGCTGTGTCTCTGGGGTGGATATTTTGTCCTTCAAGAGCACAATTCTCTCTCTGCTTCCCGGCTGCCATCTCCGGAGCTGCTTTCCTGCCGTGCCTTCTGCCATGGCGTTCTGCGTCCCCTCAGGCCCAGAGCTGTGGAGKGGGCTGTCTAGGGACTGCACCTCTAAAACTGTCTGTGACCCAAAGTAAACATTTCCTCTTCTAAGTTTTCCCTGTTGGATGTTTTGGTAGCAGCGACCAGAAAGCTGACTAAAACAGCAAGTTTTTATTAAGCACTGACTGTGCAGCCACTGCTTCAAGGTAACAGTTACAGGTCKTAGAACCTTTAGTCAAAAGGAAGGTGACACGCAGCGAAAGGTGGAGGTGAACAGAGGTGACCGAGTTGCTCGTGAGAAGCTACTGGTCCCTTTGTAAGTGCGACCTGTGGGGTACAGTTTGCAGTCAAGCACTTACTCACCTTGGTTCCTGGGGGTCCAGGGGCTCCAGGCGATCCACGCAGACCCTGAGAGAATGAGCAGAACCAGAGCATTAGGCTGCTGCTCTCACAGCTGAGTGACAGTCACAATTGACTTCTGGAAGTATCAGCTGGAAGAGCCAGAGGGGACCAGGAAGCCCCTGGACGGCTGTGGGCCAGGGGTACTGGTCTACACGACCRTTTCCCCTCAGTCCCAAGAACCTAAGGACACAGACTGACCATCTCTGTGTCCCCAGGACCTGGCCCTGCCTGCCACGCAGTCCACACTGTGCTGCACTGGCCACGGAAGCGCAGACCACCCTCATCTGTGATTCTGCTTCCCAGGAATTCAGTTACCTGTGGTTCAGCCACAGTCTGAAAATATTGAATAGGAAATTCCAGAAACAAACAATTTATCAGTTTTAAATAACTTATCGCAGTGGATTGTTTTAATTTTTCTATTTTGTTATTATTGTTAAATCTCTTACTTGACTGAATGTGTAAATAAAGCTTTATCCTAAATATGGATGGAGAGGGAAGCAGCATGTGATGTGTAAACAGARGGAATGTCACTCCCCTGTGAGGACACAGATGCTGGCTCCTTCTGCTGCGATAGGGTCCTTCTGAAGACATGAGGGGGCTCAGGGTCTCAGGAGGAGACTGAGCCTGGGAGATCCCTGCTCCTCCCTTTCTCCCTTTTACAGGCTTTCCTTACCCTAGAGCTTCTCTTCTGGGAGATAGAACCTTTGAAATGATTCATTTTCCTCTACCGCCCTTTACAGCTGGCTTTGAATAAAGCCCATTTTACYACCAATTTGAGCAGGTAGTAAATGAGCAGGGAGACTCATGGCCCAGCCTCTTCCTCCCCCTGCGGTATCAGAGCTGCCCAGTGACATGCAGGATTTAGCTCTCTGTGGTCTTGGGCCTCTGTGGTGGCCTTGGAATGTATTTCGCCTGGTGGGGGTGGACAGCTGTTTGCCCACAGACCACCCTTTCCCAGCCAGCCGAAGGGCACTGGCTGTGATTCTGTTTCTGTCAAGTTTAGCGGTGAGTCTGGTATTTTCTTTTCCCTTTTCCAATTTTAGCCTGGTTCCCCAGGCACAGAATCCCAGCCCCGACCTGCCACTCACCGGCTCGCCATCGGTCCCTTTTCCAGGTGGCCCAGGGAGCCCAGGAGCACCAGGATCGCCCCTGGGGCCAGCAGGTCCTGGGCTTCCTTCTTCCCCTGCTGTTCCCTGGAGAGAAAACAGGACCATTTTCCAGACCAGGGTAATACAGAGCTCAGCTCTTCCATGGTGGACCACCTTGAATGGGTGGTAGGTCCCCAGGGCTGCCCTAACAGTTTAGAAGCCTGTCCAGCTAGGGCACAGACACACTGACTGTACCAAGGGTGTGATAGTTGGAGCTGTACGCCCTGCACATGTCGAAGCCCTAACCCCCACCTCCATGTGGAAATAACGTATCTGCAGATGGGATTAGTTAAGTTAGGATGAGGTCAAGTTGGACTCATGCAAGTGACAGGTGTCCTTTGAGACCCTTGGACACAGCAGGGGGAGGACCTTGTAAAGACCCAGGAAAAATATGGATGGCAGTCAGCCAAGCAGAGAACCTGGGACAGATCCTTTYCCCACAGCCCGCAGAGGGAGCCAACCCTGCCCCTACTTGGACTTAGGACTTCCGGTCTCCAGAGCTAAGAGACCATAACTCTCTGTGGTTTAGGTCACTTAGTCTTCGATCCCTTGTGAAGGCGGCCCAGCCACTTATTACAGCGTGGAACACAGAAATGGGGGTCATCAGGGCTACCATGCAGCTTTCCACCCAGTGTGGGGAACACCAGTGGGTCTCAAAGAGGAGCCCCAGCAGCAACGGGGAGCTCGGCCTCCACCAGAGAGTTCAGTCTCACTACACGGCATCTCGTCACCTCAGTGACAGCCTGTCTGACGTCTTCCCCAAATATGACACTCAACCTTCTCCCTGGAGCGCTGAAGACAGAATCGAATCCCTGTTCACATGAGAAGTCTGGAACAGGATGAATGGAGTTCAAGGCTCCAAAGGGACAGGGAGCCAGGATCTGCGGGGGGAGCTGGCCTCGAGCTTGCTCATCTTTCCTGACCTCAAAGCTGTGAGCAGCCCACTACATGGAGTGGACCTGGAGTCAAACCCCATGAACCAGAGGGACGCCTTTTCCTGGAGGGAGCTCCCTGCTAAGTGGCAGTCGCAGGGTCTCCAGACATTTCTGATGTAGAAGAGGTGAGGTAATCCAGCCCAGGACAGCAAAGCAAGATGGAACAGGTCTCCCCAGCAAGATCAGCATCCTCAGCCCCAGACCAGCCACTGGACGTGGGGAGAGAGGCGCACAGTGTGACGTCAGGGAATTTTACCACTTTGCAGAGCACAGGAGGCTTCCTTCCAAATATAGTCCAGGGCCCTCTCTAGCCCTCAGCCTGGGCTTGCGCTTAGCCAAGGGAAGGTGTTTGGCTCCCCCTACAGGTTGCACGCACCAACAGCACATTGACTTTTCTGGCTTTTTAAGTTAGACTAGTCCTCATAAAACAAGACACTTAGCATCTTGGTTAAGGTYTACCCTTCTAGGTTGTCAACACCCTACTTATAATGTGGGGACCCTCAGACATGGCGCATTCAAGAAATACCAGCAAGGGCTGTGCTTTCCCTTGCTTAATCTGGGTGCTCTTATTACTGCAAAGAAGGTACTCTCTCCCCCTCCTCCAAACTGTTAGCACCTTCATCACATAAGGGTAATTACTGGGCTCATGATCAACTAACGCTTCAAGAACCCCTGGTTTTTTCTAAATTACTTGATCGTTTTTACCTGTAAGAAATCACTTTGTCTCTTAAACACATATTTTTAAAACTAAGTCAAAAAACACATTTTAAAACTAAGCCAAAAAGCAAATTATACCTACTAGTTATATTTTACAAAAATGGAAAATGTCAAGCGATTGTTCAGAAAAGGTTCCAGGAAAATTGGGCTGGAAGGATCTGGCACTGGTGTTCTGGGAGAGGCCTTAGCCAGGGTGCATCCCAAGGGAAGCCACAGCACACTGGGCACCTGCCGCGGCTGCGAGTGCCACCTGCTGGCCCAGGGAGGGCAGGGCACGACTATCTTCACGCACCACCAGTCCAGGGCTGAGCCCTCTGCGCGTGCCCCCCACCCCMCTCCCCAGTTGCCCAGCTGGTCTGCACAGCACCTATTCACACTTCACAGCTGAGCAGCTACAGGTGTGAGGAGGGGGCTGCGTTTGTCTCTCAGTCCTGGCATCACTGACATTCAGGGTGGATGATTCTTGGGTGTGTACCAGGGAACGTCCTGTGCACGGTGGAATTTTTAGCAGGAATCCCTGGTCTCTAGCTACCAGGTGCCAGTCTTTCTTGGCCCCCGTGTGCCCATCAGACCTGTCGGGAAGACTGGTGGGAGCAGCACCCAGTTGGGAGCTGCCATTCAACCCAAGTCTAAAGCCATGTGTCACCTGAGTCATCCAAGCGCTGGCTCAGCATGGCCAGTCAGCCTCAGACACCCCTGCAGTGCTCGGTCAGAGGAAGGCGCAGTCGAGGTGCACAGTGACTGTGCTGGGGCGTGGAGAGACGAGAAAGCGGGATTTGGAGTTGGACTGGTCTAGCTTTGCAGCCTAACAGTGAGGAGATGTGGGGTGAAGCCATCAASTGCCCAGAGTCTCAGTCTCCACACCTGTCAAATGGGCATCCATCTGATTCACGGGTCTCTTGTAAGAACTGAATGAGGTGAAGTGGTGGCACAGGACCCTTCCCCTCAAAGTGCCCTCTGCTTCCTGGCTCCTAGACCAGGCCTGGGCCGCACATGCTGGTGTGTTGAGACTGCCTTGGTCTTACCTTCTCACCACGCTCCCCATCTTTCCCAGGGGGACCTCTGAGGCCAGTGGAGCCCTGAAGAAAGGACAGTTATTCACATGGTGAATTGCGTGACAGCTTGTGGTCCCCAGCGAAGGGTATCTGGGTCCCACTTGAGCTCTGTCCCACCTTCCCCTGCTGCTTACATTCCCCAAGGCCCGTCTCCTCCCCTGAGTCTGGCCGTGCACCTTGCACACCTGCTTTTAAGAGCAGGCCTGGTCTCACAGGGCTCTGCTCTGCTCCGGGCTGTGAGCTTTTGGAGGACAGGCCTTAGTAGAGTGATCACCAAAGAAGACACAGATGGCCCAAAGAACACAGGCCCAGCACTAGAGGCCACAGTGCCATGGAGTCCCCCATAAGTTTACTTTGAAACAAAATTGGAAGCATTTTGACAAGCATCCCAGAGAAGTAGAGGGGTGAGGAAGCGGAGGGGTGGGCAGCTAGAAACTCGAGAGCCACTGAAGCGAGTCCTGCAGGGGCCTCTGGGAGACCACCTAGGAGCCACTCCACCCGGGCAAAGGAGCTAGGTGGCTCACATGCCCATCGGCTCAAGGCTGCTTCTGGGGGTGCTACTGCCACCTGTCATGTGACTGGATGAAGTGCTCTCTAGGAGCGAAGAGGAGCAGAGCTGCAGACTCCAGATGGGCATGTGAGCTGAGGGAAGGGTGAGCTGCTGTGGCGATGTCCCGGAGCATCCGTGCAACCCCTTACTACCGACTCAATCTCCTGGGCCTCAGCTTCCTCCCATGTAAAATGGAGCCCATGATAACATCCGCCCAACAGGGTTACTGTGAGCATGAAATGAGCTGACCCATGTCTGCCCCAGGAGCAGGGCCTAGGACAGAGGAATGCCCGGATTCATTCCCTGCACTGTGATGACTGACACCTGAGAAGGTCTGATGAATGGACAGAACTGACCTGAGTCTATGGCAGAGGATAGATTCTCTGYAGCCCTTGACTAGATGCCACGGTGTGTTCTGTTAAATGCTGGAATCTAAATCAGTGTTTACGGTGAATCTTAAAGCCAGTCCATTAGCAGACACCTGGAGCATCCTCATGAAGAGGTGGGATCAGAAGGGCAGTGAGGTGGGACCCTAACAGGGACCGGCACGCCCCACGGCCTCCATTTACAAGGATCAGCTCGCCAAGGTCCCAAAGCTCTCTGTGGAGGCTGGGATTGGAATCCAGGTCCCTAGAGCCCGTCAGGGAGCCTGTGACTTCTTTAGGTTCATTTTACTTCTTCTGTGATGTCGATTCCAACATGTAGACGCTTTCTGCACTGAGAACAGCTCTGTGAACCACTGGAGGCTGAAGCCAGACCTCGAGCCTGAGGTGTGTTTTTTCTGGGTGACCTTTGCCAGGACATCCGTGTCCCCACCTGTGAGTTGGGCCCACACCTCTGGGTGTCAGGGAAGGTAGRTAAGCGGATGTGGTGGAAGGCCCTGCAGGCCACGCCCACTGCCCGTCCCCACCCTCTCCTGATCACTCACCACGCTTCCAGGGGGTCCACTGGGACCTGGGGGCCCTGCAGGTCCAGGAGCACCCTATTCAGAGACAGCAGCAGTTTAGAAACACCCCAGGAAGCAAAGGCAAACCGCTATCCAGGCCACTCTCCAGTGCTGCCCGCCCCACCAGGCTCCAGTTTACCACGTCCTCCCCAGCAGGGCTGTGGCTCCCGACSGCCGGCAGGCATCGGACAGAGTGGGGGAGGGACAGGAGGGCAGAGGACCTGGCAGTTCCTCCAGCCCAGGCACAGAGTCGGGTGGGGCATGTGGAGGGCAGGGATGGCAGGGGAAGAAGCCCCATCACAACGAGGGTCTAAGTGAGTGGCTTTCAGCCTAAGCATGAGGAAAGGAGTCGCTGAGGAGGGAACAGACTGCTCCGTCCTGAGCTGCAGAGGAGAGCCTCTGGGTAAGGAAGGTCAGCCAAAGGGCATGGACAAGACCTAAGGCCACAGAGACAAGGGGTTCTGAGCGTGGTTTGGACACAGAGGGCACTCATGGAGAATATGCAGAGAGCAAGGACCAGCTTATGATCAACTGCTGATTCCTGGAGACCATGAGTCTGCATGGGCACAGCAAGTCTGCCTCTGGTCTGCACCATGCTGAAGGCACCGGTGCCATTCACAGAGAAAGGGCACCCAGAGGGGAGCAGGTGTGTGTGTGGGGGGGGGCGGTGTGTGTGTGTGTGTGTGTGTGTGTGTGTGTGTGTGTGTATGGGCTTTGACTATGAAGGCCGGAGCAGCTCTCCTTGCTTCCTGGAGGGAGTGCACTTGAACTAGAACTTGGTGGTTGGGCCAGGATCCATGGGAGGAGACGTCCATGAGAACATTCCAGGCAGGTCTATGCCATGGGGATGGGGAGCAGGGGGTTCTCAAAGGACTAGAGGCTGCTCATGTTTCCTCTGGGCTTGTCCCCCACTGTCACAAGGATGTGCATGTCTTCAGGGTCAGAAATCACAGAGCATGCTCCCAGGTCCCTTGCCTAAACTTCTGCCACTCTACCTGAGCTTGGTCCAAGGTTCTCTTCATTCAGGACAGAAACTGGACTCTGCCCTGCTCTGTGGCATCCTCACTGTTCAGTACTTGGATGCCCCGGTCCCCACTCAGCCTTAGGCACAGGTGGCCWGGTCATGTGAGTGTGCTCCTGTCAATACACCAGGCCTGTGGTGCCAGGAGAGCCGATGCCAGCTGCTCCTCTTACTCCCACTACTACTCCTGGGAGACCTGGTCAGGCCAGCCTGGTCCTGCCTCCCACCAGCACCACGGACAAGCCTGGGCTCTGCGGCACTGCACCATGCCATGGGACCAGTGCCAACCCCGTGAGACCACAGACACCAGATTCTGATCTTGACCCTGCAGACAGGTGGTCCAGGAGCAGCAGCTGGACAGCTCCAAAGGTGCAGGCATGCAGGTGTGTGCCTGCGTGCACTTCCCCGACTGAGTGTGTATGTGTGTTGGGGTATGTGTACGTGGGTTTATAGAGTGTGCAGAGGTGGATGTGAACCTGGGCACACCTTTCAGAGTAACAGATTCATGAAAGGGTGGAAGTGTCCCTGCATGTCTGTTGTGTGCATCATCCGTGTGAGTGCAAGTCTCCTTTGTGGGCTGGGAATGCTGTGGAGGCCGGAGCAGCTCTCCTTGTGCCTGGTGCTGGAGAGGCTCCCGGCCTGGACAGCTGTCAGGCATGGGCKGTGCCCACAGAGGAGAGCCATGTGGCAGAAGTGTACCCTGGCACTCCCTCTGTGGGGTCCCTCATGATGCAGGCGGGACACAAGGACTCACAGGGTTTCCAGCCGCTCCAGGGGYCCCATGTGTGCCGTCTTGTCCCTTGCCACCCTGTGAGGAAATTAAAGGGGAGAGATAAGAGATCAGAAAATGAGGCAAGCCTGTCCTCACCCTCACAGGAGGGACGTCCCCACCAAACCTGGCTGGTTGGAATTAGCTGATCCAAACTGAWGGGACAGGAGCAGGGTCTAAAACGTACAGAAACCACTGTTTCTTGGCCCGCTGCAGGAATTTGTCATATCAGGACTTACTCCATCCTCACTAAGATCCCTGGTGTCACCTGGGTGTCCTCACCAAGGCTTTATGTAATTAAGGCTCAGAGGGGCAGGAGGGCCAAGGCCCAGCCAGCAAGTGGCCCTAAGGTGTTACAGCCAGACAGATCACCCCAACAGAGCTCCCCAGACAACTGAACAGCTGCCCAGGGAAGATGCAGCAAGAAGCCCAACCAGGAAAAACAACACTAAAACGCTAATCAGCACAAGCATTATTTAAATCAGAGCTGCCAATCAATGGCTGGAAGGGGGAGCCGATTTCCTGCTTCTGAAAACGCTCTGGGAACCTGCTGGACCACCTCTCTCCAGATCGTGCTGTTTAATGAACCCAGAGCTCTCCTGGGTCAACCCTTTAGTGATGCGCCTGCAGGTGTTGGGGAGGCAGGGTCAGGCCCCAGGTGGCTGCATAAGAGCATGCTTTGCAAAGTGCTGGCACCTTCTGGCTTTTACAGCACTTGCTGCAGCGCCCTCTGGTGGGCGCTCCCAAAATGCCAGGCGAGAAGCCTTGAGGAGCCAACAGGCGGTAGGGGCGTTCTTACCGGAGGTCCAATGGGTCCCCGAGGGCCCAAATCTCCAGGACGTCCCTGTGGTCCCTGCAATGAAACCATCCATCCATAAAGTGGCTCATCACCCTAATTCTGAGCAGATGGGGCGTGGCGGGAACGCATGCAATGGGTATAACTTGAGATCTGCAGAAGGCATGTCACCAGAGTCCTGGGGAACAARAAAGGGGCTGCCTTCAGTTCAGTGGGGCTCCTGGTGGTGGACTATACTGCTCAGACCTAGAGCTTGTGGGCCTTTGGGGGCCCATTCTCCAGCGGCACAGGTCAGCACAGGGCATGGGAGCAGGGACAGTGTGTGTGCACTCACCGGCTCCCCAGGCACTCCYGGATCACCTTTCTCTCCTTTTGGCCCTTGTTCTCCCTGTTGGTAAGAAGCACAGGGYACAGCCCACTCGAAAGGGAACCCCCACTCCTCACAGTGCGCATACACACCCCTCCCTCGGCAGGAGGGCCGCCTCCAGTTCTATGGGTGCACCTGGTTGGTCACCAGGGTCCCCCAAAGGCTGACCCGACTGCCCAGGGTTCTCCTCTCCCACTACCCTGGGACTCTAACTGAGCCTGACTCTTCAAGTTCTAAGGACCAGCATCCCCACTTCAGAGAAGTGGATCTCCAAACTGGCCAAGTCCTCCTGGTACTGACCCACAGAGACCAGGGTCCTTCTCCTGCATGATGCCTGCTCAGGTAGTTTTACACTTATTCATGTGGCTTGACCCATATCCCCTTCCAGCCCATGGCACATGGTGGATCATAATGAATGATAATCCTTTACAGCCCTTTCTTGAAGGAGAGTGAGGTGGATGCTTTGCTAAGGGGACCAGCCCTTTGGGGACAGGCTGGAAGCTGAGCCCTAGACTCTGGGTGGCTGGAGTGGTGTGTCCAGCTATTGCTAAAGAAGAAATAGGAGAGACGGGAAAGGCAGTGCACTGGGTGTGCCCAAGATGGACTCATCTGGTGGGGTAGGGGCAGGGCTTCTCCCTTGAGGCTGCAGGTGCCACACCTGGGGTTCCCCACACACCTCCCAGAAAGCATGGGAAATCTATAGCCTGCAACCCACAGGGGACAGGAAGAAGGTAAGGGGACAGGAAGAAGGTAAGGGGGCAGAGGCTGCATCGACGGCAGAGCTCCAAGGCTCAGGTGTCTTTCTAAGGCTGAAGGGCCATCTTGCAGGAGAGGAGCAGGGACAGGCATGCCTGGTGAGGGGTGGGATCAGGCTGCCCCCTGAGCTTTCCCAACATGGTTGCTTCTGAGCTACCTCCTGGCACCCCACTTTGCTACTGTCATTTCCCCAAGCCTCCAGCTATCTGTCCCTCTTTCCTCCACTTTTCCTCCAGATCCCAGAGATCCACACACCATCTAAGAGCCTGCTCTGATCTCCATAAGCCATCTCATCAGGCCCCCTCWCTAGGCTGCCCACTAGCCACCCCCACGAGCCTCCAAGTCCTGGATCCAGGAGGGAAGGGAGCCGGGCTTCCACTCCACGTGAGCTCCTCCTTTCTGTTCTGTTAATCATGCAGCAAACTTCTAGGTGCCTCTAGATCTCGCCTCTTCCTGCACCGCAGGGACTGAGAGGCACACCTCGGGGAGCAGTGAGAAGTCCAACAGAGTGACACTTTCCAGACCCACCAACACAAAGCCAGTCCCAGAGAGAGCCGGGAAATGGCTCGCAAAGGAACTTCCCTTCCCTCCAGTTCCTACTTGCTTGGTTTGATTCTGAGAGAGGCCTCCTGGCTCCCATCCTCCCTGCAGGAAGGATGTCACTGCTGGAATCGGAGGCAAAGGAGGGCAGCCCTCCCTCTCCACCCTCTCCCCCTGCACTGTCCCAAGAGAATACTCTGAAAGCTGTCTTGTTATGGAGCAATTCCATAGTTTTCATCTCAGGGGACTCAGCGTCAACCTAAGTAGGGAAGACGCCGGGGCAGTGAAGCAAGACATAGAGGTGTCTGGGGGACGGCCACGGGAACCTGCCTCTAAGAGCAGTGCTCAGATGGGGACAGTCACCCCAGCCAGGTCATCACAGCTGACAGGTCCCTCCCAATAGCTTCTCCTCAAGTGCACACTCCCCATGGCTGCGCCACCACCCTGCCTCCTCCCCCTTCATCTGTGAAGTACAAATCCTTCCTCTGCACCGTCCTCAGCTCCAGCCTGCATCTGTCCACCTGCTCCTTTCCATCCATAGAGGACACCTTAAACTTTCTAAATCACACGGGGATTTAGATCTTCCCATTCTCGCCTCAGCGGCCACATGCCATGGAGCAGTGGGTCGCCTCCTGACAACAGGTGAGTCACAAACAAAACAAAGGCCCACTTTCTGGCCTCAGTGCCACCAACAGCAGGAAGACCTCCAGAAGCGCCAGCCACGAGCAAGGAGGAGAGGGCTCCTGGGGCTCTAGTGGCGTGTCATGGTAGGCGTGGCAGTGTCTACTGGCTCGCCAGGCTCTCCCTCCTTCTGCCACCTCCCAGGGTGCAGAAGCAGGCTGTGCTCCCCATGTCCCCTCAGCAGCCTCCCTCGGACCCRGGTCCCCTCAACGCACTGCCACCTATAGGAGCATCCTCAGGACGCCTTTGCCCCTCTCCAACTCCTGGACGTTCTGCCGTCTCAATAACTCTGCTGCTCCTCAAGAGCACCTGCAGCTCTGGGTGCTGAAGACAGGTGTGGCATCTGCCCTTGCCTATGGAGCTGTGTCCCTGGGATGTCCCCRCAATGTCCCACCTGACATGAGGGCCGGTTCCATGCAGGGACTTCTTCCCGCCTGTTGCCAGGACCAGGCCAGGAGCCCACAGGCCTGGCTGCCTGGCATGCAGGGCTGAGGCCGGCCCCACCCGGCCCCGCTCCAGCCCACACCACAGCACCCCCTGCCTGCTGACATGCCAGGCTACGCAAGGAGAGAAGGGCTTCCTAGACCTTCCCCTCCACGKCCTCAATCCCAGTCTCTTCCCTTCCCTCTGCTACTTACAGGCATTCTTGGGTGCAGTGGGAACAGGGATGTCTGGAAAAAAAAAACGAAAACAGAAGTTAGAAAGATAGGGGTGTGTGGAGCCCCAAAGCTGCTGACTCTGAAAGGTTTGCCAAGTGAAAGAAAATGCCCTTCAGTGATTATTAGTTTCGACCATTAGAACCTCAAGCACCAACCCTATGTGACYTTGAATATCTTCTGTCACCTTCCATGTCCCCATCAGTAAAAAGGGAMGAAATGTTCTTCACTTGGGGGGTCACAAGGACACACTGGAATAACCTGGACAAGCCACTGGAACAGTGCTTGGGACCTTGGATCCAGCCCTCCACGCCTGCTTTTCCACTACCGTYGCCTGCCATGTGCCAGGCAGGGAAACAGGCAGAGGAAACCAGAGCCAGGGCTTTCAGAGGGCCCTGTTGTGCAAAGTGCCCTCAGCCAAGACCTCATGGATGGTGCCTGGGGCAGCCCTCCAGCCTGGCCGCCACCCGGCTGGCCCACCCTGGCTGAGCCGAGTGCTCCCCAGGAGGCTTTTCTCCAGGCTCAGGGCTTCTGCACACACGGTTCCTCAGCCCTGGAGCATGCTCTCCCCCTGCATTCCGCCGTGGCCACCCTTCAGATCTCTTAAATGTCATGCTCTCAAATATGAATTAGGTGAGCTAGGTCCACTGCTAKTCTCATCAACTGCACTTTGCTCTTTTTCTTGATCACATTCACTCTAATTTGTAATGTTTATCCTGTCCACTGTAAGATCAGACTTTATCTCCACTACAAGACTATAAGCTCCGCCAGGCCCCAGTTGTGCCATGACCTGGCTCCCAGAAGGAKCCCAAAGGATAAAGCGAATGGACAAAGGGAACCTGGGGCCTAGCCCTAAAACCCAGGCTCTTCACCAGGGAAGGGAGAAGGGGCTTCCTAGACCTTCCCCTCCAAGTCCTCAATCCCAGTCTCTTCCCTCCCCCCAAAAAACAGTTTTTCATATTTCTAGACCTTTCCTCTATGTTTTCACACAATTATGAACATATAGAAATATGCAACTTCCACAGAATAGTGAAACTGAATGCATTCTTCACCGTTGTTCCCATGCACCAACTCCTGGCTCTTCACAGAGACTGTAGGAGGTAGACCAGCTGCCTCTGCCCACCACTGTCAATAAGAACCCTGAGCAGAGACCAGAGACGTGAGCTTCCTAATGCAGTTCCAGCAGTTGCCAGCCATGTAAGCAGGCTGTGAGCCTGTGCTCTGAATCATTCAATGCACAATGATCCACAAATTAATTTGTTCACTTACTTTGTCTTATTTCACTTAATTAGTGTACCTATATCTTTCCAAGACCCTGTGTATAGTGTGTGTGTGTGTGCGTGTGTATGTGTGTGTGTGTTTCTTTATAAAACAGGATTCTGTGATACAGATGGTCTGATGTACTTAATTCTATACTTATGRTCATGTAGATTTTTCCCTATTACAAGTGACACTACAATGTTCATCCTCACACATTTTTTAAATGCACACATGCAAATATCTGTCTAACTTAGAAGCCTAGACATGGACTAGCTAAGCCTGAGGGTAGGCACCTCCTGGCGTGTGCATATGGCCAAGCAGCTCCCAGTGGGCACTACCAACTTGCTCCCCCACCAGAAGGGCAAGAGTGCTCACCTCCCTGAAGCCTTGTCAAGGTCGTATCACAATCTTAAACAATAATCTCATACAACCCACTSTGGCCCCAAATTTCTGATTCTGAGGTTCTTCTAACATCTTTATGGAATATCTGAGCCTCATTTTCACAGGGTACGGGTTAGGGAGAAGACGAAGCTATGGAGTAAGGGCTGCCGGACAAACAGTGCTGAGTCAGATGTCTTGCCCCACGGCCAGCAGGACTGCTGAGAATTCAGGCCGTCTCGTCTCCTGCTCTCCACCCCTGCTTTGTCCAGCAACCAATCAATCACCCAGTCAGGGCCAGCACAAGAAGCCATGAACAACTTTCCTGAAATCAGTTGCTCAAAGCAGAGAAGCTCAAGTCTGGGAAGAAATATTACAATGCAAAACAATTCCAAATAAAGCACCATTGTAGGATTCTTGAGTGTAAGACAAATAATAATAGCAGCAGTTTTATATTTGGTRTTTATTAGGTACCAGGAACTCTGCTAAGTACTTTGCATTATTTCAGTTAATTTGTACTAAAAATGTACAAGCTAGTTGGGTATAATATCTTCTATCAGATGAGAAAACTTATTCTCTGCAGAGTTAAATAACATATCTAAGACACAATGCAGGTGAGTGGCAGAGGTGAGAGCTGGTTCTTTCTGTCCCTAGAGCCCTTGCTCTGAATGCCACAGCACCGACCCACAATGGTGGCTAAACACCTTCACAGGGCAGAGGACAAAGCCCAGCCTGGGTCATGGTGATACAGTCTCATGCTGGACAAATGGTTTCTTGTCTTTGGAYCTCAGTGCCCACACATAACAGGTGCCTATGTCTTCTCGGTGTGAATCGCACATTCTGCTGAGTAGTAATTGTGCTTTTGCTGAATAAAGTAAACCAATAAACTCAGGGTGGTTTTTTAAAGAAGATATAATTTTAAATTATAAGCCCTTGGAGGGGGTCTGACTATTGACAAACTCTAATCTGGAGATGATTTTAATGAAGTGGTGTGTGTGGAGGAATCCCAATACCTTGGGAATTTAGAGAAGTAGAAAGGATTAGCAGAGTGACTTACAGTTCCAGGTAGCCCAGGCGGGCCTGCAGGGCCAGCTTCACCCTAGATGAAGAAACGAAGAGTTAATGAGCATTAATCCTCCTGCCACCTGCTTAATGCAGCACAGGGCTGGTATCACCTTCCAGGCAACAGAAATGAGTGCTGTCCCCGCACAGGCCGAGTCAGACCAGCAGACTGAGGCCAATGTACATCCTCAACTATAAAGATTTCAGTCACACACACACACACACACACACACACACACACACACACACACACTCACACACACAGGGTTTGAGAAGTCTCTATATTGATCCATAAAGCTATAGATTATTTAAATCACTCTGTTCTATTCCGTTGAGTTTATATAATAAAGCTATACAATGTCCATCTTCCTTTGAAGACAGTGACATTACTCTCCTTTGCTTGTGATCATGKCCAGTATTGATTGTTACAGCAAACATTCCCACCTGTGCCCCTGAGCATGATCAGCACATGGAAGCTCAGCTCCCTCAGCTAGGAACCTGGACCCACTCCCTCAGAAAGAAGCCAGCTGCTCTCAAGTTCAGGGAACAGTCTTATCCCTGTGAACGACACGGGCTTGGGAGTTGAGTCACCTGAGCTTGAAACCCACCTTTTTATAAATGACTTTACCTCTTGGCTTGTTTCTTCTCTTGGCCCAATAAGGATAGTAATGCCTACGACTCACAGCACATGTAGCAACTGAGTGAGCCCCAGGAGAGAATGTGGTACATTCACAGTGGGGACAAGGCTCCTAGATCTCTTCTATGCAGAGTGAACCACAGTGAGCAAAAGCGGTCTCTGAAGCTGTCACCCTGCAGGTGCCATTTGGGGCCAGGGGATAGTGTCTGTGCTAGATCAGAAACTGGCCCAGGGCGAGGCCTTTGACCGTCCTTGTAATATGGTCATTGGGTGGACAAATGAACAAGGTTGGGTCAAGCTGATGGACAAGGCCACTCTGAGTAAACAACATAATAGGGTAATAAATAATAGTTGTATAATTTTTATCATTATTTCTACCACTACTTAACATTTAATTTCAGATATTGGTTTATGTGTCTCCCATGTATGATCCCAATCTTGTAGACTCGCCCATAGGGTATTTACGTATCCCCAAGAAGAAAGTGAGGCACAGAAGCTGCGATTCACCTGCCCAGACTCACAGGAGCGGCCAGTGCTGAGCCTGAAGTAAACCCAGAATCTCGCTCTGAGCTGGACCGAGTTCCAGAAGATGCAGGAGGAAATGCACCTGGTGCCCGGTTTCTCCCAGCCGCCTTCCTGGCTCGGTGGGACTTGTGCTCAGAGGCCATCTCACCTAAACTCACTTCCTTACCAAGAAAGAGCCCAAGTGACCCCAGCAGATCCCAAGTGACCATGCAGTTCCTAAACTGCATGAATGACAGGTGCAAATGGAGGAGGACAGGGGACAGAGGACCTGCTGCCTGCGGAATCAGACTTTGTCCCGCCTCAGAGCTGCGGGGCAGGGAAGGAAAGGTGGGTGCCAGGGACAGGCCTAGCAGCTCTGTCACTTTAAGAGGTGTGGCTGGGGTGGAGCCTGGGCACCAGACCTGCTTCCCCCTGGATGTTTCACTCTGGGCTCCCCTGAGGAGCAAGGAGCAGCCCCACCCACCAGAGGTGCTGTCAGTCGGGTGGAAAGGCTCACAGAGTGGGGGACCCGGAGGGGCAAGGAAGCGGCAGGGTCTGCTCCACAGTCAGGAGGGGACCGTGCTGCTGTAAAGTCTTATATTGAATGTTTTTACCCAAAATTGTTGCTACCTCTCTCTCTGGACAGGAAGGCATCAGGACGCTTTGGAGTCTACCTGTGATCCTGCCAAAGCACTGGAGGGCCTCCATGCCTCCCTGACCCTCTGCCCCTTTCACATAACAGGGTCCACTTCACGCTTTGAAGATAAACCTTGCTGCTGACCACTTCAGGTTGATTTTAAAATGCCTTTTTTCTTTTTACCATCCTCTTTTTTTTTGGGGGGGGGGGTTGGATGGGTACTGGGAATTGAACTCAGGGACACTCAACTACTGAGCCACATCTCCAGCCCCATTTTGAATTTTATTTAGAGACAGGATCTCACTGATGCTTAGCGCCTCACTMACTTGCTGAGGCTGGCTTTGAACTCACGATCTTCCTGCCTTGGCCTCCCAAGCCATTGGGATTACAGGCATGCACCCCTGCACCTGGGTTCTTCCTTTATCTTCTCTTTCTTCCTCTMCCCATCCACGGGGAGGCAAGGTTAACATCACATTCTTTCCTGTCCCAAGCCAAGCTATCTGCAACTTCCCCTCACTGTCCACAGGGATAAAGAAGCCCCGGTCCTGGGGACTGGACAACAGCTCTTTCAAGGACACTAGTGAAACATAAATCAGATCTACGGATAATGATACTTGGAAACAGCCCTCACACCCTCACTGTTCCCCCGGCACTGGAAATGGAAGCGTCCATGACATAAGTCCATTGCCTTTCTCCTTTAATAGCAAAGCAATAAAACATCTTTATCCTTTTCCTCAAACTTTGTTYTTATTACTGAATCAGCATCTGGCACAGAGACGGAGCTTTCCGTATCGTCTGCATTCAGGAAATGAATTTCCTGGTGTTCCTGGGAGTGGGAGGGGCAAAGGCAGAAGGGAGAGAGCACAGAAGGGACAACCTGAGAGCAGACACCTTGYAGGAGGCAGGGTGCGAGGCCTGGTGGTGTGCGGGTATCCCCCTTCTCGGAGTCAGGCCCAGCATGCAGCACTGTGATGCTGACAKCCAGGACTGCAGACTGGCCCTGGCAGGCTCAGCTCTCGACTCTCTCCTGCAGCTGTGGGCAATGGAATTAGCCTTTCTGTGCCTCAGTTTCCTCATCTCTAAAGTGGGGATCTGACTGACAACCGTATCTCCTCTCGAGTTTGTCCTAAGGATTAGCAAGGTCCCTACATGGACGGTGCTCAGGGCTGTTCTGCCCATAGTAGGTCTGCCCTAAATCACTCACAAGCCAAGTACAAGGATCTTTGGAGGGAGGTCCGTGCAGATCCATTTTTAGCTTGTCCATCATGGCACAGGGGGGCAGACAAGACACTCGGAGCCACACAGCACGCGGAGCCAGGAAGGGGACCCAGGCTACCTCTGACTTCTGTAACAGCGTTCTTCCCACCAAGAGGCAGGCAAACACACACAAGCACACTGAGGGCTGTGTGGGTGCATACTTATGAAGTCACTGTGGGATTTCAGGTGTAATGTGGTCCAAGGCCGAGCATGAACAGCAAAGAAAAGCAGCTCTCAGGGTGGGATTCTCCACCATCCCATGGCTGCCTCCTCTAGTGTCTGATGTTTGGAGGCTGAACTGCATCTTGTCCACTGTCACTTTACTAGTGATGGTCTAGCAGAGAGGAAGTCTTCTACCAGTCTGTGCTAGAGAGCGTCAGGAAGATGGCTGGGGGCTTTCCTGGGCTGCCAGGGTTGAGGGTGGCATCCCTCCCGGGCTAGAATCTAGTTGGAAGGATGCAGACTATTGTGGCTGAAGTTGCCTGCTTGAGAAGGCAGCTGCCTGGATCCTGTGCACCCTCTGGCCATGTCCGAGCTCCCTAAGTTTGGGCGAGTTTCTATACTTCTCTGGACTTCAGCTCTCTCTTTAGAAAAACGGGGATTCCAATGGAAATGACCTCAGAACTCACTGCTTACCAGAGCAAGACACTGAAAACTGGAAATCACGACACACAGAGGCTCAACTGTGCAGAAACCCTGCCTTTCACACCTGTTCAAGTTCACAGTGTCTTAGCAAAAGCTCCCTTGGACTCTCATGCAACCAGCAGATAGCATCCGAGGCAAGCTACTCCCGCACATCTGGCTTCAGGGACCACCTCGCTCGTGTGCCACCTAATGAACCGCTTCCCAATAGCAAKATCTTACCAAATCCCAGCATAGGTCCATGTGTGAGTAGACAGGTACAGTAGACAGGTACCCACCTAGGACAAAATCTTAGCATACCTCCAAGTATGCGAGGCTCAGCTGACGAGKTCCATGCTTCACCAAGCAATGTCTAAAAGGCCCACTGTGCTTTTCCACCCCGTGTGTTTCTCTGGGGCTTTGACAGGAGGCAAAATGGATGGGATGCCTGTTGGGTGCTACTCCAGTGCCAGGCACAGCGCGGCCTGCTTGCTGAGACTGAGTGGGAGAAGCCTTCCGACAACTGCGGGGACTGGGACCAGAGTCCCTGGAAAGTGATTCTGCAGCTTCAGACATGCACCGGGACCCCCTGCTCTCCTCACCCACAGAGGGTGCTGGCGGATAGCTGTGCTTGTGTTCCATGTGGTGCCCACATCCACCCCTGCACCTTCCCCGTCCTGCCTGATGGTCTCGCTGACCTTGCCTCTGGTGTCCAGATTTGGCAGGAGGAGATCGGAGGCAAGAGGAAGAAGGACGAGATACTGAGGGTGCCCGTCCACAGGCTGGCCGTGTCTGTTTCCCTACCCTTCAAACAGGATGCCCAACAGGCTTCATCTCCCACGGTTTCTGGGGCATCTGCTCCGGGCCCTTCCTGGCCTCTTTGCTGTGCCTTGCCCTGGAGGACATGGCCACCCAGGTCCGTCTCCCTTTGCACTAGCCATGCCTGCAAGTAGCCCTTTCCCTGCCTTCTCTCCATGCGTCTGTTCTGAGTGAGTGGCCCCTGAGGTGGACTGGGCCTGTTACAGAGAGTGCTGGGAGTCGAAGCCAAGGTCGCCCTTCTGTGACCTACACACAGTAGGGCTGGGCAACAGAGACAGTCTATCTTGGCTCTGTGGCTGGCTCTAGAACCAACCCCAGTGACATGCTGGTGCATGACCCAGGAGTCAGGGACGCGAGGCTTGGTTCTCAGAGAGTTCTTCACCCTCTTGGAGACTCCATTGCCTGCCACACACTCAGGACCCTGGCGCCTACCTTCTAAAGCTGTGCTGGAACCCAGGGAGAGGTTGTTTGGATGAACATGTCATCTCTGCTTCTATCATTGTCTCAATGGACTATACTTGCAAACAAGGTTTATGTCTACCCTATTGTTTCCTCAAAAATGTACTYTGGAGTCACACAAGTCCATTCTGAAGAAACAAAAACTCCTCTAACCCCAGGCAAGAGCAGCGAATGGTKACGGATCAGCATGCAGTGAGCGCCTACCTTCTCACCCCGGTCACCTTTCAGGCCAGGAAGTCCCAGGTCACCCTTTTCTCCCTATAGCAAAAGACCATTAGAAAACGTTGGAACCCACACTGAGTCTCAGTCCTCCTGAGGTACAGGGTGTCCTGCCAGTGAGGTGGGAAGCACCTGACCTTCCACTTGGCATCTGGCAGGTGGGTGCCTCCCACCCRTCACTCCCACCCGTTCTCTCTGAAGACACTCTTCCTTTCCAGGGGCGTCTCCCGTCCCTGTCCTCTGTCCCACGCATGGACTCTGGCCCTCGACACCCCTCCCAGTTCTTTCCCCTCAACACTGAGAACTACTCTGTTCACCCAGTCAGAATTGCCACCTCCTGTCAGAGGACTCCACAGGGGCCCTTCCACAGGACAGGCTGGTGGCCTTGCTGGGACGAGGCAGCCACACTTACCTGGTCTCCTTTCTCTCCCCGCACACCTGGGAAGCCTGCAGCCCCCGGGAGGCCTGCTTCTCCCTGTGAGAACAAAACCGTGGCTCTGTCCACTCGGCACCTACGGGAGGGCTCTCCTGAGGCACAGACCATGTGCCAACTGCTCTCCAGGTCCTGCTGTAGGCTTGTGGATGTCACACGGAAAGCAGAGCAGTGGGCAGAGGAGACTTCTAGAGAACGTGTCCATCAGGGCAGCCCCGCACTCTTTCCCRTGCGAGCCATCTCCTCTCCCAGGAACCCTCCTGTGTATACCTCCTCCTGTCCTTTAGGGCTCCATCACCACGTCACCTCGTCACCATTTTTCCTGATATTTCCCAAGTCTGAAAGACTTCTCCTGTGCCCCACGTGACATTATGTGCCACCACTCACTACAGCTGCTCAAGTGTTCTCCAGGGTCCRGCTTACCCTGTTTGTGGCTGTGACCCTGATGCCCACCATAGCCACTGATACACAGAACATGCTGGAAGCTATTGAGCAAATAAATGAATTCATGAAATCAATGTAGTGAGCTCCCAAAAGACATGGTTAATTTCTCTGGGCATATGAGCAATTTACACAATATGTAGTTTATAACCACAAATAAAGAAATCCACAAGAATGAAGTGAATGGGAAAAGGCATAAATGAACARACCTTCTCTCCAGGGTGGCCTGCCAGGCCCTGCTCCCCAACTTCACCCTGGGGACAGAATGACAGACACCCCATTACCCTCCATGCTCATTCCCCAGGGGGTTCCACACACCCATGGCACCTGCAGCCACAGCCCGCAGCTCTCCACTCTGGAGCATTGGTAAAGGCCCGAGGTCATGAGCTGTGAAGACCCAAGTGAGGAGCATTTCTCATATTAGCTTTTGCTTCTCCTGAAAGAAATAGTTCCTGGAATTGTCCTGTCAGAGTTCATTAGGTTTGAATCCATTCACTGTAAACCTTATCAGGGAAACACAGACTCCATGCTAGGCCCAACAGTGAAAGGAAGCTGTTGAAACCTGAGCAGGTGACTGGTGTCCCATGATCGTTGTTTGGTCTCTTCACAAAGACAGGCAGGGCCCTGTAGTTGGAGGTAGGTTAGAGTTTCGGTGACCTGTCCCATGGTATGCTACCATAAAGAGAGTCCTACGTGAAGTTCCCAGTTCGTCATTCAAGATTAGTTCAGAAAGTATACCCCAAAGAGGTACACACTGGTCTTGTTCCTTTGAAAGTTTCTTCTTCTCCACTAGAGTCCTGCTATGACAATGTCTCCCCTGAAAATTTTCCTACTGAAATAATCTTCAATTTGTGGTACTAGGAGGCAGGGCCTTCAGGAGGTGATGGGGTCATGGGGGTGGAGTTCTCAGGGTTGGATTAGTGCCCTTGTAGAGGGAGCCCTCTTGCCATCCCATCAATGAAAACACTGCTATATGATAGCATCTATGAAGCAGGGTGTCTTCAACAGACACTGAGTCTGCTGCCACCTTGGTCTTGGACTTCCTGGCCTCCAGAACCGTGATCCAGAGATTTCTGTTGTTTATGAATTACCAAGTTTAAAGTAATATTGTCACAGCAACCAAAAGGGACTAAGGCAGTTCCTAGATAGCACTCTGAAGTGGGAGGCACTGGAAGAGGGGTTCTCTCTCTGATCCCTAGGAACCCAGCCTCTGTGTCCACCACACCCTCCTAAACCATCCATGCACAGAGGTGAGTGGTGGGGCTGAGAGGGACTACAACTTCTAGCTAACCATATGTCTAGAATATCACTAACTTCTTGTGTGACAATTTCTTTCTAATAAAATCTTTGGTATAAATTATCATAAAGAAATGTGGTTTTCTGATGTATCAGTGGATGTGAATGAGTTGGTAGTGTGCACCCACCTAAGAATTTTCCCCAGAGTCATGCCAGATTCAACTGATAGTGAAGGCCAGACCATCAGTACTTATCAAGGAAGGGAGGGGAGGGGAGAGCAGGGAAAGGAGAGGAGGAAAAAAAGGAGGGGAGGGGAGAGGGGGGAGAAGAGAAGAAAGGAAAGGGAGGGATAACCCAAGGCTTTGCACAGTGTAAGCACATAATTTATCCCGTAGCTCCAGTGTCACAAGGGGAACTGGCATCTGGAGTCAGCACATATTAAAATTCTAGATGCACTCCAATGCGCCCATCAATTCCCCATGTTTACAAGCACAATTAGTGAGAATTGCTGTAGCCAGAATTGTGCAAATACTCAGCACTCAAGTTGTCACTTTAAATCTGCTAGGAGGGTGACATTTGCAAGGGGAATTGCTTCGTGCCTGCTGAGCAAGGATAAGGGGCTGAGTGTACTCAGAAAAAAACTTTAAAGTCTACCAAAATGCCCCTGAACTTGTGCTGTGAACCCCCATCCAAGTGCACATAGAGAAGGAGCTGCCATCCTTGTGAATTCTTGAAGTGAGCCCTGGAAGGCGGGTGCCCTGTGCRTCCCGCAGAGCCACTCGCCCAGAGTGGACTCTCCACGCCACCATCCCCAAGGTTTCCAGAATCATCTCGGAAAGGGTTTTCATCTTCAGCCAGTACTTGGTCCAAATAAAGCAACAAGACTGACCCTATGCCAGGTCTCCTCTGGGGCCACACACAGGTTGAGAAGCCCCTGCTGTTGAAACTCAGCTTCCAACTCTCAGAGAAACGTTTGACGCCCTCAGCACTAGAATCATGCAAAAACGACACAGGTGAGACGGAGCAGAAGACATCTGTGCTTGAAGCTTTCAGTCCTTGATGATTCCCAGAAACGTGAGGCACACAGATGGGAACCCCCCGAGGGACCTCTAACTGCATCCCCAGGTTCCTCGAAATCAACCCTCTGCTGCAAAGCCACACACAGGGAGCGCGAAGCTCCTGAAGACCACAGGGGAGAGCTGGCATCCTTCCCGCAGAAGCCCACGATTATGTGCCAGCTCCCAAATGTGAGAACACACAATTATCAGGCATGGCTGACTCAAAAACAAAACACTTCCATGAAGTGAAGAATGAAAACAAACAGCAAACCCATCCAAATGCTTTAAATCCTTCCTTGGAAATAACAGGATTTCAACCAATGGGACCCTGATAGCTAGGCTAGGTGCTTTCAAGACCCTGTGATCCCCCTAAAAGCCACCTCAGGATAGCACGCAAAATCAAACCYAGTGCCTCCCATGTGTGAGGCAAGAGCTCCACCACTGAGCCACACTCCCAGCCCCGTGATAAACTTTTTTTTTTTTTTCTGGTTGTATACAAAGTATGTTGACACCAATTTGTGTCTTCATACATGACCTTTGGATAATAATGTCCATCACATTCCACCATCATTTCTAACCCCATTCCCCCTCCCTTCCCTTCCCACCCTATCTAGAATTCATCTATTCCTCCCATGCTCCCACTTCCTACCCCACTATGAATCAGCMTCCTTATATCAAAGAAAACATTCAGCTTTTGGTTTTTTGAGATTGGCTAACTTCACTTAGCATTATCTTCTCCAACTCCATCCATTTGCCTGCAAATGCCATGATTTCATTCTCTTTTATTGCTGAGTAATATTCCATTGTATATAAATGCCACATTTTTTTTATACATTCATCTACTGAAGGGCATCCAGGTTGGTCCCACAGTTTAGCTATTGTGAATTGTGCTGCTATAAACATTGATATRGCTGTGTCCCTATAGTATGCTGTTTTTAAGTCCTTTGGGTATAGTCCAAGGAAAGGGATAGCTGGGTCAAAAGGTGGCTCCATTCCCAATTTTCCAAGGAATCTCCATACTGCTTTCTATATTGACTTCACTAATTTGAGTCCCACCAGCAATGTATGCGTGTGCCTTTTCCCCCACATCCTCACCAACACTTGTTGTTGTTAGTCTTCATCATAGCTGCCATTCTGACTGGAGTGAAATGAAATCTTAGAGTGGTTTTATTTGCATTTCTCTAATTGCTAGTGATGATAAACATTTTTTCATGCCACAACCAAGAAAAGCCCATTATAAACTTTTTTAAACACCAAATGTTGAATCTTAAAATATGAAGGGAAAGTGATGGACTCGCTGGGCCCTACAAGGGGGAGGGCTCAATTCTCCAAATATGGGCTTCAGAAATGGGAGGTTCCAGGGTGGTGCCTGGGGATGCTCATGCCACAATTTGGTCACCTGGGGTATAACTGAATCAGATGGGTTCAGTTTCTTCTGCCTTTCTYTTTCTCTATTCCTCTTTAATTTGACCTTCTAAAGAGAGACGATAGGKATGGCAGGGCCCTGGGATCTGCGCCTTGGCAGCACCCGCTGGCCAGCAAGGTGAGAACCAGCCACCTGGTGGTGTCGGGCCCCTCCCAGGCTTGGCTGGGTGGGTGTGGAGCCTCCCTCCCYCCTTCCTGCAAAGCTGGCAGTGTCACCGCACGCCTGACTCGTGTGGTAACAGGAGAGGCCAGCAGTGGGCACCGACCTTCAGCAGTTCACACCTCACAGGTGGGGCAGCCCTCCTGGCAGGCTCCCCAGAGCCACAGGTGCACGTCCTTGAGCACACAGCACGCACACTCACAGGCCGGCCTCTCCCCCGTGCTCACTGCATGCTGGCCTCCGACAAGGTCCAGATGTTGAGCTGCTCTGGGCTCACAGTGGGTGCTGGGTCCCCCACCCATTCCTCACTTGCTCCACCCCCTGGAGGCCCAAGGAAGCCCGACTCCAGGGCTGCCTCCTGCTTTCTGGAGGCTCCAGGCACAAGGAATCACAGAGGAAAGCAAAACTCAGGGAGGAAGGGAAGGAGAAGCCAAGAGAAGGGGAGAGGTGCGTGTCCCCCTTGCTCTTCCCTGTCGGGCAAGTGGGATGCTCCTTCTCCACGGGTCTCCCTGGTTCTGGGCACCCTCCCCCTCCCACCTTCTGCCCTGGAGCGGGTGTTGGCTCAGCTGTGGCCAGCCTCAGGGGATGCTAATGGCCAGCTGGARCCCCTTACCCTGCCTCACCCCTCTCAATAGCCCCCTTTCAATCATCTGCTTTCTGCCCAGCTCTGGCTGACCCGCACTGGGATGCCTGGGACTGCYGCACAGCCCAGGATACCCAGTAGAATGAGGAGTGCGATGAGCAAGGTGGCAAAGTCCTACCYGAGGTCCGGGCTTCCCAGGCAGGCCGCCTTCCCCTCTCTCTCCAGGGTCTCCCTGTAAGGAATAAAAGCAAGTCAGCCGAGGGCCCTTTCTTGCATCTTTGCAGAAACCCCTGCATCTTTGCAGACAGGCAAGGAAGAGGACCATTGTCCTCAAGTGGACTTGAACCCCCTGGTCCCCAGTGGCTGCCTAAGTCTGGTGATCCAACACAACAGCACATGCCACCTCCTGCCATTCAGATCCCACAGCTCTCATTTTAATTTTATAATTATGATTGACCAGAAATGACACTTTTCTTAATGAGASATTTTGAGTAAAAGCATTGTGAGAATAAATACTTTTGAGAATGCAAAGTACTTAGTTAGCCATTGTCTCCTTAATGATGAGGGAGAAAGATGGAAAATATTTCCATAAAGTGTTCAYACAAAGAAGTTAAATTCATACTTACTCTGTATTTTGTCATGAAAAAACATTGAAATTTCCAATAAATTTGTTTATTGGAATGAAGTGTCCCCTAGTATTCAAATATTGCCATTAACAGTTGCCTTACAAGGACTATTGACATGAATACCTGAGCCTTTGCTGTTGGCTATGAAAAAAGAAAGTTTATTTCTTAAAAAAAAAAAAAAAAAACTTGTTGCATCATAAATATTCTCTTGAAGTATTTAAGCTATGACTTTGCTTCTCTACTTTCTCATATTTAACTTGAACTTTTATCTTAATAATCCTGCTATAATGGGCCCAATTGGAATATTTTTTAGATTGAAATCTCTTACATTAATAAGGGCATTTGAGAGAATTCCCTCAAATAAAATAAATACTTGTTTGTAACAGATTGATTTTAATGCCCAAGGCTGCCACATCCTTCCCCAGTTATCTAAGTAGAAATAAAGAGCTCTCCCCATCTGACCTGGTAAATCCAAACATTTCAACCTGGTCCTGATCAAGGCCATTTTAGAATGCACCCACAACCAAGAAGCTCTTTTGCTCCTGGGTTTGTTTTCCAAACTCATGCCAACCTGGGAGTACCGACCTTGGATCCCGGCAGACCTGGTGGTCCATTCGGCCCATCCCTTCCAGGTGGCCCCTGGGTCAAGGTAGGAAAAAAATAAAATTAGAATAAAAGTCCTATTTAGGAAACACTGCACTAAGTTGTTTGGATCCAGGAGCTGACTCTGAGACTGGGGGGACAGGCCTTCCTCCTTCACCAGCTGCGTCCCCTCCCCAGAGTTACCGGTCTCCTTACACACTTTGCGGCTAAGACAGAGCACCTCTGGTCAGTGCCCCAGGTCCAGTTCCCCAGATGTGCWGGTGGGCAAGGAGGGACAGGACCCTCTGTGCTTCATTCCTTCTCTCAGCTTCCAAGAGTACTAGGGGTGACACTATTCCCCAACTACTGCCCTGCTCTTCACAGTCTCTCTGCCACATGATTCTCCTTCCCACTCCGATCCTTCCTTCACCTCGTCCTTCAGAAGAGCAAGCATTTGGCCTGGCTTGGCACTACTGTCTTTTTTTTTTTTTTTTCCTGGTGGGAATGAATACCAAGGGCCTCCGCGTTGGATTTTTCAATTTAAACTTCTTCCTGACAATGCCGCAGGACAGCTGTTACTACAGCTGCTGCAGATGAGGGGACAAGAGCTCCAGGGTTGAGTGACCCCCTCAAGGTCACACAGCTAGTCATGGGGACCCACAAGGGTCTCTGGCTCCACTCCTGGGTTCCTTCCACTACACCGGGGACACTCCATCTTCTCCTTATCCCCTGGGCTTTCAAGGGTGATCAGGACACACGGGTTCTTCAGTGATGGATGTAAGGTACGTGATTTCTCTTGGTGACAGATCTCATGAACTATTGTTTCATTTGCTGGTAAGTGGATGGAGTTGGAGAATATCATGCTAAGCAAAATAGCCAATCGAAAAGACCAAAGGCCAAATGTTTTCTCTAATATGCAGATGCTGATTTACAATAGGGGGGGGGCACTAGGGAAGAGGAGAGTTACCTTAGATTAGGTTGAGGGGATTGAATGGAGGGGCGGGGATATGGGGACAGGAAGGAGAGTAGAATGAAACAGACATTATTACTTTATGCATATATATGACTACATGACCAATGTGATTCTACATGTATAATTAGAAAAATGAGAAATTATACCCCATTTATGCATGATATATCRAAGTGCATAAATACATTCTACTATCATGTATAACTAATTAAAACAAATAAAAAATTTAAAAAAAATTAAAGTTAATGCTTGTCAGACATAGTGGCACATGCCTATAACCCTAGCTACTTGGGAGGCTGAGGATCACAAGTTTGAGGCCTGTCTGGGCAACTTAGTGAGACCCTGTGTCAAAATAAAATTAAAAAGTGGAATTGGGGGTTGGGGATATAGCCTAGTGGCAAAGCACTTGCCTAATACACATGAAGTACTAGGTTCAATCCTCAATGCTTCAATAAAAGTAAAAGGTATTTTCTTTTATAATCCTGGTGTTTCTTCTGCCCCAGACTTGCTATCACCCTATTTAAGATACCCTGAGTCTCCAGCCTGGGATGTTGGTTATTGAAAGGACAGGRACATATCCAAACAGCAGTGTCATGGGAATCACTGGACAGACCTGCAGGAGGTTCGTTCAAGGCCACCTGGAGCAACCCAAGAATGACCTTGAACAAGAGCAGTCACAAAAGCCAGAAGCCACACTTCAYACCTGAAGTGACCATGGCCTCAGAAAACTGTAAAAGACTTTTAAAATATGTTTTTGTTTGCATAACACACTCCCTCTTCTGAATTTTCACACCGATACACATTTTGATGAATCCACTGAGTCACAAAAGACTCATGTGTTTGAGCTGCCAGAAGACACCCATTTCACCATGTTTCTTGGTGACACTGCAGTTGACTGTGTGTCCAAGGAAGGCACTTCACCAGGGGTTCCTTCCAGGTCTGTGTCAGTTCACCCAAGTGCACGCCACAACACTGCGTCTATGTCTGATGCGGTCTGGCAGGATGCGCTGGGGCTCAACCGAGCTCAGAACGTGGGTGCTGCAGAGACCTCTGGGGCTGTCTCCTGGCAGCTCCATCTACAGGCACCAGCGGATTATGGCCCATGGCCCTCCCCACTCAGCAGCTCCACGAGGACACCATGTCACAAAGAAATCAATACCTTAGAGCGGAGCAGAGGCTGCCCAGGGCAGATCATCAGGCATGTCCAGCTCTCTGTCACATGGTGCCAGAGTCTTGCCAGCCTCTGCATCACTGCCCTGAAGAGGACACGCCAGCATGCAAGAAGACACCCTGCCTTTACCCCCCAGCTCCTATGTGATGGTTGAGCTGCTGAGCTCCACCTGCAGGACCTGAAAGCAGCCAGCTTTCAGSGGTCCCCTGGGACCTCCAGGGTCTTCTCAGCTCACAGGTGGGAGAACCTCATCAGGACAACAGCTGCTACTGATGGGACAGTAGCGGGAAGATGGCCCCCCCTGCACCCTTTCTCTCATCTGGGGCTTTGCTTCTGCTACCCTCTGGGCGTCCCTGTGGACAAGTCATCCCACCTTGCAAAGCGAGGGTCACACTTTACAAAGCAAGGGACTTTCAAATGTGTCTTTGGGTAACCACAGCAAGGGTGGTGGCCTAGGAAGAGTGGCCCCAATCCACACCCTGGCCAGGACACGTGGAGCGGCCCCAGGAGACAGACAGGAGGACRCTGCAGAAGGGGAAAGAGAGCTGCGTGTTGGGCCTGGAGCCAGCTTCAAGGAGCCAAGGGTRTGGGGAGTCCTCAGTTCTCAGGGCTCCCAGGGCCAGCAGCAATGGCCTGACCCCGAGCCATGGAGGAGGGGGAAGGTAGGAGGGAGACRCCACAGGACACTCACCGCATGGCCAGGAGGCCCAGGTTTGCCCGGGAAGCCAATCTCTCCAGGTAAACCCTGGAAAGGGAGCACAGGGAGGCTGTTAGACGATTTGGAGATATGATCCTTGTCTCSACTCCATTCTTGGCCCAGGTCCTGGCCTCTGAGGGCTCTGAGGAGGGCACCTCTTGGGCATCCACCACCCTCCATACTGGCACAGTAAGATGCAGAATTGACACATCTYCAAAGCTGGGCAGCCCACCAGCTGATCTGGTCAGCAGCTGGGGTCCCTGCCATGTTCACCTCCACCTGGGGCAGGAAGGAATGGCCCCCTCTGCCCATTGCTGGGTCTGCCCCACCCAGGGCCTACCTAGGGGGAGTTTCCAGTCGTCCCCCAAAACACGGGAGGGGAAATGTTGACAGACCCTTGCCCTGGTCCTGTTTTGCCTGAAAGTCAAGTCACGAATGTCTGCAGACACCTGAATGGGCCCAGGAGCCCAACGTGCCACCTGCACCCCGTCTCCAGCAGCCACCAGCCTCGGTGCTGGGTTGGCTCCCTTGCTAGTTATGATCAAAGGGGGCCCAAAGGCCTGCAAGTCCAGAGACGTGGGGGTGTCTGTGAGAGGAGGTCCTCCTGTTGGCACCTCTGCCCTGGACTTGRGCAGAGCAAAGGCAAGTGTCCATGCAGGCAGATGCCCTGACCCCACAGGCATGGAAGCACCATGAGTGACCTTACCGGGGGRCCTCCTGGTCCAGGAGGTCCTGGGACACCAGGTGGTCCAGGGGGACCCTGTAAGGAGAGAGCAAAGCGGTTACAAAAGAGCACAGAGCAGCCTCCTGGTGACGGTGGCACTTGAGAGAGAAAGAGGGCAGTGGGCACAATGACGAGGAGGGGCTTGGCTTTATCTGAGATGTCTTATTTCAACACAAAGGAACAAAAGCAAAAAGGAAAGATCTGGAGCACAGCGTGCAAAACACTAACAAGTGTCACTCTCTGGTGACGGGAATTTAGCATCTTTGTATTGTTACCTCGCCAGACCAGGAACCTGCCTGTATCCTGGCTGGCCAGATTCAGATACCCACCTACTTATTAAGAAATAAGCAAATAGTGTAAAAAGTCAAAATGAACTTTTGAGAAAACAGGGGAGAAGCAGCTAGGTTGCTTCTCTGTGGGCGCTGCAGAAGCAGTTACGATTGATAGAGCCTGTGACACACACATGCAGATGAACCAGGCTGCGCTGAACCCAAGAACACGTCAGCCTTCAGCTTCCTCGGGACCCATCTGGCCCAGGAGCTGTTATTCCCAGCTTGAGGAAGACTGGAGTTCTCTGTTTCAATTTTATCTATTAAACTCAGGTTTAAAATATTTGAACATTTAAAGTGAACACATAYATATATGCATGCCCACACACACGCACACAGTGGGATAACCACTCACAAAGACTTTCCAGAACATTCCCAATCTCTAGTCAGGGACCAGAGCTGGGTGAACAGCAGGGGTCTTGAGGGCCTGGCCCTGCAGCTTCTGCAGGCCTGGGGAGAGCCACGCGTCTGTACTTCAAACGCTCTCCCTGAGACTGATGGAGGCCAGACTTGGCAGTCCTTCTCCAGGCCTGCACCCCAGGCCTGTAACTGCCATCGTCCATTCCCTGCACCTGTGCCCTGGACACCTTCAGTGGCTGCGAATGGCAGCAGGTACCACTAGTGAACAAACACCTGGACAGCTCCTGTCTGCACTGCAGGTGACTGCTGGGAGGGAAGAAAGGGGTAAACAGACGACTGTGTTAGAAAAGATCAGTGCCCCGATTAGGCCGTGAGCACAGAGCAGGAGCAACCCTCTGCACTTGGGGGAGGAAGGAGGGTGGTCAGAGGGGACTCCTAGGTCCTGGAGACAGAAGAAACTGCCCACAGGCCAGGTTGACCACGGCAGGTGGAGCTAGGCACCTAAAGGCCTTTGGAGTTAAAGGGGCTGTGTGTTTGAGCAAGGGCCCATGGCTCCACATGGGAAYAAGATGTAGTCAGGGCCAAGACCCCAGAGGACTGGGAGCCAAGGCCAAGCGACAACTTTGCCCAGAAGTCTTCGGTCACTAAGAGAGTCTAAGAAGATTCCTGTTGGTCACACGTGTGTTTAGAAAGGCAGCTTGCTATCTGGAGGACCCTGAGGGAGACGGTGGGCAGTGGGTCACACAGGAGCCAGCTGCAGCTGTGCAACAGTGGGGCCCTCAGAGAGAGGGGGGGTTAGAGCCCTGAGTATGGATAGGCTCTGACAGCACCCAGTGACGTCGCAGCTGAGAGCTCCCTCAGTAGCTCTGGGTCCCTGATGGTTAGGTCCTAGGTTTTCCACCTTGCATTCAGAATTCTTCCAGGTCTGTTCACAACCTCCCTGTCCCCTCACCTCCCCGACTGCCAATCACTGCCCACTCGACCTCGAGGACTTGCAGAGGACTCGACGTGTCCTCCACTGGCACCTCAGCCTTCCTAATGCAGTGCCTTCCATTCCCCAGGCGGAATTAATCTCTCCCTGCTCCATGCTCAGGGTCAGCACAACTGCTCCTCTGTCCCAGAGACTATCAAGGGCCAGCCCTTCTTGTTCTGTCTGCATCTCCCTCATCAACCAGCATGGTAGAGAGCTGAGAAAATTCTAGAAGTCCTATGAACACGAAGCAATTTGTGTTCAGAGATTTGACCACCAGAGGGCGATACACACTAAAAAATGGCAGAGGTTGCTGCATCCATGAACAGTTCCCTTCTCTGCCTTGGAGGGGCACATGTGAGTCACAAATAGGCATCAAAAAGCAAAAAGGATGTCGCCAGATTTAGATTTCTCTGTAGGTCACTTAGACTTGGTGTGTCTTTGGGGTGGGGGTAGCATCTGTTCCCACTGGGGACATCTGCTCTGAGAAGCAGCGGCTGGGGCCCAGACGACCTGGACAGTGCCCTGGGCAGGGACTGGACTCCTAAGGGAATGAGCTGGGAATACGCCCCCACTCTCAGCTCACCCTTCTCAGAGAGCAAGGACACCGCGAGCCGCAGCCCAGGCACCTGCAGCTTCCCGGAAACACGGCGCTTCAGCAGGATTCCCAGAGCCTGTGGGCCCTGGCCTGAGGAGCCAATCTGAGGCCCTTCCCACTCTCTTTTTCGGCAGCCTGGGCCTGTCTTTACTGGAGAGGTAGAGCTCACAGAAGACTGGACAGGACCAGGGCAGCAGAGGACCTGGGTGGTCAGACATGAGATGGCCACTCATTCTCAGCCTGGGGTGAAAGACGGAGTCCGCAGCTCCAAGGTCCTGCTCGGTAGCCCAGCTTTGCTGTGTCCAGGCCACACGCAGCTTTCAGATCTGTGATGTTCACTGTGGACACAACCAAGGACCCTCCAATCCAGGTGCTGTCCTCTGCCTGGCAGAGAGACTCCAGGTGAGGTGTTTGCATTTTCTAGATGAGAAGACATAACAGAGGCCAGACCCAATCTCGTCCTTCTTGGATGAGCATCTCCCATGCCCTGGGCGTCACACTCCTTCTTCTAACCCTCAGCTTGGGGTGTCACATCGACCTAGCAGAGTCTGCCTGACAGGGCTGGGCGCTATCTTCTTGCTTTGAGGTAAAAGAACAGCAGAGAGACACCCTGTGACATGGATTAAGGGGACCTTTGGGACCCCATCAACTCAGGCTGCATGGCAGCTCTGTCCTCTAACAACCTGCATGGGATATTGTTCCTGTCCCCACAGAGGCTTTAGGGGATGAAAGGAAAGGCAAACACCTCACCCATCACTGCTGGCAGAGCACAGCGTGCCCGTGATGAGGAGCAATGTCAGCCCCAAAGGACAGGAGCCCAGAATGGAAGAAGGGGCCAGTCGAGCCAGGATGCGGCCAGCACCCACTGCGTCCTCGAGGAGGCCCTTCCTTTTCACCAGAAAACCACAGTCTGGTAGGACAAAGGAACCAACCGTGCCTGTGACCCCCTGGAAAGCCACCCTGGGGTCAGGCACCCCAGGCAGCTCAGTGCCCCAGCAGCTGTGTGACTGGAGGAGGCCCCTGCTCCTGCCAGTGGGGAGCAGGAGCAGCACTTTCTCGGCAGAGCTGAGTCACAGGAATCCATGACATGTGGAAGAGCCCCAGGGACACTCCCTGGGTAGAGTTCGAGAACGACAAGAGAGATGCTGCCAAGTCGCAGGAAGCAGGTGAAGCACAGGGGGAGGCCAGGCAGCACCTGAGGGAAGCTGAGCTCTTGAGGGACCAAGGGGAGCCTGAAAACAGGCGGGGTGGGAGAGAAGAGACAGGCACCACAAGAAGATGGAACAGTGGAGCCCAGGCTGGTGGTGCAAGGACAGGAACAGGGGCTCAGGGTGTGGGGACACGGAACAAGGGATGGGCAGCGTGCTGGGGTAAGTAAGAAACACTGGGATTCGTCTTTGAGGGAGCACAGATATTATAGAGGTCCCCTGAGAGAGCGACACAGCAGAACTGAGCGAAGAAGGCACATTTCTGCCATCTTTAGACCCCACTGGGAGAGGGGACCAGGAGGCAGACAACCAGGCCAACAGGGAGGAAGCCTGAGCCGGCTCCAGAGGGCAGGGACACCAGGGAGGGGTGCAGACCAGGGGCTGGCCTGGAAGAGTGAGGGCACCATTCGGTGGCCAACTGGACTGGGACATGGATGTGGCCTGAGATACTGGGAGTGGGGTGGGCCTTCATGGAAATATTCTGCAGGGGAAGGGACAGTGGGTTGGGCAGAGTGAGTGTCGGGCTCAGCTTTGATGTGTTGAGATAAAGAAAGAGCCTTAGGAACCGGAGCCAGAGAGGCCACTGGGGGTGAGTAGAGAGGGCACAGGGTGCTGGTGGGCCCAATGCTGCGAGCTGAGTGTTCCAGGGGAGGCTTTTGGATATTCTAGAAAAGATAACAGGCCACAGCGAGGCCAGACACTCCCTCGACTTTCTTGGATGAGGGTCGTGGTTCTTGAGCATCTTCCAGCCTTGGGGAACCTTATGGTGGAGCTCCATAACTGCAGCGGAATCAAGACTGAATCAAGCTCCGGGGCCTTCTGATGGGCTTTCATGGGCACTTTCACCCCACACCCCTTTTCTCCTGAAAATCAAGTTGTGCAACCCCAACAGACCAGCTATTCGAGTCACCTCACTGGTAAGTTTCTAAATAAAATAGAAGACTGAAAAATTGTCGGAAAGCAACATTGGACTTGCTTTCTATTTTGCTGCAGGCTCCACGGCATTTGGGTGTTCTAGAGACAAGGGACTCCCTCCTCCTCCAGCTGCCGCAGCTGAGCCAGAGTAGCAGCGGCCGAAAAGCCAAGGACTCCTCACCTTATTTCCGTCCTTTATAGATGAGAAGATCAAGGCTCAAGAACAAATGGGGGACAATGAAGGGAAAAACTGAATTGCAAGAGCCACCAAGGTCAGGACCTCCCGGGTGCAGTGGGCAGGTCGCTCTTCTCTTGGCAGAGAGATGGAGAGCTGGGAGCTCAGGTGACAAACAGGGCTTCGGTTCTGAGTGTCTAGGGTCAATGCAAGGTGGCCTCATGTCACCTCATAGCCTTAAGTAATTGCGACTCAGAGCAGCAGGAAGACTGCAGGTCACTGAGAGCGGAAGGAAGAAGGTAAGTACACCAGCCGTCCAGGGAGGACGTCACCACTGACACTTCTTCTCTCCTGATCATTAATAAAGATATCTAAATAACCAGTCAGTCCAGTTGTTGATGAGAGTGACACATGAGCCACTAGATCTAAATGAATACAACAAAACACGACTGTTTTCATTATTATTAACAAAACAACTAAGTAATGACTCCACATATTAATTAGCCAATCAGCCCAATTATTATTAATGAAACAACATTTGATCCTCTAACACGGAGTAAACAGCTATCTAATGCAATTAGCGGTTACAATGATGATGCATAAATAACCAATTAGCCTAATTATCATTAATAAAGAAATAGCAAATAAGTACCCTGATCACACCTAGCTCCCACTGAAGTACATGTACGAGTGTGTGGGGGGGATTTGCCTGAGACGTGCTTGCATAGATCCACACAGCCACCACACGTGTACCTGCGCAACCTGGAGGCACGGGCGTTATGGGAAGGTGTTCACAGTCTGTCTTCCCCTCAGATGCGGATCCCTGAGGCCCCACTGTGGTCCTGCCTGCCTCAGAGGGTCCTGCACGGAGGCTCACAGGCACATCACCCCAGAACTCTAAGGCCAGCCTCTGCCCCTGGCTGCTTCCAGCTGAAGGGACTCCATACTCCCCACAGCACCAACCGGTACTGCCCTCGTGATGCACCCTTCAGAGAAGAGAATCCTCATAAAGGACAGTGCAGATATGCATATTTATTATACCGCGTTTCAGCAGATGAAGTTTTTCATCTTGAAAAGGAGGCACAGGAAGCCTCTTATCGCCTGTCCACTTCCCTGGGGCTGCGTCCGCACAGGAACTACTAGGCACCTCTCCCCCCACAGGCCAAACTAACCACTCTGAGCCCAAGTTTCTTTAGACCCTAAGTGGAGATGAGCACCCTTGGCTCACAGGAAGTCATAAAGAATTGACAGAACTGAGTATGAAGGCTAAAGGGAGAGTCTGGTGACCGCAGAAGCTACACACACATGCTCGCCCTCCCCCTCTGCAACTAGCCTGCTATGGCGGGATGGAGAATGTCCCACCAAGGACCCCAAGTGAAAGGCTTTGTCCCAGGATGAGTGTTGGGGATGCTGTGGACCTCCGAGAGGTGGAGCCCAGTGAGAGGGCCTCAGGCCATTAGGTGTGCCTGCCAAAGGGACCAAAGTCCCCTAGTTTCTTCCACCCCCTGTTCCTGGCTGGAGAGGAGCATTCACTCTGACACACACACCCACCTTCACAAAGGCCCACGTCAATGGGCCACCCAGTCTTGGACTTGAACCTCCAGGACTGGGAGCCTCATTCCTCCCATAAGCCTCCTGTGTCAAAAATGACTAACACGTGCCCTTTCAGGGATGTGCCCCTCTGGAATCGCCACCACTTTCCAGGTCAGTGCAGGGACTCTGGATGGCCTCCACAGAGCCCTGCCACTCTCCAAACCCAGCTCAGTACAGTGGACTGTCCTTTAGTATGAATCAATCAGTCCCACGCCCCGCTTGAGGATGCGTTGGCATCTTGAGATCTTGCTGATCCCTGGAACTAGCTTCTAGAGATATAAACAACTTACCTGCAAGCAAGACTTTAATATGCAAATTGACAAACCCTAGTCCCTACCTCCACCTACAGCCTTCCACCAGGTTCCTGTAGACTGGAATAGGACACTATCCTGCCAAAAATCACTCAGGACCAGAGGCCAGGCAAACCAGGCCTTAGGGCCTAGAGCCTGAGCCCTGGTTACTGGCCTCGGATCCCCTGGCCTCGCCCTACCTGAATACAAACAAAATCCAGGCACACCCTGGGGACACCGTCTCTGCTGGCACGTCTTTCTGCACCAATCCTCAACTACCCAACTACACAGCCTCCTTGCCTCTCCTCCCTTCAGAGCCTTCATGTAGGTTCTTCCCCATGTCTTCCCCTCACTCTGCTCTCTGGACCAACTCTGATGTGGCCCCAGGCAGTTCTGCAAGAAGTGCCCCCCCACTCCCCACATGGGAACTGTGACCAACTATCTTTTCGGTGGCACCATTCCCATAGAGGGGAGCCCTGGTCTAATGGCCTCGGATCCCCTGGCCTCACCCTACCTGAATACAAACAAAATCCAGGCACACACTAGTGACACTGTCTCTGTTGGCACGTCTTTCTGCACCCCGGGCACGTGGCTCCTCAGGTGACAGATCGTGGCTACTGAGGTTTCACAGCTGCAGAGTGAGCTTGGCTTAGGGAATGACTCAAGGAACAAATGAACAAACACACAGGTGATAAGCAGAAGAAAATGGTAACCGGCCCATGGATATGCTAGGAAGAGTGTCACAGAGGGGTGGCAAACACCCACAGAAACTCTTTCCTCTTGGCTCAGGCATGGCTGGCTGGAAGGCAGCCTCATGTCCCTCAGCAGTGGCCCAGTTGCGGCACCAGGCTGAGCATACTCTCTGCCGCCTGGTTCTGCGTTCCCTGAGTAAGGCCGCATGCACTCTGCCAGGCAAATTTCTGCTGGGGGAAGCCTGGTCATGTTTACGTCTTCAGCACCCAGTCCTGTGCCTGGCATGCAGGGAAGATCTGCCAAATGAAAATGGCTTCAAAGCTCAAATTGAAAAGAACCATGTTTCCCAGGACAAGCAGAATTGTAAGGAGAAAAAAGAAATCAAGATAATCTGATAGAGCTGCATTGATAGTGAATTTTATATTGTTTTATTTATTGATTTATTTTGAGATAGGGTCTCACTATGTGGCCCAGGCTGGCCTCAAACTCCAGGGCTCAAGTGATGCTCCTGCCTCAGCCTTCCAAGCAGCTGGGACTATAGGTGTGACTCTGGACCTGGCTGCTGGTACATTTTAAAACAGAGCCAAGCTTTGCTCATCAAAAAGCAAGGACAGACAGCAAATGCCAAACCCACTCTACTTTTACTTATTAACAACAAAATACCAAAATGGGTACGGAATCTTTAGGACACTGTGAATCATGGTGAATGATATATTCCTCACTCCACGGTCTTTCCCAGCCCAACTGAGAGGGGCTTGAAGTGAAATCCGAGACTCAGGAGACACTCGCGCCAGCAAGTAGCAGGAGCAGGTTCCAAGTGCAGCCTGCAGTGATGCCTGGCAGAAGGCGGATTACTGTGGCTCCCCGTGGAACAGAGGTATCCCTCAGGGAACAGGCAGGGCTAAGCCCAGCTGCTCTACCACAGCCCTGCGGGGAGCCAGACAAGGGTCTGGGGATGACCCCCTCCACCAGCTCACTGCCAGTACAGCCAGAACAGGGCGGGCCGCCATCACTCCCTGGTGCTCACTGTGCCTTGGGGACCCATAGTCTCCGGTCACAGCCTGCTTTTCTCTTTATCCCAGTATTCTTATTTTTACCCAATGATGAAACCAAAGTCAGAAGGTCAAAGAACATCCCCTCATCAGGAAGTGGTGAACCAGGATCTCTCTGACTCTCTAACTCCACATCTTCTCCCCATGACACCTGCTTGTGGTGAGTTCACCAACCTGGGGACAAGACTGGGCGTGGGAAGGGGGAGGAATGATCCAAGGCACAGAAGAGTGAAGGGACCTGGGCACCTGCAATGCCAGGTGTGGGCTCCAGGCATCGTCCCTCTGGTCACACCATGGTACCCTGCAGAGGGCTCCTTAGTGCTGCATTGGCAAAGAAGGGGCCCAGGTCACCTGGGGACTGAGGGATTTGGTTTGATGTCAGGTGCCTCCCCAGCAGACGTGGCCTGGAGTTAAGCCCTCTGCCTCTGGAGTCTTGCCCCTCATCTGTGAAACACCACAGGACCCTGAGTCTGCCAACTGCACAGAGCACAGTGGGGATCCGCTGGGGCAGCACCAGAATGGCCCACAGGGAAGTGCGTGGAGGCAGGGAGCAGGACCAAAGCAGGGTGACCAGCTGGGTCCTGGGGACCAGAGGAGTAGGCCAAGAGAAGAAAGCACAGGAGGAGAGGGCGGAGATGGAAGGACAGGCAGGGGTGACGAGCAGTCCCTGCCCAGGCCAGAGGCCTTGTGATGGAGGCCCTCATCCTACCACTTTACAGAAACTGAGGCCCAAAGAAGGGAAGGGACTCGGCCACAGTCCCAGCAGGCTGGAAGTCACACCCACACCAGGACCCGGGTCCTCACTGTCTTTTGGTTTTTCTGGCCACTTGGTAGGGCTCCTTCCCATCCTCAGCTCATCCTCTCACCACCCTGCTCCCTGCTTCGCCCTCCTGGGGACCAGGTGCTGTCCCTGGAGAGCTGCACCTACTGGCCAGGGACAGCTACTGACCATTCTCTCTGATACTTTGGTAGTGACTAGCAGGACTCTGGCTGCAACCTGAGAAGCCCCAGCTGCTCCCTGGATCAGAGAAAGCAGCATTCCTGTAGAAGAAGGTTTGAAGGCAGTAGTTACCTGCAGCCCCAGGGATCCAGGGACTCCTGGTGGGCCCACGTCACCTTTCTTCCCCTGAGTGCAAAAGAAGAAGCCAGAATTAACCGACAGGCCATCATTCCCAGAGCCAATGTGATGATGTATCTCGGTGGAAACCTCAGTCTTCATGGCTCAAACCGCCAGGCTGACCCTCGGGAGTGCCCGACAGAGGAGCAGTACCGGGTGTGGAAGGGACTAAGGCTCAGGTCAGAGGGCTGGGCTATGGGACCCACTTTGTATATCACACAGGGCCCCAAATTCAAAAGGCACAAAAAGTTACACCTGAGAAAAACCTCCTTAGCTCTCGGCCACCACCCACTTCTTTCCTAACCTGCCAGATGCTGCCTGATTCTTCCCGAGATGTTTTGTGCAGAGGTCACCATCTCACCCAGACACACACATTCTCTCTCTCTCTCTCTCTCTCTCTCTCTCTCTCTCTCTCTCACACACACACACACACACACACACACACACACTTTTCTTTTTTCTCCCCTTTTTCCTTCACAAACTTCACCTTACCATCCAATCTGCTAAACAATCTTGCTTTTTCACCCTGGTTGGCCCTGCCTGTGTCCTGCGTCACTGTGTCTCCACAGCCACCACAGACAGAGTGTCCCCCCAAGGATGAGGCGGGGTGTGTAGACATGGACAGAGGTCCCTGAGGCCCTTCTGTGGCTAGAATCTTTACTACACTATGTGCCCTACAGCAGGGCAGGGGCACCTTGGGGGACGAGCCCCCTCACTGGACTGAGTCCACCTCCCTACAGGGATAAGGTGTTCTGGCACATTCAATTTACACCCATGTGGTAACGGCATACAGTGTAGAACAAGGTCCCATGAATAATGGGGCTGTGTCTGTTTTCCTCCTGTAACTTTTCCTGATTTAACAAAAGCAGCGCTAGCAAGGATTTTTTAAAAAGGTAAAACAAGACTTTGAGTAAGTCCCACATTCTGTGAGTGACAGTTTTGTGGCCAGCTCTTCCTGGTTCTTCCCGCCACTCCTTGCAGGAGGACCCTGTGGAGCAGGTGTTCCAGGCCCCAGGAAAGCTGAGACCTGCTTGTTACGTAYCTAGTGACAGAGGCAGGGTTCCACCCAGCTCTGTGCTGTCTTTATTTTTAAATTTTAAATTTATTTATTTATTCTAATTTGTTATCCATGACAGAAGAATGCATTCAAATTCATATATAGAGCACAAATTTTCATATCTCTGGTTGTTCACAAAGTAGAGTTAACACCATTCATTCATTCKTGTCTTCAAACATGTACTTAGGGTAATAATGTCCATCTCATTMCACTATCTTTCCTGTCCCCTTCCCGGTTCCCTCMMTCCCCTTTGCCCTATCTAAAATTCCTCCATTCCTCCAATGCTCCCTCATCCCCATTATGGATCAGCATCCACATATCAGAGAAAACATTTGGCCTTTGWTTTTTGGGGATTGGCTTACTTTACTTAGCACAATATTCTCCAATTCCATCCATTTACCTGCAAATACCATGATTTTATTCTCTTTTAATGCTGAGTAATATTCCATTGTGTGTATATACCACATTTTCTTTATCCATTCATCTACTTAAGGGTATGTCGGTTGGTTCCACCGTTTAGCTATTGTGAATTGTGCTGCTATAAACATTGATGTGGCYGTGTCCCTGTAGTRTGCTGTTTTTAAGTCCTTTGAGTATAGTCCAAGGAGAGGGATAGCTGGGCCAAAAGGTGGTTCCATTYCCGGTTTTCCAARGAATCTCCATACTGCTTTCCATATTGGCTGCACTAATTTGCAGTCCCACCAGCAGTGTAGGAGTGTGCCTTTTCCCTGACATCCTCGCCAACACTTGTGGTTATTTGTATTTCRATAGCTGCTCTTCTGACTGGGGTGAGGTGGGTCATAGAGTGGTTYTGACGTGCATGTCTTGAAGAGAAGACTTCTGCTGGCTACACTCTTTCTGCATGTGTCAGACTCTAGGAACTCAGACCTCAGCTCCCTTCTCATGGGCCTGCTCTCTGCTGCCTGTGATGCCCGTCTGCCCCGCTCCTGAGCCCACCTCTCGCACAGGAGGGYCTTTTCCTTCCCTCTCTTTCCCCTGCTCCCTCCTCCCTCCCCACTTCTGCCTTCCTCCACGGTGCCCAGCGCAGGAAGCAGGAAGCAGTCTTGGCAGCCTCCCTGAAGCAGCCCTCTGAGTCCCTGGCCTTGCCGCGCTCCCGCATCGGGCCTCCACCTCGGAACACCACCAAGGGCGACGTCTCCCAGAGACCACCCTGGAACGGGCTGGCGGTGCGAGCTCTTGGTCATGCTGCCCTAGGAGGGGCAAACAGGTCCTAAGGCTGCACAGAAGAGTTAGGCTGGGCTCAGAGGGAAATGCTCCGACCCCCAGGCCCCACACAGACTCAGCCAGCMGTGGGTGAGACGGAAGACGCAGTCCTGCCCCTCCCTCCTGCTGGTTCTCCCACACGCTCAACATGCTCTGGGCCAGGCACCGTGTTAYTGCAACACAGCTGACAAGCCCCACCCAGGAGGGTCCCAGAGCCCTGAGGTCCCAGAGCTTGGGGAGGCTTCCTGGAGGAGGGTGCTGAGGTGGTGGGAGGAGGAGGAGCTGCCCACGGGACAAGCTGGCCACAGGAAGAGATGGGGCAAGAGGTGGCCTAGGAAAGTAGGACATGGGCTCGGACAGCATGACTGGCAGCCGGCAGCATGACTAGGGGAAGCGTGTGGCCAGCAGAGTCACAGGGGCCTTGCATGCCCTGGCCCAATCAGGGCCTCCCTCAGGCCCAGCGTTGTGAATACCACACAGCCTTGCACACCTCGTGTTGACTCTGGAAGCAGCCAGAGGCTGGGGTGGGGCTGAGCAAGCCATGTCTCCATGCCCAGCCCAAGCCATCCCCTCCCATCCTCGAACCAGTGGGGCAGCCCCATAAACAGGCACGGTCCTCCACCTGCGGCCCACACTCTTCCCCACTGCCCAACGCAGYGCAATGCTTCTTTTCCCACTTGGAACAGACCTGCAGTGGCCCAGCCTTCCCCCCTGACCCCATCCCCTGCCCGTCTTCTCACTTCCTAGCTCTCTTCCCACCCCCAGGCACACTGGCCTGCGTCCTCTACCTTGAAAGGGCCAAATAATCCCAACCTCGAGGTCTTCCCGTTGGCTTTTCCTTCTTCCTGGACTGCCGGTTCCCCAGGGATCCACAGAAAACAATTCCTCAATTCCATGGGTCTCTGCTCAAATGCCCACTTATCTGAGYGCCTTCTTTAGCCTGTGTCACCAAATCAGCATGCTCTCTGTCCAGTCGTGTCCCCTCATCTCATCCTCCTTATTTTCCCTAGGTTGGGTCATCACCAATACGCCATAGTCCTCTCCATGCAGTGCCATCTGTCCTCACTGTGACGCATGCCCGATGAAAGTGATGGGGGGTCAGCTCTGCTTTGGTTTGACCCTGTTTTCTGAGGCCCAGAACAGTAGTTATCACACAGTAGACACACCATACACATTTATGGGCTGGACAAAGGACCTGTGCTTTTGAGATTGATGTTACTGCTACACAGCTGATAAGCCCCACCTAGGAGGGGTCCCCACGATGACAGTGGGGATAGCAGTAGAGGTCACAGGTAGGCGATGTCAGGGAGAAAGGGAAGATGCAACTTGGTAGTCTGTGGACTTGCAGAGAGTATGAGTCCACCTGATTTACAGCCCCCAGAGTCCAAGCCCCTTGCTGCGGAGCCCATAGACCTGCAGGGTGCACTGAGGTCTAACTCAGAATCAGTTTTTTGACATTTGTCAGGTAAAATGCAAAATGTTGTTCCAGGTCCCTTCAGAAATGAGCCAGGCCTTGGAGGCATGTCAGATCCTGCTGTGATGAATGCAACCCCCAGGGTGGGGAGCAGGAGAGCACCAAGCGCTGCAGTCCCCCTCCCTGGGGAATGGAAACCAGACACCTTTAATTTACTATCTAGACAGACACCCCTTATAATTGCCCGAGGTTATTCCACTGAGAGTCACTGATTATTTACAAGATGAATAAACCATTTTCCCTCAAGGTCAGTGGCACCTGGTAAACAATCATCAGAATTCAGAACCCCAGCCAGCAGAGTGCCTCTTGGATGGCAAAGGCTGAGATGAGGGACAGAGGGACAGCAACACTGAGCATGGACAGGAAAGGGCCAGACAGCAGCAGGGATGCAAAGGTTGGGTTGCAATTCAGCAGAATCACTCCCGAGATGCYTGCATGACGGTGCACGGGGTGAGCTCCCTTCTGCCAGGTGGTGCCATGGCCCCTGGGGTGCTTCCAGGTGCCCACAGCCTGCCTCCTCGGCTGGCTGAGACTTTATGTCACAATGCTGCTCATGCCCAGGGGATGCCACCTACGAGGTAATGAGGTTCCAGACAGGCACAGTGTCAGGAGGTGGTCCTGTGCCTGGGAAGTAAACACATCAGTCAGGAGGAGACCCGTAGGCAGGTAAGAGGATGTGGTGGGGAGGAGAGAAACAAAGAAATCCACCCACACAGGCAAACACTGCCAGCATGAGGATTTCAGTAGGGAGGAAAAAACCAAGAAGGTGGCAAGAGGCCAGAGAAAGAAAAAAAATGTCAGAACTTTGCAGTCAGAATAGTGTCACAGGCAGTCTCTCTCCCAACAGAGGCAAAACCTGTCATGGATCAGCTGTGAGGGCACCATCCATAGATGCACCAAGGTAACCATGCCTGGCCAGCTACAGCCCCTGCGCTCCCTTCCAGCCCAGCTCTGAAAGTCACCATCTGAGCTGTCTGTGCCCTTACTCCTCTGCCTCCCAGGAGTCTCCAGGGCTCTTTCTCCCATCCCCTGGGAGTAGCCATAGGGGCTACAGAGCTCAGACTCAAACGTCCCCTTGGGAATTCTAGTCTCTGAGATTTTGCCCACACTGCTGCCTCTGTCTGTAACACTCCATCTAGATTTGTCAAAATCACATCCGAAGTCAACGCCACCTCCTCCAATGAAGCCCCAACAGTAAGTAGCAGCCCCAAAATGGGAAAACAATCATACTTGAGATATGGATTCCCGGGTGCC